TGTCCCTCTCTCTCTCTCTCATCAATAAAAACATATCCTCGGGTCATGATTTTAAAAAAAACAAAAAACTAAGGCCCAGCCGTGTGGCTCAGTGATTGAGCATTAACCCAGAGGACCGTAGTTGAATTCCGGGTCAGGGCACATGCCCAGGTTGAGGCTGGTCCCCAGTAGGGAACATGCAAGAGGCAGCCCATGGGTGTTCTTTCATAGATCTCTCTCTCTCTATCTATCTATCTATCTCCTCCCTTCCTCTCTCTAAAATCAATTACAAATAATAATAATAAAAAAAATAAAGGCCAAGTGCAAGATACAGCAGTGCTAGGGCTGAGAGGTGAGATGACCTTGGATCGGGAATCTGGGGAAGGAGCAGTCACAGACGCACCGCCCTGCTCTCCTGTCTCCTTCGCGCCCCCCTCCCCCCTCCCCCCAAAGGAAATCAAACAGAGGCAGGCACTGAAGATCAAGGGCACGGTGACCACAAGAAGAATGCAGCGCTGCTGTTGTGGCTACTCCCGCTGCTGGCGCTAGGCAGGCGAGGCTGAAGTTCGAGGCTGACAGAGCGCCCCCCCCCGCCCCGCCCCCGCCTCTTCCCAGCTGCTGAGGAACTGGCAGAAGCTGGAGGCCGGCAGACCTGGCCCTCTCGCAGGCACAGTGGGTGCTGGTGCAGAGTTCTGGATTCGCGGAGGTGGGGCTGGGAGCTGGAACTGCACGTTCTCTGAATGAAAAGAGCTGAGGGATGAGTCCTGGGAAGGTTGCGGCCTTGGAATCCGGCGTTCGGAGAAAGGACTCTGGGCGGGGCGGGAAGCTGGGGCCTGGACTTCTGGTTGTTTGGGAAGAGGAGAGGGGTGGGTGGGGGGAGTCGGCCTGAGCTCCAGGTTACAGGGGGAGTTGCACCACCCTCCCAACTCCATTCCTGGGCCCGGAGGGAGAAGCCTCAGCAGGGGTGGGGGGTGGGGGGCGGGGAGAGCAGAGGTTCTCCTGGTTCCACGCTGAGGGGCCGGGTGGGTACTGAGGGCCCAGATGCCTAGTTCTGTGGGTGCAGGGGCCTGGGGACCGGGACCTCTAGATCCTGAGGGGAGAAGAAAGAGGGAGCCTGCACTCCTGGGTCTGCGGAAGAAGCTGGCGATGTGAACTCCTGCGCCCGGATTGAGAGGCTGAGACGGGAACTCCCGGGTCTGAAGGGGTTAGGAGCCGTGGGCGGGCTCTGGGGTCTGGGGTGGCGGGGGAGGAGCAACCCAGGCCCCGCTGAGCGCCGCTCCTCGTGGCTCCGGCCTCAGGCGCAGCTCACAGTGCGCTGGGCCCGCGCCCGCAGCGGTGCTGTGCGGCCACGCGGCGCTGGGGGGCGCAGGAGTGCTGCCCGCGGGAACCTTCTGTGGCCGCAGGGCCACTGCAGTCTTTATTTTATTTTAAAATATATTTTATTGATTTTATACAGAGAGGAAGGGAGAGAGATAGTTAGAAACATCGATGAGAGTCATCGATCAGCTGCCTCTTGCACACCCCCTACTGGGGATATGCCCGCAACCGAGGTACATGCCCTTGACCGGAATCGAACCCGGGTTCCTTCAGTCCCCAAGCCGACGTTCTATTCTTTTGAGCCAAACCGGTTTCGGCAAGTCTTTATTTTTTTTGTTAATCCTCAACCGAGGCTATATTTCCATAGATCTTTACAGTGGAAGGGAGGAGACAGAGAGAAACATAGACACATCTGTCGGTTGCCTCCCACAGGAGCCCCCACCGGGGCCAGGATGGAGCGTGCAACTGAGGACCGGGCCCTTGCTTCGGGACCGTTCATCCGCAGGCCAATGCTCTATCCTCTGAGCAAACTGGCTATGGCCATAGCAACCATTAAACGATTCACAGAATGAGAGGTTCAGGAGGCGGAAGAGCAGGCCTGGGCATCAGGTCAGGGTGATAAAGGGGAGGGGGGGCGGAGCCTAATAGAGAATCCATGTTCAGGAGCCCAGATGGCGAGGTGGGGCGGAGCTAAAGTGTAGGGTCCTGCCGAGACCGGTTTGGCTCAGTGGATAGAGCGTCAGCCTGCGGACTGAAAGTTCCCAGGTTCGATTCTGGTCAAGGGCATGTACGTTGGTTGCGGGCACATTCCCAGTGTGGGGGGTACAGGAGGCGGCTGATCGATGTTTCTCATCGATGTTTCTAACTATCCCTCTCTGTAAAAGATTAATAAAAATATATTAAGAAAAAAAAAGTGTAGGGTCCAGTCCTGGTTCCTCCAGCAGCAATACAGGGGCCGATGAGTAGAAAGATCAGGAAGGCAGGGATGGCAGCCAAGAGGTCTGGAAAGCAGCTAAGCCAAGGGGTACCAGGGAGTCCGCCTGGCTGCTGGAGGGCCAGGGTCAGCTCCCACCCCGCCCCCTTCTGCCCCACCCCCAGACATCAGGTTTCCTTTCCTTTTAAACATATTTTCATTAATATCAGAGAGGAAAGGAGAGGAAGATAGAAACATTAATTGGCTATCTCCTGCATGCCCCGTACTGGATAGAACCAGCAACCCAGACATATGCCCCAACTGGGAATAGAACCAGTGACCTTTTGGTTCATGCTCAACCACTGAACCACACCTGCCAGGCTAGGCATCGTGTTTTCTATGGAGCTGCCCTGGAGGACGTAATGAGGAGTGTGTCTGGAGGTGGCTTGTTTGCTTCGAGAATTTAAGCCACCCGTGCTACAGCCTGTCGGAGAGGAGAGGGGCCTGATGTAAGTGTAGCCAATGGTCGGAAGAGGCTGCTGAGTGGAAAAAGCCAGTTAAGTCCAAGAGCTAGCTGGAGGCAGCTTTATAATGTGGTTGTGTTCTCACTACTAGGAGCCCTGGTAGAACTTGGTGACTACTAGATGATGCCTGGGTAGCTAATGTTGTTTCCTGGTCTTGGGGAACCACTATGGCTACAAAGACCCAGAGTTTCTGAGGCTCCCGGCCTCAATGACAACTTCCGCATCATGAGTTCCAGATGGGTGAGAGGGCCAGCCCAGCAATCCTCGGGAGCCCAACCTATGCCAAATCCTGAGCACATAGACCTACCTAGAGTGGATCACTAGAAAAGGACTGAGAATCTTGGAACTGGAGTTATAGAATGTATGACATCAGGCCCAATCTCCCTGGAGGGAAATTAGTTGTCTTGTTCATCCAATTGAGACCCCATCTCCGAGGTGTACCCTTCCTCCTGGACTGGCTCCCTGGACTTATACCACCAGAACCTCAAGGAGCTTCAGGTCTTCATCGGGGGACACGGTAGCCTGGGGAGCCCCATGAGTTCATGGATTGCTTCCCTAGACCAAATGAATAAGGTGCAGGCTCCTGCTGTCCTAAACTCCATCCATGCCACCCACAAGGAAGCACTAGCACTCAGCAGCACCCCTCTCCTCTATTCGCAGGAACAGAGTTACTTCCTGGAGGAAGCTTTGGTGATGACCACACATCACTTTTCTTCGGCAGCACAGAGACCGCAGGCACCATCCTGACCTACTGGCTTCTCCCCTTCTCTAGTTCCCAGAGGTGGCATATATGCCAGCAGGAACGCCCAAGGTGAGAGGGTTAGGGTTTAGGAATGGCTGGGGGGGGGGGGGGCGCTGCGGCTCACACTTCATTGGACCCAGCCCACGTGCATGTGACGCTGGACACATGGTCGGTCTGGCACACTTCCCAAGCCTGCCCTACACCAGCACATTGCTGCAGAAGAGCCAGGACCACCCTTGGGACTGTCATGTGCCTTACCTGCCACGGCCACTTTCTGCCCAACGTGTTCACCGAGCCTGGGGCTTGTGCACAGGACTGGGGAGCTTGTTAACTGCCATTAGCAGACATGAGCATATGTGCAGCCCTGGGAGCAAGAAATAAAGCTTCCCTTCCCAGTGGCTTCTACATGAAAGGCAGTCTTGTCAAGTTCATGGGCACTTGTACATTCCCCTTAGGGCACCTTCATGATTTATCTGCGTGTGTCTGGACAGGGGACCCTATCCAATTCAGGAATTCATACTGTTTCAAGTCCACCAAGTTCCTGGATAAGGGCCAGTTTGTTCGTGCCCTTTGCCCCCAGTTATGGGCCACACAGAAAGGGGGCCTGCTTGGGCAGAGCCTAGATACATGGGGTGTTTATATGAGTCTGTGTCCCCAGGAAGGTGGATGTACTTGGGTGCAGGCCTGGCCTGATCAGATCCTCCTCTTCACCGCCATTCTGCAGCGGTTCTGTCTGCTTCTTGTGGAGCTCCACCAACAAAGACCCTGCAGTGCATCAGGCCTGGGTAATGTCCTTCCTCCCTTCCCTCCCCCAATGTCCGACTTAGCCACTCTCTGCTGACACGCAGCCCTTCTTACCCCTTTGTTTAACCAAGGCCCTGGATTGCAGATGGAGGCATGTCATTGCCAAGAGGAAGAGGGGGAGTCGGATACATGCAGCTCTGAGGTAAACTTTTATTTCTTGGCTGACAGGACTTTCACACCCACACTCCTCCCAGCACCTTTTACCTGCCCAAGCAGCGGCAGCCTAGTCCAACGGTGCCATGGCCAAGACGGTTGGGAGTCATTTCACATTCTAAGCTGGAGGAATGAGGGGGCTTGCAGATACTCCCCCCACAAACCTTTGCCAGCAAGAGGCCATGACTCACCTCAATCCCAAATCCTGCATCCTGGTGGGAGGTGACAATGTTCCCTTCCAGCTCTCCCCACCTGAGGGGCATGACTAGGCAGGGCAAGACACAGGCCCCAGCTCCAGTAACGGTAGCTCCCTGGCACTGCCCCTGCCCCTGCCCAGGTCACAGCCCCAGCTCCCATTACAGGGCAGCACAGGTCTCTCCCCTGCTTGGTCCTCAGCAACTAAGGGAACTCTCCACACCGGGCATGACATAGGCAAAGTCGGAAGCAGCAGCGGTGGCGGGGTAGGAGCAGGCACCAAGACTGGTAGGCTGCTGGCCAGGCAGCACCAGCCCAAGGCTCTCCTGAAATCAAGGCAAGTCGTCTGTCCATGCAGCTCTGGGGCTGACCACTAGGTGGGCGTAGTTGGCTGAGATACAGGTACTTGAACACCTTTCTGTCCCGATGCTGGTGGGAGGGAGGGAGACAGGAGATCATGAGGCAACAGGAACAAATCTAAGAGGCTGTGAAAAAGCTCGGAAGGGGAGGAGGACCAGAAGAGATGGGGCTCATGCAGGAGAGTGGCTGACTTGGAAAGGTAGGCAGAGGTAAGGGAAAGGGCAGCGGAACTTAGTAAAAACCAGAAGTGGATGAGATAGCTAGAGCCCTGGTGAAGTTGTGGAATAGGAAGGACTTGAGGGAATGGACACCATTTGGGAAGCAGGTACCTAGCTGATACTTGTCTTTGGCGGCAGCTCGCTCCTTGGCATCAAAATACCAGACAGTGATGGCGTACCTGAGGACCAGAGCAGTGCCAGAAGGCAGTTAGAGATGACTTTTCTTCGGTTCCAGCCACCACATCAGTGACACTAGAGCCTACCCTGAGCCTGGTTCTGTTCCCACCTAGGTCCCCGCTGAGTACTTCACCTGTCCTGTCATTCGGGGGAATTCCTGAGCATATCCCAGAAGTATGGGTCATACCTGGTGGCATAGGCTGGTTTCACCTCATGGGGGTTCCGCCGGTCAGACCAGAAAATGAGCAGCCGGTCAAAGAGTGGCTCAATGTTGGCTACCACAGGCCGGCCCTCAGGGAAGATCTGCAGCAGGCCGCCGTGCACCTGAGGGCAGACCAGAGGTTGAGGCAGGAGGCTGGCACGTACTGTCCCAGGAGCCCACCAGGGCATAGCAGCTGCACACAGCACTCCCTCCCACCATTCATCCTCCTAAACATGAATGCCAACCTAGAGCCTGCATCACCATGGAGATGGGCAGGAAGCTACTAAAGACAGGAAATAGAGGGAGGAGTCATTATGCCAGGGCCTGGGCCGACTGCACTATTCCTCGAAGGAGGGGCCTTTGCTACCACACAGCTAGAAAGGAGGTGCCATTCTCCAGGAGGAGCCAGGGGCCAGACGCCCCACCCCCATGTGGGTAGAGAAGAAGAACGAGAGGTTAGAGGCTGAGCTGGAAGTGGAAACCCGAGTGGATGCACACCAAACCACCCCCATCCCCACCCCCACACCCTACCTTGATGTCCCAGTTCTGATTCAGGTAATAGATACATGTGATGCAGCGCCCATCACCGTGGGGATTGTCAACGTGCCTCACGTACCCCAGCCCATTGCCTGGGTAACACGCCACCATGGCCTAGCAGAGACAGATGGAAGTACTTTACTGGGGCTAAGCAGACATAGTTGGGGAACCAGCCATTACCTCCTCTTTTCAGTTCTCCCTGCTCCTCATCTTTGATTCAGGTGTCCAAACTTTCACCTTTTTTAGCCAAGTCCCCATCCACCAGAAACCACAGCTCCAGGGCCTCAACAGCCCATCACACACACACCATCACATCACACCACACCCCATCCCACTCCACCCCACTACCACACCACATCACACACCACACCACACCCCATACCCCACACCACACCCCATACCCCACACCACACCACACACCACACATCACACACACCACACCACACCACCACCACCCCTAGAGCTGGCATCCATAAGGGGCTTAATGAGGAACTGAGGGTTTCATTTTTAAAGATAACCAGACCCACCTCAGACATTTCAGCAGAATAAAACCAGTGTCAGTGTTTTCTGGAGTCAGCAATGTGGCCTCATATCCCACACCAGGGGTTCTCACCCTTGGATGCAGTGGAACCACCTGTGGCAGATGCCAGGCCCACCTTAAAAATTCACATGTATGGCCCTAACCGGTTTCGCTCAGTGGATAGAGCATTGGTCTGCAGACTGAAGGGTCCTGGGTTCGATTCTGGTCAAGGGCATGTATCTTGGTTGCGGGCACATCCCCAGTAGAAGGTGTGCAGAAGTCAGCTGATAGATGTTTCTCTCCCATTGATGTTTCTAATGTTCTATCCCTCTCTCTTCCTCTCTGTAAAAAGTTAATAAAATATATTTTAAAAAATAAAAAGTTCTCATGTATGTGGAACCTGGAATTTTTAAATATATATTTTATTTATTTTTTTACAGAGAGGAAGGAAAAGAGATAGCTAGAAACGTTGATGAGAGAGAAACATCGACCAGCTGCCTCTTGCACACCCCCTACTGGGGATGTGCCTGCAACCAATGTACATGCCTTTGACCGGAATCGAACCCGGGACCTTTCAGTCCGCAGACCAACGCTCTACCACTGAGCCAAACCGGTTTCGGCGGAACCTGGAATTTTTAAAGGTCCCCCAGGTAATTCTAATGCACAGCAATGGTGAGAACCACTGTGCCTGACCACAAAGATGCCTGCTAAGTAAATTATGTCTCCTACATATTTAAACAGGTGTCAAAGCCTAGATAGAGTGTGACTAGAACCTGAGATCTAATCCCAATTCCAAGGATAACTTGCTGGGTAACCCTAGATAATCCTATCACCTTAGCAGGCCTCAACTGCCTCATCTATATAATGGGGCTAATAACACCTGCTCTGTTTACAGCAATGGCATTAACCCCTCTGAGAATCTAACTCTGGAGGTTCCTGAAAACACAGATCTAATAGGACCAGTTCAAGGTCTTGTACAGGTTTTTGTGTGTACAGGTCTAGCCACAAGGTTCTCATCTCCTCTCCCTGATGACTGCCCCTGCCGTGGCCAGCCCTGACCATGCTGAGGCCTGAGCCTAGCCACGTAGGGCCTGTTTTTCTCATCAAGGAGCTGAGGAAAAGGTGGATGTGGTGTGACTAAATGGCCAAGGTGTCCCTACAGACCTAACACACAGGTTCATTTAGAGCTGCCACACGAGCTGGAATGTGAGGGGAAGGGGTAAGAAAGAAGAGTCTCAGCTGAGACCGGTTTGGCTCAGTGGATAGAGTGTCGGCCTGCGGACTCAAGGATCCCAGGTTCGATTCCGGTCAAGGGCATGTACCTTGGTTGCAGGCACATCCCCAGTGGGGGAGGTGCAGGAGGCAGATGATCGATGATTCTATCTCATTGATGTTTCTGGCTCTCTATCCCTCTCTCTTCCTCTCTGTAAAAAATCAATAAAAAATAAATTAATTAAAAAATAAATTAATTAAAATAAAAAAAAAGTCTCAGGCTCCTCATCCATGACATGGAACTGACAGCTACTTCACAGGTTGTTGTGGGAACTGAACAAGATATAAAAAGGCACCCAGCATGGTGCCTGCCACATGATAGAAAGCCAAAGCACAGACTGAAATCACATTTTTAAAAAAAGTCGCAGCCCTACTCTCTGCCCAAAGCCATTAAAAGGGCTGGATGAGGCAAATAAAGAAGCACTGACTCGAAGACCCTCCAACTCCTCCCCAGCTCGGGACCATCTGTCTTGACATCTCGACTCAGAGGCCAGGTCAGACTGCTGGCTACTACTCCCACGAACACTCAGCTGAACGAACACTCAGGCCACACGGGGAAGACAGCCCTGAGATAAACATTCCTGATCAAAAGGATCAGTGGTGCCCTGGCCAGTTTGGCTCCGTGGATAGAGCGTCTGCCTTCGGATTGAAGGGTCCCTGGTTCGATTCCAATCAAGGGCACATGCACAGGTTGCAAGCTCAATCCCCAGTGGGGGGCATGCAGGAGGCAGCTGATTAATGATTCTCATCATTGATGTTTCTGTCTCTCCCTTCCTCTCTGAAATCAATAAAAATATATATATTAGAGGCCCAGTGCACAAAATTCGTGCATGGGGCCAGGGAGGGGGTGTGTGTGTCCCTCAGCCCAGCCTGCACCCTCTCCAATCTGGGACCCCTTGAGGGATGTCTGACTGCCTGTTTAGGCCCAGATGGGATGGGGCCTAAACGGGCAGGCGAACATCCCTCTCACAATCCAGGACTGCTGGCTCCCAACTGCTCGCCTCCCAACAACTCCTGATTGCCCTTAACCACTACCATGCCAGCCTGATTGATGTCTAACTGCTTCCCTACTAGCCTGTTTGTCCCCAACTTCCCTCCTCTGCCGGCCTGGTCACCCCTAACTGCTCTCTCCTGCAGGGCTGATGGCCTTCAACTGCCCTTCCTTGCAGACCTGGTCCCTCTCAACTGCCCTCCCTTGCTTGCCTGATCATCCACAACTGCCCTCCCTTGCAGGCCTGGTGCCTCCCAAATGCCCTCTCTTGCTGGCCATCTTGTGTCCACATGGGGGCAGCTATTGATGGTCAATCTGCTATTACTCTTTCATTAGATAGGATAGAGGCCTGCTGCACAGGTGGGAGCCAGCTGGTTTGCCCTGAAGGGTGTCCCGTATCAAGGTGGGGGTTCCCTTGGGGCGAGGGGCGGCCTGAGCAAGGGGCCTGTGGTGGTTTACAGGCTGGCCTCGCCCCATGGCAACCCAAGCGGAGGCCCTGGTATCTGGAATTTATTTACCTTCTACAATTGAAACTTTGTAGCCTTGAGTGGAGGCTTAGGCCAGCTAGGGCAGACGGAAAGCTTGGCTTCTGCCATTGCCAGGGAAACCTGAGTCTCCCTCCTGCCTTCTGTGGCCACAGCCAACTTGTTTGGGGTTAATTTGCATACTCATTCTGCTTGGTTTGTGGGTGTAGCCGAGTGATGGTTAATTTGCATGTTACTCTTTTATTAGGTATAATAGTATTTTTAAAAGGATCAGTGGTTAGAGCGTCGGCCTATGGACTGATGGGTCCAGGTTGGATTCCAGTCGAGGCATGTACCTTGGTTGCAGACTCAATACCTGGTTAGGGTGTGTGCAGGAGGCAACCAATCGATGTATGTTTCTCTTTTTGTGTCTCTCCCCATTACTTCCACTCTCTCTAAATATCAGGTGAGGATTAACAACAACAAAGGATCAGTGTCTGATGCTAAAACAGCTTGCCCAGCCCTCCTCCCAACACATCATTCGCCAGGCTCACCCAGCATGACTGTAAACCACACTGCCTTAAACTCATGCACCCGACCCCCCACAGAACCTGCCCTAGAACAGAGGCCGGGAGAGCTGCTGCTAGGTGGGCCATCCAGCAGTGGAGAGCACTCTTCTTTCGGCGGCACTGGGCACGGCAGAGAGCAGGCCCAGGGTCAGGAGTACCTTCTCTGCACTGTTCACTCCACACACCTGGGTCAGCGCTCTGAGCAAGCACCTCACCAGGAGGAAAGAACCAGCTGTGATCCAGGTGACCGGGAATCAGTGAGTCACTGTTTCTATTTCTCTCTCCCTCTCCCTTCTTCTCTGAAATTAATAGATATATTTTTTTAAAAAATACAAATTCCTGACCATAGCCTCCAAGGACACCAACCTCTCCGACCTCTTGCCTGTTCTCTGACCAGGCCAACCTCTTCCCAAGGCCTCTTGGCCGGCCTGGAGTACTCTAGCTAAAGGCACCTGGGCTGACTTTCCACTCCATCCCTCAGGAGATGAACACACAGGTGCTTGTTTACCTAGTACTGGCCCAGCAGGCAGGCAGCCCTGTGGAAGCCCCAGGGCCAGCTGTCTCCCAGGGCCCAGGAGGACGCTGCTGCCGAGGGCACTCCTCTGGGCCTCAGAGCCTTCATGGCTCCTCCCTGTGCACCTCACACAGGACCTCCCACCTGGAGCCGGGCACGGAACAGGACTTGTACACAAGGCTGGGCACAGAAACAGCCCAGCCTGCACCCTTCTCCCCACATACACACACCACAGGGAGTGGAGGATGGAAGCCTACTCTGGCCCCAGAGAAGCACCTACTTCCTCCCACACAAGGGAAAGGGACAAGCAAAGTGACATGGGAATGTGGAAATCTGTTCCTCACCCTTCCACCAGGGAAGGGACAGCTGGGATCAGAGCCAGGACACTGAGGAGTTAAAGGCTCTTGGTAACAATGTGCCCAGAGCCCCACCACACTCTCACACACTCAAATCAGAAGCTGGAGACTGAGCCAATGACAGCAGGCCCCACCCCCAAGCTCCTCTTAAAGGGGCAAATCAAAGCAGCCAGGCCCTCTCTGGTAGTCCGGGATGCCAGTGGGAGTCAACTCTCTCCCAGCTACGGGCCAACTGAGCAGAGGGACCAGAGAGGAAGAGGAGGGAAGACAGGAGAACACAGGCGCTCCACTTAGAACGATCCAGAGCAATCAGTGCCCCCGTTACCACTGTGGCCACCCACCCCAGCACCCTACACCGTCTTACTGCAGAGCCTGGGGAGGGAGCCCAGGGGCTGCCCTTTGAAAGCTGGAAGTCTGTTGTGGTCATCTCTTTGGTGCAGGGAGAGTCTGAGAGGAACTCTCCTCTCCTCCCTTCTCAGTCCAGCCTGGCTTACCTCCCAGGATACTTCCCTGGTTTACCTCCTGGGAGTCACCACCCCCAATTCTAGCCAGGGCCCAGTCTACAACCATATCCAAGGTACCAAAAGAGAAGAGATCTGTCCTTCCTACGCTCCCTCCCCCTCCCCCAAAAAGAAAAAAACACATCACAGACTAGCTGAAGGCTTAACCTGGTTTTCCTATCCTGTGGATGAGCAAAGGCTCCGAGCAGTGTCCTGCCCTGGGCCATCAGCTCTTGTGGACTAACCCCCAACCTGCAAAGATAGGAAACTTGATGTGAGGCTGCTGAGCACCCTGTGGTCAGGGAAACTCCGCTAATCTCTCCTGCGAGCCCAGGGAGGGGCCGCCTCAGGCTCTCCAGCTATCAAGTAACAGGAGGGAGAGGGAAGTAGGACAAGTTCCAGCTGGGTGGAGAGGATACTGGCCTTGGCCCCAGGGGAGCCCTGGTTCCGGAGCAGCTCCAGCCTGAGAGGGAAGCTGCACAGAGGCAGAGTGGGAGATGGGATCTAAGAGAGGAGGGAGGGGACATCAGGAACACAGCCTCAAGCCCAAAGGGCAGAACACAGACAGCCTGTGCCATCAGCCAGCATCACTGATATGGTGCAGTGGGCACTCCCCACAGAGCCTTTTCCAAACGACACCAAGCCAGGGCCCTCATACCCTCCACGAAGAGAACTACCGTGTCAGCAGGCCTGAAAGGCCCTATGGACCACTGTCCAGTGCAGAGCTCCTGGCCCAGATTCCAGAATGGGCAGCTGGAGGCCCAGGAGGCCCTGACAACTGCCCATGTATTCCAACCAAATCAGCATTGTTCTTAAGAAAATAATGTAAAATGGCAGATTCTCAGAAAGGCTCAGGGCCCTAAAAAGTGTTAGTGACTGCTACTCTAAAGAAAAGGGGACCAAGAAGAGACACAAAGGCAGGAGGTCAAGGAACAGGTCAGAGCCAGACAAGGATACAGTGATGGGCAGATAGGATGGAAAACAGGGACTAGGATGGAGTTAAATGGGAATGATGGGGCAGGACCTCCACCCCAGTCAGCACATCACTATCCAGTGCCACCTCCAGAAAGCTGTCCTTGATGAGATCCCACACAGAGCAGTGTAGTCCAGCACCCTGAGCAGCAGGCAGCACCTCATCCCTCAGCCTGGCACTGACCTCACTACCTACTGCCACCCGCCGCCCTCCAACCCCTGGTTCTCCTGGCTAGGAGACCGAGTGGACAGCCAGAGACAGATGTGGACAGAATGGATTAGACAGAAGAGCCAGCAGATGGTGATAGATGAAAGGGATGCAGACAGGAACAGGTGTGGACAGACAGACGAAGGCAGGAACACCTATATGGACTGTTCTATGGGGCCATGGACGGACATCAGGAGCCTGTGCCCATGCACATGTGTGGGGCTGTGAATGTTAGCTCCCTCAGGTTCTTCAAGAGAAGCCCTGGTAAAATCAAAAAGCACTGTGGCTACAAGCAAAACCCTGGTTTATAGGTGCACACGCTGTGGCCACAGGAAGAAAGCACACAGACTCTAGAGTCCCCATAGGGAGTCAAAGCCCAAAAGAATTATAACACCCCCTCCACTGAAGCTGCCTAAGCCCTTCTGTGACCCCAGAAGTGTCTCCAAACCCCCTGGTGCTCAGAGGACGAGGCATCCAATGAGTAAGCCGGGCAGCCTTACCTTGGTGCGCCCATTGATGACGTAGTTGCCCAGCCGCCCAGTGCAGTGCCGGATCACAGTGTCCACACGGGCCATGAGGGCCCCAATGCTTCGGCAGCCGGGCTCGTGGCCTTCCACCCAGGCGATCTGGTCCCCACGGATGCTGCGTGGTGGGATGGCCCGCTGGCTCACGAGCTGCCCGTCACGCAGGCGCCCGCCCCGCTTCAGGGCCTCCACCTCGGCCAGCACGCGGCCACCCAGTGCCGCCCCCAGGAAGCTGTCCTTGACACAGATGCCATAGTACCGCATGCAGGGCACGATGTAGTCCAGAGCCAGGCGCTCAGGTGCAGCAGGAAGCTCCTCCGCCCTCAAGCGGGCACTGGCCTCACCACGGCCATGGCTATTGCCACTGCTGCAGCCCAGGCCACCCTCCCCCTCCGCCTCCTGGTTCTCCTGCCTGGCCCAGGGCCGCTTGCGGGGTGCGGGGGCATCCCCACCATCCTCTGCCCATTTCCGCTTGGGGGCCTCCGGCCGGGCGCCCTGAGCTGCCAGTCGCTGGCAGCCCTTGGTGACCAGTGCGGCGGCACCCTCACTCTGCAGAGGCTGCAGCTCGCCACCACCCTGCCCACCAAAGCCCTCCAGCAGGGGGCTGGCTGAGGTGGAAGTGGCTGTGGCTCTGGGGATCCCACTCCCTGCTGAGGCCTCAGGAGATGCCCCTGGACGGTGGTAGGAGGGTAGCAGGGGACATGGCAGGTAGCTCTCCACCCCCATCCTGGACCGGCCAGGCTCCAAAGGCTCTGACACAGAACCTGGCAACGAAGGGAGAGCCTGACTCAGGGCCTGGGGCTGGCACGGGCTGTCCATGGCAGCAGCGTCTTCATCCCCCTGGCATGGAGGGCACGGCCTGGGCCCATGATGCCACCCTCCTCCGCTGCCTCCTCCTCCTCCACTTGATGCAGCTGGGGGCCGGGGCGGCAGGGCGGGCCGGGCCTGGCGTGGGGCAGGGTGAGGCAGGGCAGGTGGCCGCGGCTCTTCTTGTGCCCTGGGGGTGCTCGCTGGTCCCCAGGTCCTCTGCTGTCCCTAGGGTCTTGGGAAGGGACCTGCCAGGGTTACTGGAGAAAGAAATAAAAAAATAAATAAATAAATAAATAAAAGAGAGAGAGAGAGAGAGATGTTTGAGGAGCTAGAAGCAGCGGATGGGGAAAGGGTGAAGGATGGAGGAGCAGTAAAAAGGCAGAGAAACTTGACTGTTGAGACCAAAAAAACTGAGCCCACTAGGGGGAGAAGACCCTGGGAATTTGGGGGTTTGGGAGGCGGAGGTCACTGACAGACAGGAGTCAGTGAGGACAGGTGGAGGAGTAAAGCTGGGTGGATGACCCAAGACAGAGGACTGCGGTGGGGCGAGGGGAGAGAACCTCAGCCTGAGACAAACAGAAGAGGGAGGGGTCTGGATAGAAAAGGACCGGGGAGAGTGGGGAGCAGAGACCTAGAGGGGTGATCTGCCGGGGAGCTCCAGAGAGACACAGGGAATGTGGGGGTCCACAGAGAGAGCAAACTGGGGAGTCCAAAGAAAGGAAACAAAAAACAAAAAGCAACAAAAAACAGGAGGGGTGGGGAGAGGGGGAGGACAGAGAAAAACCGGGGAAAGCTGGGAGGGCGGGCCTGAGAGAGCCGGACAGACCGGGGTGGAGGGGTCGACCTTACCCCAACGAGAGGAAGCCTGTTGGGGGCTGACACACATCCAGACGGAAGGGAGGTCCTGAGACAGACTGACGGACGGAAGGGAGTCGCAGGAGACGGGCTCCCAGCGACAGAGAAGGGCGGATAAGGGTTCGCGCACTCGGGCCCGAACTAGGGGGAAACGAGCGCCCCCTGCCAACCAGCTCCGGTCGGTGCGAGCGCGGAGGCCGGGTCGGGGCGCAGCTGGCAACGGAGGCAGGGCTGCGGGCTGCTCGGACCCCTGCCCACCCCCCCCTCCGTGAGGCTCGCGCTCCTGCTGCCACCTCAGCCTCCGCGGCGGCGGGTGCCCAACGTGCCTGCCGCGCGCTCCCTCCCCCACGCCCCACCCCCACTCCGCCCTCCGCAGGGTCGCCCGGCTCCGCCACCGCAGGCCGCAGCGCGCCCCCCGCTCCGCCCGGCCCGGCCCGGCCCGCGCCGGCGCCTCGACTCCAGCGCCCTCCCCGCCCGCTCCCTGCCCTCCGCGAGCTCCCCTCACCGAGCTTTTTCCTGCGACCCCGGCGCCGCCGTTTGTTCCAGCCGCCCAGCGCCGCTCCGCTCGCCATACCCCGCCCCCACCGCCCCCGACGCCCCGCCCCCGCCTCCCGGGTGGGGACGTGACCGCACCCGGGCCGATGACGCGGTGCGCAGGCGCGGGCCGCGCGGGGCGGGGCCTGGGCATTCAGAACAGCCACTCCGGAAGGGGGGCCCACCCACACGAGGCTCATTTGAATTCTACGCCCCGCCCCTTTAGCGCGAGAGGAGACACGGGATTAGAAAGGGCTGAACCGGACAAGTTTTGGCAAACATTATGCAAATGAGGGTATGCAAATAAGTCTATTTACATGGACAAGTCCCTCTTCTCAGAGCCGAGGACGCTGTAGCAGGGTCGGTATGTGCCGCGCAAATCTTCGATGTCATTTACAGCTCCACCTTCTCACAGCTCAAGAACAGGGATCAGACATTGAGTAACGTCGGCGCAGGTAGTTGGGAAATATATGTAAATTAACACGCCGGCAATAATTTATGTAAGGCCTTTATATAACGGAGGAAAACGGTGCGTGCGGAATGTCCTTAGAGCTTGGAATAGAATGGATGTGCAGACATGTCGCAACCCACTCTGCCCTGTCCCCTCACAAGTGTCAGAATAAAGTAACCTAGGAAAGCCATGCAGAGAAGATACTTGCATGACAGCCTCACTTTTTAAGAACATTTTAGGCGACTGAGCCTGGGAGGATTGTGTTAGGTCTGTCACAAACCCAGAAGGAAGGGAGGTTTATTTAAATGCCCCACCCGCTCTTCCTCCCCTAGGTGGAACAGAGATGCAGGCCTTTCCTGCGGGTTAAAGCAGACTTGAGGGTGGTTAAGCAGTTGGGGGTGTACAGAGCATGAGGTGTCCTAGGTTCACCTGAACACAAGGTAACATACTGGACTGGATTCAGTATGCACATCTGGGTTGCACAAAGTCCCACATACATACAGAAAGGGTTCATGGTGTATCAAAGGAGTCAAATTCACATCAAAACACGCAAAGACCGCTGGGCATGGCTCAGTGGTTGAGCATAGACCTATGAACCAGGAAACCACCATTCAATTCCTGTTCAGGGCACATATCCTGGTTGTGGGCTCCATCCCCAGTGAGGGGCGTGGAGAATAATCAATAATTCTCTCATCATTGATGTTTCTCTCCCTTGCTCTCTGAAATCAATTAAAAAATATTTACACACACACACACACACACACACACACACACACACACACACATACACACACACAAAGACCTAAGAGGCACACATGCAAGTCAAACACTGCCCAGGCTTTAAGGCACGGGCATGTATAGGTATCACCCACAGGCCTAAATTCTTATTCTTTTTATTCAATGTCCCAAACAACCTCATGAATACAATCACTGAGGACACAGAATTATCACAAATAACAGTGTCACACACACAACAGCACATATTCCGACAGATACCATCAGTAATGGCACAAACACAGGGACATAGGTATTATATATGTAGGCCTCCAGTGCACAGTCATAAAATGTGCAGTGACAGACTACCTCTAGAACAGGCACCTACCTGAGTCATGGTGTATCCCCACACCATGTCTGACCCAGAAACATGACCCCAAGCACCATGATACTCATTCTTCCCTCAGATATCTCTTCTGCCTCTCCTCCCTCCCTGCCATCCCAAAATGATGGAGGCCAAGACACAAGTATAAACAATGCTTTATGGGAGTGAAGAAGTAAGCCTTCAGGTAATAAATAACTCGTACTCGCAATGGCAGGGCCGGGAGCTGGGGCCAAAAGGCCCTGGTCACAGGCTTTGGGAACTCTTTGAGAATGGTTAGGAGTTCGAGGGGGGTAAGGGGTAGCCAAGACAGAGGAAGCAGCAGCAGGTACGGATTCCCCCTTCCCCCATGGCTCAGTCTTGCCCCTCAGCCAGGCCCAACCAGGCCAGGGAAGGGGAGCAGGTATCAGGGCAGCTTCTCTGGGGCCAGATGAGGGACTTGGCCTCCCGGGGCCTAGGTCTGGACCCCATTCAGAAGGACAGGGCTGGTCCTGGAGAACAGGTGAGCTGAAAGAAAAGTGTAAGGTGAACTGGAAGAATCCTGGCTCTGCCCAGCTGTGTCTGTCTCATTTCTGGGTATCTTTCTGCCCTCCTATCAGTGTCTGTCTCTCCATACCTTTCTCTCTCTCCGAGAGTTTATACATTATCTGACTTTCTATATCTCATCTGCATGTAATTTGTGGGATTCTCTATGAGGATTTCTCCTTGCTTCCTCAGAGAGCTCTCCCCTGGACTCTATAAAAAGGTAGCTCAGGCCAAAACCGGTTTGGATCAGTGGTAGAGCATCGGTCTGCAGACTGAAGAGTCCGGGGTTCGATTCCGGTCAAGGGCATGTACGTTGGTTGCAGGCACATCCCCGGTGGGGGGGGTGCAGGAGGGGGCTGGTCGATGTTTCTCTCTCATCGACGTTTCCAGCTCTCTATCTCTCTCCCTTCCTCTCTGTAAAAAATCAATAAAATATATTAAAAGAAAAAAAAAAAAAAGGTAGCTCAGTGTCTAAATTTCATGTCCCCACCTTTATGCAACTCCTACACTCCTGGATCACCCAGACTCCAGGTCTTATTCCAGGGCTTTCTAAACTGAGGAGACACATCCAGTCAGTGGTTCTTGCTGTTACAGATATCAATGTCTGGGAGCTTCCAGGAATCCTGAAGTCACTTCTGAATCAATCTTTGAGGTAAGGCCCAGGCATCAGTAGCTTTTAAAGATCTCCAGGTGATTAATCCAATGTTGGATTAATGGGATGGGAAATCAGTTTGGTGGCCTTGACCAATCTTTGATTGAAAAAGAATAAAAGAGTCCTAGGGCCCAGCCAGTGTGGTCCAATGGGTTGAGCATCAACCCATAAACCAAGAGGTCTCCATTTCGGTTTCTGGTTTCAGGCTCAATCCCCAGTAGGGGGAGGTGCAGGAGGCAGCTTATCCATGTTTCTCTCATTGATGTTTCTATTTCTCTATCCCTCTCCCTTTCTCTAAAATCAATAAAAACATTTTTAAAAGAATAAAATAGAATACAAAGAAAATATCAGAGTGCATCATATGTAATAACTAGAGGCCTGGGTGTACTGGTTGGGTCCCTCAGTCTGGCCTGCAGGGATCGAGCCAAAACTGGCTCTCCAACATCCCGAGGGGTCCCGGATTGTGAGAGGGTGCAGGCCAGGCCAGGGGACCCACTAGGCACAATCAGGCTGGGGAGGGACGGCAGGAAGGCTCCAGGGCGTGTCCAGCCCATCTCGCTTAGTCCAGATCTGCTGGACCCAGCCCCCTGGTAGTTAGTGCATGTCAAAGCAACTGGTTGAACTGTCAGACACTTAGCATATTAGACTTTCACTATATAGGATTGGTCCATGGAGATACAAAGCAGATGAGTGGGTGCTAGAGGCTGGAGAGAATGAGGAGTGACTGCTTAATGGGTAAGGAGTTTCCTTTGAAAGTAATGAAATGTTTTGGAATGAGACAGGGGTGGTGGTTGCACAATCTTGTGCAAGTACTGAATTACACATTTAAGATGGCTAGATTTATCTTATATGAATGAATATCACCTCAATTATTTAAAAAAAAAATATCGGTGCTAAGAAGACATGTTTCAGTTTTATATGTGTGTAACTGTATTAAATCAACATGTATTTCTTCTAGCAGATTGCAGTCAACAAAGTGAAAAAGCATCATCTTGCCCTAGCTGGTTTGGCTCAGTGGATAGAGCATTGGCCTACAGACTGAAAGGTCCCAGGTTCGATTTTGGTCAAGAGCATTTATCTTGGTTGTGGGCCTATCCCCCGTAGGAGGTGTGCAGGAAACATCTGTTCAGTGTTTCTCTCTCATTGATGTTTCTAATTCTCTATCCTCTTCCTTCCTCTCTGTAAAAAATATATTTTTAAAAAAAGCAAAGAAAAAGAAAAAGCATCATCTTACTATATTTGATTCCTTGAGAGCAAACCCTGAAACAGACCCTGGGCTAAGCACTGGGGGAAAGGGATGGTGAAGGGCATACACATTCAGATAAACAGCCTTGTTTCTGAGTCTTTACTGAGTGCAGGTCCCTGTTCTAAACACTTGACATGAATTAGCTATTTATCTTCTCAACATCCACATGAGGCAGATACTGCTACTGAGGAAATGAGGGCACAAGGTTAAATCAGAGTCACCTAGCTGTGAAGTGAAAGTCAGAGTTTACATGCAGGCAGCCTGGCTCTGGAGTCTGTGATCTGTCACCTCCCTTCCTTCGCAGATGGAGAAGACAAATGCTGTACAAATAATAAGTTGAGACCACCAGCTAGAGGGAGTGACCCTGCCTGGGATAAAGGTTCCTGCAGGATGAGTCATGTCAGCAGAGACCAGATGAGGAGTAGGAGTTGGTGTAAGAAAGGAGGCAGGAGGACAGGCACGCCCAACCGAGGCACAGCAGATGGAAAGGCCTGGATGGAAAAAAGAACTTACCTAGGACTCCTCTCTCAAATCCCATATACATCCATCAGGAAATAGCGTTGGTTCTGTCTTCAAAGCATATCCAGTATAACCCCTTTTCCCCACAGCCACTCTGGAACTGCCGATGACTGGGAGGGGAAGTGGGCATGAGGCGCAGAGGGGAGCACTGGGAAGACAGTCACACTCTAGAGAAGTCAGATGGGACAAACCCTGTAGGATCTTGCCAGCCTGTCAAGTCGTTTCAAACAAACAAGGCTTCCTGAAGGAGAGGGAGGAAGCAAGTATGGAAAGGAGGAAAGGAACAGTGTTCCTGGCAGAAGAAGCAAAATGAGCAAGACCTAAAACATACAAAAGCTTTAGTGTGGCTACAGTGGCCTGAGAGGTGGAAAGAGATGCAGAGTCAAACATCAGCCTGAGGAGCTTCAGCTGTGTCCCATGGACCCTGGGGGCCATGAATGGTTTTAAGCAAGAGGGACAGGATAGGATGTGCTACATCAAGAGGGCACAAGACTGGAGACAGAAACCAGGGAGGATACAGAACCTATACACACCTCAACATCTCCTCTCCCCCAGGTGATGGTATTGTCCACCATCACCTCTCATCTTCACTTTGCAGTAGCCTGCTCACTGGTCTTCAGGCCATGTCCTCCACACAGTCCCCCACTGTATGCAGTAAGAGGGACCCTATGAACACCCAAATGAGATCCCATCTCTCCTCTGCTCAGAGCCCTCCTCTGGCTCCCACCCCATCCAGCCTATAAACCAGAGTCCTCCCTGTGGCTCACAAGGCCCTAAATGATCTGCTTCCTTGGTGGTCTTCACTCATGCCAGGCATAGCACTACCACAGGGCCTTTGCACTAGCTGTTTTCTGCCTAGAACACTCTTTCCTCAGATCCCCATATAACTCTCTCCCTTACCTTCTTTGAGTCACCTTTTCGCCCTGGCCGGTTTGCCTAGTAGTTAGAACATCAGCCCAAAGACCAAAAGGTCTCGGGTTTGATTTCCAGTCAAGGGCACGTTATCTGGGTTTCAAGTTCACTTCCCAGCCAGGTTGGGGCGAGTGAGGGAAGCAACCAATCAGTATCTCTTCTCTTTCACATCAAGGTTTCTCCTCTCTTTCCATCCCTTCCACCCTCCCCTCCACTCTCTTTAGAAAAATCAATGGAAAAAATATCCTTGTTTGAGGATTTAAAAAAAAAGTCACCTTCTCAGTAGGGCCTTGCCTTATCTTCCTATTCAAAATTCCATTCCTCCACTCCCACCCCTCCTTGCCCTGCATAGCTCTTATTTCCCTAATGACTATATGCTTTACTTATGTATCTTGTTCATTGTCTGTCTCCTCCATGAAGGCAGCGATATTTAAAAATATATTTTATTGATTTTGTACAGAGAGGAAGGGAGAGAGATAGAGAGTTAGAAACATCGATGAGAGAGAGTCATCGATCAGCTGCCTCTTGCACACCCCCTACCGGGGGATATGCCCGCAACCAAGGTACATGCCCTTGACCGGAATTGAACCTGGGACCCTTCAGTCCCCAAGCTGACGCTCTATCCATTGAGCCAAACCGGTCCTGGCTGAAGGCAGCGATATTTAAAAACACATTTTTATTGACTTCAGAGAGGAAGGGAGAGAGAAATAGAAACTTCGATGATGAAAGAATGAAAGAGAATCATTGATCAGCCGTCTCCTGCATACCCCACACTGGGGATCTAGCCCACGACCCCGGCATGTGCCCTGACCATGAATCGAACCATGACCTCAACCACTGAGCCATGCTGGCTGAAGGCAGGGATTTTGTGCTTCAGGAGTGGCTTAAACAGGGCCTGGCACATAGTAGATGCTCAATGAGTATTTGATGAACTATGAATGGGAGGGTCAGAGATCCAGACCAAACTTCCCATGGGCGGAAAGATGGTCCCTTTAACTCAAGTGTTTTTGCATTTTTCTTTCACCGTTTCTCTTGTCACCTTTCCTTTTCTGTGTGTCTGTCTCCGTCCATACTCCCCCTTGCCAGGAGACCACCCCTGCAGTGCCCGAGTCCCCAGTATCCCACCTGGCTCCGCAGGTCTCAGCAGCCACAGGGCTGAGGGGCCACGGCCTGGGCACTCCGAGGCTGCCGCAGCTGGCGGAGGGAAGCATCACCGTACTGAATGCCTGAGCCCATCCTCTCAGGGTCGAGCTCACCTGGAGCGAGGGGAGAGGTCAGGATGAGACGGATCCTTGGAAACCTCTGGTGCCTACCTTCCACTTCCACCCCCACTCCGGTCAGTCGGCCTCACCTGAGTCGATCTTGTTCAGGATGGTGCGGGCACACTTCAGGAAAGCCTCCTCCACGTTCTCCCCTGTGAGAGCACTGGTTTCCAGGAACATTAGTTCTAAAAGCAGACGCTCAGGTCAGGGGCTCAGTCAATCCCCATCCTCCACTCCAGCCCTGACCTGCCGCCTCTCATTGTTCCTCAAACATGCCACCTTAACCCTCACTCCTGGCCTTTGTACATACACACCATTCCCCTGCCATGAGTGCACTTCTCCTCAGGTACTCACCTAGCTCTTCCTTCAGAGCTCAGATCACACATCTCCTCCCCCAGAAAGTCCTCACTGACCTCCCAGGATGGGTCAGGTGCCTCCTCAGGCTCCCATGGGCCCGTGTCTCCCCCAGCCCGGTCCTGACCCCTCTGGGTTATCACTGTCTAGAAATGTACCTGTCTGCCCCCACCCTGGATTGTGAGCTAGGCCCACGGCTGTCTCCATCACCATGTCCTTAGCACCATCTAGCAAGGCCCAGATCCCCTATAGTTCACCCATCAGTCATATGACAAGGCCTTAAAGTAAATTAAGAGCCAGGATTGAAACTCCCATCTTTCTGATGGCAAAACTTCCTCTAACCCTGGAATTTACAAACTGGAAGAACATGAACAGTCCCTAAGCCAGCAGATATTTGGCCAACACAATATTTTCAAATGGGTTTGTACTTGCATACATATATAATTAATTTTTTATAGCAAGGAAGGGATAGGGGTAGAGAGCTAGAAATATTGATGAGAGAGAAACATCGATCAGCCGCATCCTGCACACTCCACACTAGGGATGTGCCTGCAACCAAGGTACATGCCCTTGACCGGAGTCGAACCTGGGACCCTTCAGTTCGCAGGCCGACACTCTATCCAGAGCCAAACCGGTTAGGGCTTGCATACCTTTTAACAGGCTGTCAGTTAAAATCCACTAATGCCAGTGCCTGCTAACGTGGGTCAATCCCAACCTATCTCCTTTAATCACAAAACACGCCTGTCCCCTAGGGTCATTGGAGTTTGCAGTATCTAGCTTACACCAATACCCTGTGCCCTCGTCATGGTGGTGGAAACCTTCTTAGCAGTCGGCATTATCAAGTACCCACTCCATCAGGTGGTGCTAAAGGCTTTCCATGAACCATGTCCCTTAACCAGCATGCCAATGTGAGGCAGAAACATTGTGAGCCCCACTTTCTAGACAAGCAAACCGAGGACCAGAGCAGTCACATGATACACATGTGGCAACACCCAGATTTGAACTCAGACCTCTCTAAACCTCCACATTCTCCTGCTGGACACGGCCAGAGAGAGCCAGAAGGTCCACGGCCTCAGGGGACTGTCCCCATCCCTGTTGCTCACCCTATGGCTCTCACCGTTCTCCTGGGCAAAGCGGGAGGCCTCCAGGAAAGTGACCTCTCGCTCCAGGTCCAGATCCTTCTTGTTGCCACAGAGGATGACCACGATGTTGGGGCTAGCCAATGTGCGGGCGTCTGTCAGCCAAGCAGCCAGCGAGTTATAAGTCTCACGGCTGTGGAGAAGAAGAAAAAAGGAAGGTAGGTGCAGGAGAGGGGCCACCCAGATCCTACCTCATCCATGTCACACACCTACCTGGTGATGTCGTACACCAGCAGGGCACCAGCCGCCCCTCGGTAGTAACTCCGTGTCACAGACCTGGGGGACGAGGGGGACCCAGTCACCTTACAGGCTGGGATCTGCCAAAAGACTCCCCCCCTCTGTATAGAGACTGGTGGTTTGGAGGCCCCCTTCACTGCTGGCCCTTCCCCCAAAATCTGGCACGATCTGGTCTCACTACAATGCCTTTCTGTCTCACAGTCAGTATCTCCCTCAACCTCTGCATCACTTAGCTCTTTGTCTGCCTCTGAGTCTTTCTCTGTCTTTAACTCTCCTGTGTCCCAGTATTTCTCTATTCCATTGGTCTGTCTTTCTCTCTGTCTCTGTTGTGTGTGTGTGTTAAATCTCTATTCTGTCTCTGTCTCACTCATGCTCACCATTCATTCATTCATTCATTCAAGATTTTCTGTCATGTCCCTTTTGCCTAGTCCTGGCCAGATGCTATGCAACTACTTCTGCTATGTCTGGGGGAGGCCCCCTTCCCAGTGTGGCCAACTGTCTGCATCTCCCTGTGCCACCAGTCTGGGTCCCCCAGAACTCATGCAATCATTCTGCAGCATTTATTGAGCACTTACTGCAAACCCAGTTTGTGTCACACACCTGTTTCCTTCGCCCCCTGCCTCTGGCCTGGTGTCTATGCGGCTCACACAGAAAACTAACACATGACTATTAACCTAGCAGCCCTGCTTCATGGACTGCATTCCCTTGTTTCTCTTCTGTCTCTTCCTCTGACTCAGGGTTTCTATATGTCTATCACCTTTCTCCACACATTTCCTGAAGACACAGTGTGCACTGAGCTCTATGCCCCAATACAGAGATTTCTCCGTCTCTCTGCTTTCCCTATCCCCCTTTGCATCTTTGTTCTGTCTCATTTATCTTTCTCTTCTTCTCAGTCTCTGTCTCTCTCTCCTCTATCTCTTTCCAGTGTCCTTTTCTCTTTCTGTTTTAGTCACTCTCTTTCCATCTCTACCCTCTGGTGCCCACCCAGGTATCTTTCTCTTCAGACTTGGTCTCTCCCTGGCTCTCTCATCCTTTATTATGCTTCTTTCTCAGTCTCTTTTTCTCCCCCTGTCTCTGTCATCCTCTCTCCAGACTCATCTTCTCTTTGGCTCTATATACTTGCTACTCAATCTCTGCCTCTCTCCCCCTGCCTTGCCTGGCCTCTCAGTAGCCCCTTGCTCCTATCGTTGTTGTATCTCCAAGTGTCTCTGAACACCTCTCTCTCCCATTTCCTATCCTCTCTCCTCCCCCATCCCCACCCCCATCCCCACTCTCTCTCTCCCTGGGAGCCCAGCCCACTTACCGAAACCGCTCCTGGCCAGCTGTGTCCCAAATCTGCAGTTTCACAGTCTTCCCACCCACGTTAACTACCCGGGATCCGAATTCCACTCCGATCGTGTGGTTGGAGTCCTGTTTGACTGGGAGTAGTGGGAGGGCAAAAAGAGGCAGTGTAGGAGCTCAGAGGATTCCCTGTCCTCCAAGGCCCCATCAACCCATTCTCATTTCTAGGAAGACTGAGCTCAAGGAGGAACTAGCAAAGAGCATACACCATTGCAATGGCCAGGCAGCCAGCCAGCAATGGAGTTGTATCTATGGGCAGTTCTGCCCCTGCCCATCCAACCATTGCCCACTTATTCACACCATGCCCATACCCGTCATCCAGTGCTCCCGGGACCACTCCCAGACACTCACATTTATTCTCAATGAACTGATGAAGAAGACATGATTTGCCAGTTCCTGCACTGCCAATCACCAGGAATTTGAAGAGGAAGTCTGAGCAGATGGAGCCAAAATCAGGAAAATCCAGACAAAGAGAAACATTCAGGAGAAAATATGGAAACCAAGAGGCCAATACAGTTACAGGGAGAGAAACAAACACAAGCAGAGTAGTGGGTAACAATAATAGAAAACTCTTACATAATGTTTACCATGTACCAGACACTGTTCTGAAGTTCTTTGCTTACATCAACAAATCACTTAATCCTTGGGAAAATTCTAGGAGGGAGTTGTAATAATAATTATCTCATTTTCCAGATGAGAAACTGAGGCCAGAAAGGCTAACTTGCCCAAGGCCCCCCGCTAGGCAAAGCTGGTAACAAACCCAGGCCAGCTGGCTCCAGAGTCCAAGATCTTAGCTATTACATTGCTAAGGCCTCTTTTATCGAGGACTACAATCTTACCCTTGTCCCTCAGGACTTCACCTCCTACCACTCTGACTCATTAATTCCACTCTAGCCTCTGGCTTTCAGTCTACTCCCAAAGACGAAGACTACAAGCTGCTTCCCCCGCCTCAGGGTCTCTGTACTTGTTGCCTATGCTTTTCTTTATTTGTTAAATGAATGCTGCTCCCTCTGACTCCTCAACCAGTGATCTTTTTACTGCACCGTCCTCCCACCTATCCATCCATCCTGATTTTCTAAGTCCCTCCTTCCTTTCCCTCTACGCTAGGCCCTGCCCCTATTCTCAAGCTTGAAGCCCACCCCTTGCCACTAGTCCACCCCATAATTCAAAGACAACTCATCCCCAACCCCATTCCAGACCTCTCAAGCCAGAGCAGTCACAGGGTCCAGAGCATCCCTTCAGGAAACCCTTGCCCATCAAACTCGATCCCTGCTATTCAGCCCTGCCCAACCACGCAAGCTCCACCCCGACATTTTAAGGCCCACTCACTCCCTCAATGCCCACCCTGATCCATTAAGATGGGCCTCTCTCAAACCCCGCCCCAAACTATTAAACACACAACCAGACCCGCAGGCCCCGCCCAAATTGATTAAGCTCAGCCTCAGACCCACTAAACCCCTCCCAGCACCCACTAGGCCCTGCCCAGACAAGACTCCGCCCCCTACCTAAAGCCCCGCCCCATCCCCGCGGCCCCATCCTTCCAGGGCCCGGACACCGACCGCAGCTTACGCCCCGAATCCTCACCGTAGGTCTCGGCCATGACTCGGTCGTGGCCGCTTAGGGCCGCAATATGGCGCCGCGACCGCGCCTGCTCCAGCGGCTCCACTCGGGCTGCAGCCCCGGCTTCTTCCTACTCCGGGAGCCCGGCGCCGCCACTTCCGCCTCCACCCGCCTCCGGCGCGACCCCTAGGGCCTCAGGATACCCGGCCACACTTCCCAAGGACAGGGATTGGCGGAACCGGCCGTCAGAGGGCGGGACATTAAGGCACGGATTGACGGTGTGAGAGTGGACGAGCCGAAAGAGGCGGGGCCAAGACAAGCGATTGGCGGAGCAAGTGGGAAGGGGCGGTGCAGATGCTTAGCCGAGCGAAGAAACGGATTTGGTCAGGAGTTGGGGGGCCAAGTCGAGTCTCCACATTGGGTAGAAGCGGACTTGGGGGCGGGGATATGGGTGCAAAGAAGGGGGTAAGGACCGGATTGATTAAAGAGCCAAGCAAGTACGATTTCTGACCTCAGAGGCAGGAAGGATGAATATTGGGGGAAATACGCGCAGGTTAACCACCTCCCTCCTCCCTTTGCAGATAATCTTCCAAGACCTCTGCTCTGCGATTGTCTTCCTCAAGATCCAACTGGCTCATTCCCAATACTTTCACATCATTCCATTTATTGGTTTAAAAGACACTACAATTTCCTATTGGGCGTTCAGATTGTGTGCGACATCGAAGTTTAGAAGCCCACCTCGGATACCCAGCTTAAAGCAAAATGCTTTTAGTCTCAGTGAAATTCTACCTAGCAACCATTGATGTTACCGCAGTCAATGGGTGGTGGTTGGCCAGACTGAGGAACCTGCGGACCCATTTCTTTTATACCAGTAGATCCCCACCACAAAGACCACAGAGACTGGCAGTTTGTACTTGGCTGATGTATTTGCATAAAGCTGGGAGAAATAAACAGCAGGGGCAGCAGTAGGCTGAGCTCATTGGCAGTAGAAATCCCATTTCTGGAAAAAAGAAAGGGAAAACAGTGGGGACAAAACCAGTGATCATACCACAAGGATCTGGGGGTTTTAGCAAAGGCTGTAGCCTTAGGGGCCAAGTTTGGCCACACAACTGCAATGCAAAATAGCCCAGAGTCCTGTAATCTTGCACATCTCAACTGCAACAGGACTTCGAAATCATGGCCCATTTTACAGATAAGAAAATTGAGGCAGAAAACTTGTCTCAATATACACAGCTAGGCTTTCAGGCCATTATCAAAACCCAAGGATCCTCCCTCCAGATCCCTGCCAGCCCCCAACACACTCACATCTGTCTTCACATTGATTTTGCCAGGCTTCAGGGTCTGATCCTCCCGTACAATGCTACTGGGGAAAAAGCCCAGGCGAGCAGCCAGGTCTCCATAATAATCTCCCTGAACCTGGGGAAAAGGGGTTTAAAAGCCTGGGTCTGAGAAAATGGCAAGCTCACAACTGCTAAAGATCTTTGTACTAGCTCTTCAGGGATCTCCACGTGGTTGGCTCCTTCCTTGTCAATCAGAACTCAGCTTAAAGTCACCTGTTCTGAAGGCTCCCTGACCACCTGATGTAGTCACTCATTCACTCATACATTTTCAAAGCACATTTGCTAATATCTTTGATGATTTGTCTTCTGCCATTAGAATAAAAGGGATTATTTGAAATTGGCTAGTAAGCTCAGTTGTTAGTGCCTTGTGCCTGGGAGAATAGGATTCAATTCCTGGCCAAGGACACGTACCTGGGTTACAGGTTTGATTGCCAGCTCTGGTCAGGGAGCTTGTGGAAGTCACCTAATGTTTGTCATTCACATCGATGTCTCTCCCTCCTTCCCACCTCCTTTATACTCCCTCTAAAAAATCAATGGAAAAAATATGCTCACTCCTTGGATGAGTATTATTTGCTACTAGGGCTCAGTGCAAATTCGTACACTGCGGGGGAAGGAGGTCCTCTCAGCCCAGGCTGCACCCTCTCGCAATCCTGGATCCCTCTTGCAGTCTGGGATCCTTAGTGCAGCCACAGAAGCTGGATCCTCTCCTGCCGCTGCGCTTGCCAGCAGTGAGCCCAGCTTCTGAGTGGTGCTCCCCCTGTGGAAGGGCACTGACCACAAGGGGGCAGCTCCTGCATTGAGTGCCTGACCCCAAGTGGTCAGTGCACATCATAGCAATTGGCCATTCTTGGTCATTCTTCCAGAATGGTAGCTTAGGCTTTTATTATATAGACTAGAGGCCCAGTGCACAAAATTCATGCACTGGGGTGGGGTGGGGAGTCCCTCAGCCTGGCCTGTGCCCACTTCCAGTCCAGGAGCCTTCGGGGGATGCCCAGGGAACGGGCCTAAGCCATCAGTAGGACATCCTTAGCGCTGTCATGAAGGCAGGAGAGCCCGCCCCCTGCCATCACCACTGTGCTTGCCAGCTCAGAGCTTCTGGCGGAGCAGCCTCCCCCTGTGGAACCACACTGACCTCCAGGGGGCAACTTCCACATTGAGCATTGCTCCCTGGTGGTCAGTGTGCATCATAGTGACCAGTCGTTCTGCTATTCAATCAATTTGCATATTATTAGCCTTTTATACATGGGATTATATCTTCAATGCCTAGAACAGAACTTGGCACCATAGGAGGTGCCCTATAATTATTGCTAAACAAAGTAAAAGTAGATCACAATAGTACCCATAAACTCTATTTCAGTTCACCTCTCAGATTTTTCCTTTAGTGGAAAATTAGGGTGCACTCCCACACCAGCCCCATACCCCTTCTTCTCTTCTCCCAAGACTCACACTGCCTCCCCAGAAGAGCCGACCACGGCCCTTCAGCTTAGAGAAGACATACACAACTTGGCCCCTGTGTATGGTCAGGAAACGGCAGTCAGGGGCTACGTAGTCCTGAAGAGCCACAGCCATGGAGATGGGGTCTGGGGAAGGAATATAAGGGAATGATAACACCTTCCATTCAGGCTGGCAATCCAAGCCCCCCACCCCAACCCCAACTCTTACGGCTGCATTCCTCATCGGCACACAGCTTCCAGTCAGCCAGCTTGGGCATGGAGCGGCCCCCAACAGTAGGTCCTGAGAAGGCAGACAGCAAGAAGATGACACCGAGGAACATCCTAAGCCAAGTCATCATAGACTATGAGCCGGAGAGCGACTAAGCAGGGAATGGGGTCTCCAATATCCTCCTGCCTTCCCTCTTTACAGCAGACAAGGAATCCTGTGTTCTCGGTCTTATCCCTGCCCTAAACCAGTCCCAAATTTCGCTCACACCACCTAGAGGCTGCAACCCAGCCAGAACCATTTCAAGGACAGGGTGAGGGCTTCCCACCCAAGGAAATGCCTAGAGCTCCAAAGCTGCCCAGGCCACTCTAAGTGATAGCTACCCCCTCAGCATTCAGAGGCCCAGACAGGCAGGCTGAGATATTCAATTCCATCTTCTCCAGTTGGCTTGGGTACCTAGCTTGGAATTTCCTGTGCTGAGGGACAGAACAGGCAGCCCTTTGACTGCCAGGAATAGCGCCAGCTCTCAAGTACTGAGTGAATATTGTATGTTGGACCTTTGGCTAGATATACGCTGCCATGGCCATTATTTATCCTCACCAGTCACTTCCTGACTATCTGGGCTAAGCTATATTCTTCTTTTGGATTCTCATTTATACAATATAGATAATAAAAGCTAATTCTTTATAATGCAGTCACCATTTAATTACTGTATTATTCCATGTATGACTCCCCTTCCCCCTTTTCCAACCCAAAATTATCACTTATTTCCTTTTTTTAAAAAATATTATCATTGATTTCAGAGAGGAAGGGAGAATGAGAGATAGAAACATCAATGATGAGAGAGAATTGTCTATCAGCTGCCTCCCGCACGCCCTCCACTGCCCCCGACTGGGGTACCAAGCCCACAACCCAGGAATGTGCTCCTGGCCGGAATCAAACCCGGGACCCTTCAGTCCACAGGTTCATGCTCCATCCAGAACCAAACCTCCAGGGAAAATCAGTATCTTCAACATTTTGCTGATTTTCCTCTTACGGCCTTCTTTTTTGGCATCTTAAGGAGTTGTAATTCCTGTTTACTCCACTGACTGATCACTCAGTGAGAGGAGGTCCAAATTCTCTCTGCAGCTCTATTTCCATGCTCTTTTGCATAGCTAACTACATTCTGTTTGAATTTTTGCTGAGTAAGACAATTGCTTAACGGTATTTATCTTTTTTTTAAAAAATATATATTTTATTGATTTTGTACAGAGAGGAAGGGAGAGAGACAGAGAGCTAGAAACACCGATGAGAGAGCCATCGACTAGCCGCCTCCTGAACCCCCTCGACTGGGGATATGCCCACAACCAAGGCACATGCCCACGACCGGAATCGAACCCGGGACCCCTCAGTCCCCAAGCCGACGCTCTATTCACTGAGCCAAACCGACTTCGGCTATCTTTTATTTTTTTACATCTTTTTTTTTTTTTTTTTTAATATATTTTATTGATTTTGTACAGAGAGGAAGGGAGAGAGATACAGAGTTAGAAACATCAATGAGAGAGTCATTGATCAGCTGCCTCTTGCACACCCCCTACTGGGGATATGCCCGCAACCAAGGTACATGCCCTTGACCGGAATCGAACCTGGGACCCTTCAGTCCCCAAACCGACGCTCTATCCATTGAGCCAAACCGGTTTCGGCTATTTTTTTTTTACATCTTTATAGGCTCAGTATGCTCCAATCCCTGTTGCATCTGTGCACTCTCCACCTCCAATTATGGCATCAGCTGATGTCAGTAATAAAGCTGTTGATTGGAGAAAGCCTGTTTGATAAGGTATGGGAACTATGCACCCACATGGCTCTCTCCTGGACTGACTTCTGTGTATAAAATGATCCTTGATTTTCAGTCTAATGATTTTAGAAAAAAATAGCATCTTATACAAAGAAAAATATGGCATGTACTTTTATTGACTCCAATGATACCCCATTTCGTGTGGAAATAGAAGCATATAGACTTGTCCACAAGGCTAGAGCCAAGAAGTGCAGTGGCTAGATTTGGCTCCAGGCCCACACTAAGTTTGGAGTTCAGTTGTCCAGTATTAGAATAAGAAAATGGAGAATTTAAATTCAAGGCTCACTTCTACATTGTGCTGCAATCAGACAGTCATGTGGTGAGATCATTCTCCTGGGCATCCATCCCTTTCCCCAGGCATTCTCACCTTTGGGACAGCAAGTCCAAATTTTCTCAGGGGGAAGAGGATAAACAAAGTCTTGAGTGGAAAATTCATCGGGGCATGTAAAACATACCCAACACTCAACAACAAATATGAGAACATTTAACAGCTCCTTAAATGTCAGCTCCTCCAAGGGGCCTTCTTAATCACCCAATCACTCCATGACGTTTTGCTGGTACACACTGCCTAAGATTAGCTTATCTATTTTATTCACCACTGTATATCCTCTACCAAGAACAGTATTTAGCACAGAAAAAGTACTCAGCAAGTACCTGCTGAATTTATTGAGTGCTTGCTAAGGGCCTGGCAGTGGAGTGACAGTACAAACAATACCCCAGTATTGACATAGGTTCCACTTCACACAAGAAAATAACTGGGTGAAGGGATAGCTAGGAATGTCTGCATGTCCCCCAGCAGACAGCAGAGACTGGGATCTGCTGATCACAGAACCAGTGTGGTGGGCAAGATGTTTCCACAAAGCCCTAGCCGGTTTGGCTTAGTGGATAGAGCAGCCTGCGGACTGAAGGGTCCCAAGTTTGATTCCAGTTAGGGGCAGCTGATTGATGTTTCTCTCTCATCGATGTTTCTAACTATCCTTTTCCCTTCCTCTGTAAAAACTCAGTACTATATATATATATATATATATATATATATATATATATATATATATTTTTTTTTTTTAAATATATTTTATTGATTTTTTTACAGAGAGAAAGGGAGAGAGATAGAGAGCCAGAAACGTCGATGAGAGAGAAACATCGACCAGCTGCCTCTTGCGCACCCCCTACCGGGGATGTGCCCGCAACCAGGGTACATGCCCTTGACCGGAATCGAACCTGGGACCTTTCAGTCCGCAGACCGACGCTCTACCGCTAAGCCAAACCAGTTTCAGCAGTAAAATATATTTTTTTAAAAAGTGTTTCCACTTGCGCCGAAACCGGTTTGGCTCAGCGGTAAGAGCGTCGGTCTGCGGACTGAAAGGTCCCAGGTTCGATTCCGGTCAAGGGCATGTACATTGGTTGCGGGCACATCCCCGGTAGGGGGTGCGCAAGAGGCAGCTGGTCGGTGTTTCTCTCTCATCGACGTTTCTGGCTCTCTATCTCTCTCCCTTTCTCTCTGTAAGAAAATCAATTAAAAATATTTAAAAAATAAATTTAAAAAATAAAAAATGTTTCTACTTGCCATTTGCAAACACTGTCTTGTAGTAAAGGGGAACATCTCTTTCTCCTTCCAATCTTTCAGATCTTACTGGGAGAAAGCCTGCATTTGGTGTTACAGGTCTCATCACTTTACTGATGTTCCTCTTTAATGATAAGACCAAAGGAGAGACAGGTGTGGGCTAGCCTTGACAAGAAAAATATTCAGGGAATATAAGCCTATGTCCTATTGCACTTGTTTTTGTGGTTCATTTTGTGTTTGTCAAATAATCTTATTTTCCCATCTATATGGTATGAGAAAGGGTCTGAAGCAATATATTTTTTTGAGTCAATATAAAATTCTCCAGATTAGGTGTGTAAGAGACCATTAAGGAAGACTCTCTATTCCATCTTCCTTTATCCAGAGCTTCAACTGAAAACATGACTGTCTAGCCAGAGACTACATTTCCCAGATTCCCCTGCCACTAGAGCACTGAAGAGAAATTTGAATCTTCTGGATGGCAGCAGCAACGGAGTCAGCTGTGTTTGTGCCAACATCTGGTCGGTAGCTTCCCATGTGTGATCAAGTCCGTCTGGGCCTCCTGTTGATGTAGCAGTGGCATCTTCCTGAATTCTACCAGGGGTTACAAACTTGAACTCAAGTGTCTCAAACCCAGACTGCCATTCCTACTATCCTTCCAAATGATTTCATGAGCATCTAAATAATTCCCTTCTTTGTTCCTAAAGTACCCAGGGTGGGACTGCTGCTGTTTCAGGAGGCACTTTGTGAAGATTAGAAACAGGCAAAGAAAAACGTCTTCCTTAACGCTCTATCATGTTAGGAAATTAATGGTCTATAAAGTGAATGGTGTGCCATTAAAGGTGGCATCCTGGTGCAGTATAGAACCTGTCCGACTGTACATGGTAGCCTGGGTTTCAATTTCCTGCACTAAAATGCTGACTGAGACAAAATAGAAATCTGCCAAGGCAGTAAAGGTGACTTCATCTCGGACAATATTATTACATACTCTACTTTCCCGAGGTTGCAGATGAGGTCTAAAAATTCAGACTATTCTGATATACAGAAAAGGATATCATAGAGGACAAGAAAAATAAAAACAATAAATTGTTGTAGAAAATCAAACATAAAAAAGTTTAATTCCAGCCTAACAGCGCCAGGTGCAATGTCTGGGGACAGACTCTGGGTACAATGCTGTGTGACCACTCACTCACACACGTGGCTCCAAGAAGGCCCCCTACGGGGACTTACCTTCAGGGGGCTGAGCCAAGGGGAAGAGGGAAGGCCCCCAAACAGGAGGTGGGGGCAAGCATGGGGGAAAGGTGCTACTTCTTGGCAAAGGAGATCTTCATGGCGTTGTTCTGGGTGATCTTAAAGCCCTGGAGAGCATCTCGAGCAGCCCCTGCCTGAACCTCATTGTCAAACTCCACAAAGGCGATGTCGTGCCGCCCTGGGACCAGCCGGACTTCCTTGAAGCCAGGGAACCTGAGAGAAGGGAACAGATCTCAGGGATCTAGAATCAGCAGTTCCTCCTAACATTTGGCATTTGGTGGGCAGAGACCAGAATGTTGCTAAACATCCTACCATAAAGAGAATGGCCATAATAACAAAGAATTACCCATTCCTAAATGTATATAGTGCTAAGTTGAAAACCCCTAATATAAATAAGTGCACACATTGTGAACATTATCATTTAATGAGAAATTTTAACACGAACTCCTACACAACCATATTCTAGATCAAGCCACCAAACACGGGCCGCCCCATTACTTCTTCCTTTCATAACCAATCTTTCTTCGCTCCAGAAATAACCACTCCCCTGACCTTTAGGATCTGCTGTTTCTTTCATTTCCCTCTTCTCATTCCCTACTTCCTTCCCCATTAGGCAACCATCCTCATGTTGACTGGGTATCCTTTTACTCATCAGTATTCTTACAGGTTTTGTTCTGTGGATATGGTTAACATGTGATATTGCTTGTTTTATCCAGTTTCTCAAAATTTCCTCGCAGCACTATTTTAAAGAACCATGCCTGTGGCACTTTGTTCCTTCTAATGCTGCAGACACCATAGTGAGCATCACCTTTGACTTCTTTTGCGTGGGCTAATTCCCCAATATGACTACTGTGAGGAATGTCCCACCTATACTCCTTGGGGCTCATGTTAAGAATTTCTTGTTCTGCCGAAACCGGTTTGGCTCACTGGATAGAGCTTCAGCCTGCAGACTGAAAGGTCCGATTCGATTCCGGTCAAGGGTATGTGCCTTGGTTGTAGGCACATCCCCGGTAGGGAGGTGTGCAGGAGGCAGCTGGTCGATGATTCTCTCTCATCGATGTTTCTAGCTCTCTATCCCTCTCCCTTCCTCTCTGTGAAAATCAGTGAATTAAAAAAAAAAAAAAAAGAAGAAGAAGAAGAAGAAGAATTTCTTGTCCTAGCTGGTTCGGCTCAATGGATAAGAGCGTTGGGCTGAGGACTGAAGGGTTCCAGGTTTGATTCCAGTCAAGGGCACATGCCTGTGTTGTGGGCTTGATCCCCAGTAGGGGGTGTGCAGGAGGCAGCCAATCAATGATTCTCACCCATCATTGATGTTTCTCTCTCCCTTTCTCTCTGAAATCAGTAAAATAAACATATATATACATAGATATATACACACTAGAGGCCTGGTGCATGAAATTGGTGCACAGGGGTGTGTCCCTCAGCCCAGCCTACACCCTCTCCAATCTCAGACCCCTCGAGGGATGTCCGACTGCCTATTTAGGCCTTATCCTACTGTTCTTTCAAATCCAGTACCGCTGGCTCCCAACTGCCCGCCTGCCTGCCTTCTGTCCTGATTGCCCCTAACCACTCCTCTGCCAGCCTGATTGATGCCTAACTGCCCTCTCCTGCAGGTCTGGTCCCCCACCGCCAACTGTACTTCCCTGCAGGTCCAGTTGCCCCCAACTTTCCTCCTCTGCCAGCCTAGTCACCCCTAACTGCCCTCTATTACAGGCTTGATTGCCCCCAACTGCCCTCCCCTGCTGGCCATCTTGTGTCCCATTGAGGTAGCAATCTTTGACCACATTGGGACAGCCATTTTGTGTGTTGGAGTGATGGTCAATATGCATATTACTCTTTATTAGATAGGATAAAAGCCTGGTGCATGGGTGGGGACCAGCTGGTTTGCCCTAAAGGGTGTTCCGGATCAGGGTGGGGTTTACCTTGGGGCATGGGGCAACCTGGATGAGGGGCCTATGATGGTTTGCAGGCCAGTCACGCCACTCCCAACCAGCCCTCCCCCACGACCTAAGCAGAGGCCCTGGGATCTGGGATTTATTTATCTTCTATAATTGAAACTTTGTAGCCTTAAGCGGAGGCCAAGGCAGGCCAGGACAGGCGGAAAGCTTGGCAAATTTCCTCCATTGCCGGGGAAACCTAAGCCTCCTGCTCTGTGGCCTTAGCCATCTTGGTTAGGTTAATTTGCATACTCACTCCAGATTGGCTGATAGGCATGGCTTGTGGGTGTTGTTGAGGTACAATCAATTTGCATATCACTTTTATTAGATAGGATATATGTGTGTATAAATAAATAAATAAAACAAAAATAATTTTCTGGGGGATCTGGCTGGTGTTGCTAAATGGCTGGAACATCAGCTCACTGACTAAAGGATTTTGGATTCACATCCCGGTCAAGGGCAAGTACCTAGGTCTGGGCGTATGGGGAAGTCAACTAATCAATGTGTCTCTCACATCAATGTTTCTCTCTCTCCCCCATCTTCCTCAACTTTCTACTCTCTCTTAAAAAAAAAAAATAAAATAAAAATAAAAAATATCCTTAGGTAAGGATTTAAAAATATTTCTTTAGAGCCTTTCTGGCAGTGACAACCTCCCCATAACATGCCTTTTATTAAAGATCTTCTTCATCCCTCTCCAGAAGAGAAGAGGAAACACAATTAGTGCCTGGTGTAGATGGATGTGAAATGCCCAGATGCTGTAAAATCACCAGTCTTTAGCCAGTGTGTGTGCTGGCTGTTCCACTGTGCTGTCAACATATAGGAGGAAAAGCAAGGCTGACAGAGGAGGCTCCTCCAAAAGAGAGCATCACTAACACACCTAAATCATCCTTGGCCGGGGTGGTTCAATTGGTTAGGCATCTTCCCGTACACTGAAAGGTTGTTGGTTCAATTCCAGGTCAGGGCACACACCCAGGTTTCAAGCTGGATCCCCATTGGGGGTTGTGCAGAAGGCAGCTGATTGTTATTCCTCTCTCACATCGATGTTTCTCTCTCAAATTCAATTAAAAAAATTTTTTTAATAGAAATAAATAAATAAAAGCATCTAAATCAAGATGAGTGGGGAAACACTCCAATAAACACATTTTGGATGAAGACACAGTTCTTAACTTCACTGCTTAAGCAGTGAACGGTGACCCTGCACAATGATCGCAGAGTCTACATGCCATCAGCAGGGCATGAGGTTCAAACCTCCCCACCTCCCAGGCTTGCTGGAATACTGATTTTTGCAAGTCTGGCCAGTGTTCAATGAGGTCTTTTTTACATGTACCTTGAATTCTACAGATAGAAAGCTGAGGCCCAGAGTCTTTCCACCCCCATGAAGGTGGAGGACAGCACACACACACTCTGGCCACTGCTGACCCTAAGCCTTAGCTTCACCACACAATATGGGCTGTAGGCCTGATCTCAGCCTCTTTTTCCATATCCAGGCCCTGTCCCACCTGCAAAGGCTAAGCAGACACAGGACTCCGCTAGCAGAATTCTGAGGCCGATCCCCATGGTGCCACTTTCTGGCCATCACCTTCTGGCCCCCAACCACAGGCCCCACTTACTGATTGAAAAGCATGGACAGCATGAGCTCATTGGTCTCCTCTGGCAGGTTGGTGAGGAACAAGATGTGATTTGGTGGGTTTTCTGAAAGCTACAGGGAAGAGACAGGAGCCCGTGAGTATAATGGGGGTGGGTGGGTTTGCTGACTTTTGTTCTCCACCCCACCCTGCTTGAATCCTTTCTCCACTTTGCACCCTCTAGACCGTGAGCCACATGAAAGCACTGCTATATCCAGAGCAGGTGCTTGTCATAAGATCCCTATGCTTCAGCCTCACTGGACCTTCCAAAGCTCCTCCAACAAATATGCCAATCCCATGTTGCTCCAGGGCCTCGTACTCATCCTCCAACAGCATCTCCTCAGGGAGGCTTACCCAGGCACCCACGCTAAAACAGCACCTAAACAAAATTTAGGTGCTGTTCCTATGTTCTGACTATTTATACGAGACCCCAGGAGGACTAGACACTTACAGGCTGAGCAGGTGGCATCTGCCCTGGCATAAGCTGCTGTGGGGGCATGGCCCCCGGTGGTATCTGGCCAGGTGCGAGGCCTGGAGGTGGGATCATGCCAGGGGGCGGCATGTACGGAGGCTGGCCTGGCATGTGGTGCATGATGCGGGGTGCCTGAGTCATCGGCGGCATGCCCTGTGGAGAGGAAGAGCTGGAGTGAGCGGGTGGGTGATGGGGAGGAAACTTGCTTTCAGTGTCATTAGAAATCACAGTGGAGAAAAGGCTGTTGGAGGAAATCCAGGTGTAAGACACAGGGAGAAAAGCTCAGACTTAGGAAGAGGTAACAAAGGCAAAGGACACCAAGAGAAACAAATGGAGCAAACAGACCCAGTGTCAATGGGAATGTCAAATAAGAAAGTTAAAAGAAATTTTTAATATAAAAAAAATTAATCAGTGCAACCTAACTTTGTCTATAGATATATGCATGGGGGAAAAAAGAAACAGGAAAAATTCAAAGTATTAACAATAGTTAACTAAAAGAAGTGGGAATAAACATTATAATGGGAATGCTATACTTTCACATCTAAGAATAATAAGGAAAAACCAAAGAAATAGATCCAGAGTCCTACAGCGAGAAAAGAAACAATGGAAGGCAGGGATGGTCAAGGCAGGTACAGAAATAAGTGAGGAGGGTGGCAGCGAGGGGAAGAAAGCAGACATCAGCATGACACAACACATGCACCGAAGGGACAGGGCTGTGGGAGCGGGAATCACACTTTGACAGTGAAAGATGGACACAGAAGGGACAGGTAAGAGTGGGGAAGCTGGACAATAATCAAACACCATTCCTGATTCCATCAGTGCACACAGGACAAATACATGAATTGGTGACAAATGCATCCGTGAGCCACCAGGAAAGCTCACATAGAGACTTGAAGACCTACAGTGGATGCAATTCATCATCTTTTCTTTCATACTATGTGCTTCTGTATCCTGTTTAGAAAACAGGATGCTTCTACTTTTCATGCCTCACCAAGGTCATCAAGGCATTTTCCTGTTTTCTTCCAAAACCTTTATTGTTTTAGCTGTCACATTAGGGTGTATGATTAGTCTCAAATTAACATATCTAATTGAGGTAGAGTAATTTTTTCCCCTTACAGATATCCATTTAGTCCAGCATCATTTACTAAGAAAAAAAAAATCCCTTCCCCACTAGATTGCAGCATTAGCTTCAGGCTGAGTAACCCACATGTGTGGATCTGGGTCTGCACTCTACTCTGCCCCACCGGGTCTTTCAATACCACACCACCTTGACTACTGCAGCAGGCTCCCCCAGCTTTATTTTCCTTGCCTATCTTTTTTTCTTTTTTAATATATTTTATTAATTTTTCGCCTATCTTGCTTTGCCTTCCCACAGATCTTGAGATCCCCAAGTGGAGATCCCTAGCCATCTGCTGAGACCATCTCCAATTTCTCTCAGCAGTGTTCTGTAGCGTAGTGTGTGTGTGTGTGTGTGTGTATGTATGTTTGTGTATATAAGAGGAGGGTTGCACACCTTTTGTTGGATTGACTCTTCAGAGCTATTTTCTGTTTGAAGTCTACATGTGTGTGGCTAGCATAAGAACTAAAGCTTATGTCAAATTACAGCGGGGCCGAAGCCGGTTTGGCTCAGTGGAAGAGCGTCGGCCTGCGGACTGAAGGGTCCCGGGTTCGATTCCGGTCAAGGGCATGTACACTGGTTGCGGGCACATCCCCAGAGGGGCGTGTGCAGGAGGCAGCTGGTCGATGTTTCTCTTTCATTGACGTTTCTAACTCTCTATCCCTCTCAATTCCTCTCTGTATAAAAATCAATAAAATATATTAAAAAAAAAAAAAAAAAATTTACAGCGGGGAGGGGAGGGAGATCTGGGGGAGATAAGAGATCAACCGAAGGACTTGTATACATGCATATAAGTACAACCAATGGACACAAAACTCTGGGGAGGGTGGGGGCAATAGTAAAATATGTACACAGATAATAATTTAATAAAAAGAAAAAAAGAGCCAGGACCGGTTTGGCTCAATGGATAGAGTGTCGGCTTGGGGACTGAAGGGTCCCGGGTTCGATTCCAGTCAAGGGCATGTACTTTAGTTGCGGGCATATCCCCAGTAGGGGGTGTGCAAGAGGCAGCTGATCAATGACTCTCTCTCATCGATGTTTCTAACTCTCTATCTCTCTCCCTTCCTCTCTGTATAAAATCAATAAAAATATATTTTAAAAAAAAGAAGAAAAAATAAAATAAAAAATTAAATTAAATTAAAATAAAAATATCCACATGCTCTTCAAATACAAAATAAATAAATAAATAAATAAAGCTTTTTTTTTTCACATTGACTTCACATCTGGCAAAAATTCACTTATTAATCCCAACTATTGCTTAGTAAATTCCTCTAGATTTCTTACATAGAGAACAACATTATTGGTTGTACTTATAAGGTCATGGAGAGAGAAACCAAGAGCCTGGGACACAAAGAAAGATCCTAAGGAAGAATCTGATAAGCAGGGACGGTATTTCTAAAGTGGAAACACCATCATCTAAAGACAGTCATGCAGCCGAAACCGGTTTGGCTCAGTGGATAGAGCGTCGGCTTGAGGACTGAAAGGTCCCGGGTTCGATTCCGGTCAAGGGCATGTACACTGGTTGCGGGCACATCCCTGGTGGGGGATGTGCAAGAGGCAGCTGATCGATGACTCTCTCTCGTCGATGTTTCTAACTCTCTATCTCTCTCCCTTCCTCTCTGTACAAAATCAATTAAAAAAATTAAAAAAAAAAAAAATTAAAGACAGGCATGCAACCTACATAAGGAAATGGAAGGGGGGTGGTGTCTGAATCCCCAAGTGGAGATCCCTCTCCTACGCCTCCCCCAGACAGGCTACATAGCAGAGAAAGGCCTGTGATGAGGGAGTCTTTGCTTACCGGGACAGGCCCTGGGACAGCCCCCACTACAGGGGTGGCTGCCCCGCCCTGCACGGCCTTCTTTGCAGCTGGGGTCTCCTGACTCTTGGGCTTCCTCTTCTCCCGCTTACGGTCACGCTCCACAAAAGTGCCCTTCATCTTGGCAATGATATCAGAGTCGGTCTTGGCATACTGGATACGCTGTAACAGAGAGCCAAAGGGTTAAGAGAGAGGACTTTGGAGTTAATTGCCTGGGTACAAAAGTAGATCTTACCAGGACCTCAATAAATAACGCTAAAGAAATTACTGGGGCCAAAACCGGTTTGGTTCATTGGATAGAGTGTCAGCCTGCGGACTGAAAGGTCCCGGGTTCGATTCTGGTCAAGGACATGTACCTTGGTTGAGGGCACATCCTCAGAATGGGGTTTTCAAGAGGCAGCTGATCGATGATTCTCCCTCATCGATATCTCTAACTCTCTATCCCTCTCAATCCCTCTGTGTAAAAAATCAATAAAATAAAATAAAAAAGAACTAAGGTATACAAGGGTGTTCAAGGTACAGCAAGGTGGTCAATGTACATGAGGATGGAAGAGAAAAGGTCACAGAAGCAAAAGAACACTGAAGACTATAAGGGAGGATTCTGTCTTTCCCTGAGGAAGCTAGTAGATATTATAAGCATGGGGCACTCCACAAGGAGCAGTGTGGCCATGTACAGCCTGTGGAGAGCAGGGGTTGAAGCAGGGAGCCCTCGGGGCAGGCCACTGCCACAGTCTAACTAACTAGGGAGAGTGGTGGCTGGGCCCAGGTTGGGGACTGCTGGTGGGTGTTTTGAAAGGTAGAGTTGACAAGATTCCCTGAAAAAACACACATGCCTGAGAGCTTGACATGATCCAAGCAATTAGTACAAACATCTGCAATCCAGCCACCTTTCTCTCATCCCAGCCTGCCTGGGAACTTGACCCAGCCTCTCCTTCACACTGAACCCTAAATTCTCTCCTCCAATCTGCTCTATCCAAGAGCCACAGGCATCTCCCGGCCTAAACCTTTCCAAGGCTCTGCAGCACCCTGGGAGTCACTTCCCCTTCAGGACAAACTTTGGTCATGGTCTGCAGGCCATGCCCTCCCCACTCCTCCTACCATCACTCCAGCCAAATGAACTTGACTTGCTTCCTCAATTACATATGCTCTTGGTTATTTCTAGGCCTTAGTCCACATGATCCCTCTGCCTAACAATCTTTTTCCCACTACTTCTCCTGCTAACACTTCTTTAAGTCTCATCCCATCCAAAAAGCCTTCCCTGAACCGCCAGCCTGGTTGAGGTGCCTCTCCTAAGCTTGTCTAGCTCCGTACACAACCCCCATTCCAGCCAACTCCTGAGTTGTCACTATCTGGTGAGACTTGTCTCTCTTACAGCCCTGTGAGCCTGAGAGGGCAGGGCTAGGGTTCCCATAGGTATTATGTGACCCACACCCTAGTACAGTGAGCAGTAAATGTTGTGGAACAGCAAGAGAAATTCCTGTCCTGAGGAATTGGAATACAGGTGACAGGAGATCCAGGCCCATCCTGTCTCATCTCGCACCTCACAAACAAGTGCACACATATCCTCTATACCCACAGTGCTCACCATGGGCTTGTCGTAGAAGGGGAAACCCTGCATGGAACGCAGGGCGTTGGTGGCACTGCTGACTTCCTTAAAGATGACAAAGGCTTGGCCCCTCATCTTCAGGCTCCGTGACACCAGGATATCCAGGATCTGGCCAAACTGGGAGAAGATAGCATACAGGGACTTCTTCAGCTCTACAGTGGGGGGAAGAAAGGTCCATGGGTGACTACAGGTCTTGGTATCACGCCTGGGTCGTAAGCTCCTGTTCTCAGAGGAAAAGTATAGCCCAGAAGGGAAGCATCAGCCAACAAAGGATGCCCACAATACCATGGGTCAGCAATCCCGCAAGAGCCAGCAATAGGGGCATGCAGGAGGCAGTGGATCAATGATTCTCTCTCATCATTGATGTTTATCTCTCCCTCTCCCTTCCTCTCTGAAACCAATTAAAAAAAAAAAAAATATATATATATATATATATATATATATATATAAAGAATCAAGTTCTTAAGCAGAATTCCAGTGGTGACATCAACTATTTTTCTTTACTGTGTGACCCCTAGGCAAGTCACATCACCCCTGAATCTCAGTTTCCTAATCTGAGAATTGGGAACAATAACTACTTCCTGTAGAGTTGTTGTGAAAATTAAATATAATGAGGACATGTATCAGCACCTGGTATAGAGTGTTATTCATCATTATTCATTTCATTTTGAAATGAAACATTTTCATTGAAAACACGACACTGACTAAGCCAGCCCCCATTCTTGCTCTCATGTAGCTCACAGGCCAGTGGAGAGACAGCTCTCAACAGCTCAGAACCATCAGGGCTTGGGATGTGAGAGGAGGCAAGGCCTCTGGGAAATGGGACAGGCATCTGAGGAGAAAGATGGGGAAGGGCTTCTGGGAGAGGGGTCCTTCAAGGATGAGGGGCAGTGACCAGGTTAATGGACAGAATGGAAGATGAACTGGGGGAGTGTTAAAGCAAGAGGAAGCAGCGTGTGCAAAGCCGCAGTCGTGAGCTTTAGTATTCTGCCTGAGAGAGAAGGCTGCAGAGGTAAGTAGATGCCAGGGATGAAAGAGGGGCCGCCTCGGGCGAGATAACCTGGAGTGTGGTCTCCTTCGAGAACTCACCATCCTTCTTGATCTTCTCGTTGAGGTTGTTGATATAAATAGTATGGTTGGGTCGGGTCTCGGGAACTGCCATGGAGGGAGGTGCCGCGGTAGGGCTGAAAGAATGGAAAAGGTTAACTTCAGCCCTGGTTCCTCAAAATCTTTTGACCGAAAGCGGGCTTAACGGGCTCCCAGGGATTTTCCTTCCAGGAAGATGTCAGGTGAGGCGGGGAGGAGGGAAGACCGGAGCAGTTTGGAAAACAAAGCGAAAGCGGGGCACCCCTTCTCCCGCGTGGTGAGAGGAACTATTGAGGTTTACTTCCAGTCCCAGGATGCTCTGCGCGCCTTAATGGGCTGAGCGTACTGAGCGGTGATCCCCATTGGCCCACGCGCTCACAGGGCGGCCCAGGGAAAAGAACCCGGATGTACGCGCCAGTTGAAGGAGGGGCGACTTTGTGGTGCCTTGGACAAGAGCAGCAGGAAAATAATTTCTCCTCACGAAGTGCGGGAAGAAACGGGCGCCCAGCGCTCCGCCCGCCCGCCCGCCCGCAACGGCCGCCTGCGCCCTCGATTACTTACCAACGGAGCTACAAGTCCGACTAGTGGCTGCTTGGGCGTTTCTGAACGCCGAGCGCGAGGCTTTCTCTCCTGGCTCCGCCTTTATCGTTCTGCAAGCCAATCCGTGCGCGGAAATTTGGTAGCTTGACCAATCAGAGTAAGTCTCGCCCGACTTTGCCAATCAAATCTCGAGACAGATCTTGACAATCTCAACCCAAAACTTGCCAATCAAAAGGGCACTGGAGTTCCCGCCTCAGGAGAAAAACTCCGCCTCCTCTACCCTCCCACCTCCTCTCTCCCTTCCCCCCTCCCCCCCGCAGCCTTCAGACCAATCAGTGAAGAGTGCGTTTCTGGCCAATAGTGTCGCGGCTCGCGCCGTGGTCTCTTTCCAGGCGTCCTTGGGAAGCCCCACCGCTCCCCGGCGGGCCTGCGCTCTGTCACGTGGTCGCTAAAGGGGCGGGACCCACGCCAGGCCCGCACCTTAGACGGGAAAGGCTGAGTGCGGCGGCCGCCATTTTGGGGAAGAGCGCTGTGCTTTCTGACTCCATTCCCTAACCCTTCTAATCGCGGCTCCCGACGGCCTCCGATCTCTGAGCCTTCCCATCCCACCACAGACCTTTCCTGTTGCGTTCTGATTCCAAGATCCACACAACTAGGCCATTTTTCCTGCCTGGTGTCCTTCTGACCTCTTGACCTCTGACTCAAAGGTCAGCTGGAAGGTTGCAAACTCGGGCCTGGGATGTGAGGGGGGGGGGGGGGACTAAGCCCAAATTCTTACCTGACCTTTAGCCTCTAAACCCTACCCTTTAGGTGCCTCACTCCAGGTCTTCACATCCCAAAACGGACCCAAGTTTCCAAACCTAGCAATGAATAATAAATTAACTACTCCATTTCCCTCTTTCAGCATTGCAACCCAACTGCATGCCACAGATCTGGTTCCGAATCAGAGGACGCCGCCGTCACCCTCAGAGCCCTCCGGATTTGAGTCCATCCCAATCCTCGCTCCCATGGTTCCAAGTTTAGCTCCGGTTCTTTCAATCCCGTTGCTCAGCCTCCCACTTCCAGGCCTCCATCCTAAAACCTTCAAAATCTCCATCCCTGAGACCAGCCCATTTTGAAGGATCAGTCTCTCTCCCATTCTTCCAGCCCATGGACTCCAAAATGACTTCTTTATGCGCTTCCCCCCTGGAGTCCCCAGTCTCTCCTTCATCCCAGGCCCCGGTCATCCCACCCCCACCCCCGGCCCCACATCTTCCGGGCGAAGCCTTTCCACCCTCTCCCTCAGGTCTCCAGGCACCTGTTCCCCCACCACCGCCCCTGCCACCGCCGCCCGCGGCGGCTGCCGCTCCCCCTCACGTCTTCGGCCTGGAGAAGAGCCAGCTGCTGAGAGAGGCCCTGGAGAAGGCCGGCCCGGCCCCCGGGAGCAGGGAAGACGCCAAGAGGCTCCTGAAGCTTCACAAGGACCGGTAGGGTCTCCGGGCCCCACCCCACCCGCCCCCAAATGCCTTCCTCTCTCTTCCTGGGGTTCCCATTCCCTCAGCGCCCTCAGCCTGACTACTTAACCCCCTATTGACACACCCTCACTGGGTGCCTTCAGCCGCGAAGACGCTGCCTCAGGGGCACTAGTCAGCCTGAGGGACTGATGAGGGAGGCCTCCCAAGCTGGGAGTCCGAGGGGCTGCCTGGAGGACCGCTGAGTGCTCCCAAGCAGGTACCATCAGGGCTAAGCAGGGAGAGCAGCTTGTGCAGGGCCTCATCCTGAAATGAAGAGGTGCTCCTGATGCGACAGGGAAGTGGCGAGAATGGGGTTTCACAGTTGGGCAGGGCGGGTACTGAGGACAGAGACTGCCCTGTGGCCATGGGAGAGCCATGGGAGGGAGGCTACGTACCTGAGTGGAGGTGGTGAGTCTGGAGTTGGAGCCGGAAGCAGGAACACCAGGACAGGGGAGAGGGCTGGACCTGGCTGGGCAGTGGGGACCTTATTTAACAGGAAGAGGGAGAAGTGACTAGTCCAGATTCATAAAAGACTTCCAGCTTTCTAGGCAAGTTGATAATCTGTCCTAAATGCCCCAACCATAGTGAGACAAACCTAATGCAGATGAAAACACCTGTTATTATATGCCTAGCAAATGTCCAGCCTTGTGTTTTTAAACACTTATTTAATCCTCTCAGCAAGTCCAGAAAGTAGGAACTATTATCCCATTTCCCAGATGAAGAAACTGATGCTCATAGCAGTGAAGTCAGCCACAGTGCTTAGCAGAGGAAGAGGCGTTTGAACTGTGCCAGTGGGGCACCATGCTAACCGCCATGCTGTGTGTCATCTCCTGCCGTCAGGAGGGCACTCCCCCCCCACCACCAGCCTTGCCCTTTCACTGGCCTTAACATAGAAATTAAGCACATGCGCACCCCCCTGCCCTCCTGTGCAGGGGGACAAGTGACTGGATCACCAGCACTCTGAGTGACCTCCCAGAGGGGAGGAGGGGCTGGTCCTGCAAGGGCTTGTTATCCAGGTGATCTCCAGGCCTGGAGCCTGTTCCCTGGTTTTCGTCAAGGCTGAGTGAAGGAATTCTCACCTTATTTAACAGCCTGAGAAATAGGTTTGAGGAGGGTATAGAGACACTTCTTGAGAAATTTCCTCAAATAAATCACTTTGGCTCCTCGTTACAAAACTTGTGCACATCTGCCCTTTGCCCCTTCAGTAACTAAGAAGGAACAGGGAGCAGTAGTTGGGAGGGTCATTCCCACTGAGCAGATGTAGAAACAGGCTGGGCAGGGAAGGTGACCTATCGGGGGCAAAGGAAGTCAATGACCGAGCCAGGAGTGGCCAGGAGCTGTGCTGGGGCCTGGGGACTGCTGGCCTCTGTTCCTCTCTCTCACTTCTTGCAGCCAGACCTCAGGGGAGACTAGGAGCTGGCTCCTGGGTGACGTGAGTTTGGCTCTTATTCAGTTTCAGAAGTGACTTGCAGTGGATCCTCTTCTGTGCAGACCTGCCCTCCCTCATCCAAGAAGGCCCTCAGTATGTACCTTGATCCAGAACCTCAAGCCTCTGCCTTTACTACACTTAATGAGGATTGATCCAGGAGGGTGGGAGGGGTGGGTTCATTTCATCTCAGCAGCCTGGGGAGGGGAAGGGGGGTCCTGGGCACATGCACAGTAAATGGAGTTGGAATCAGTGAACAAGTGAGTGAATAAATGGACCTGGTCCATTATCTCTAACTCTACTTTGGCAACTACTCTTCTTGGAATCCCAGGTGACATCTCCCCACCCCCCCCCTCCCCTTTCCCTCATCTTCAGTACTTGGTCAGCCTCTGCCATGAAAGAATATCAGATCTCCCTACTGTGGGAACTCCCCCAGGGCCAGCCATTCTGTTCCCCACACTCCAGCTTCCAGGGCAGAGGGGGGCCATAAAAACCTGACTTAGGGATTGAGGGGCTGGGCCTTTTCTTCTAGGTGTGGGCTGGTGGCCCTGTGGATGGCAGGCACTCTCTTGGTACCCCCCAGCGGCATCCCCTTGGAGAGACTCGTGCACATGGCCATGGAGAGAGGCTACACGGCCCAGGGAGAGATGTTCTCCGGTGAGTTGGGTGCAAGTCTGGCCTTCTTCTCTAGGAATGGACTTGAGAGGCTGGGTGAGACACTGCCTCACCCAGTGTATGGGAGGGTCTTCTTCCAGTCTTCAGGCCCTTCCCCCCACCCAGTGTTACAAGGTAGACTCTGGAGCAAGGCTGTCTGGGTTCCCAGCCCAATTCTGCCACTTCCTACTATGGGGCCCTGGACCCTGACCCTCTCTATGCTTCTCATGGTCACAGGAAGGCTGAGAGGCATCGGTCCCCAGGGACCCCTTGATACGGTGAGAAGCACAGAGTGACCCCTGCTCTCTGTATGTTCTGTCCATGCAGTGGCCAACATGGGAAGGCTGGCTGAGGAGGCATTGGGCTGCCAAGTTGAACTGCTCCGTGGGGGCCTGGGTGGTCCCAACAAAGGCCGTGTGCTGCAGCACCTTGTCTCTGGACACCCCTTGCTCATCCCGTATCCCAGGACATGAAGGGAACAGGGTGGGGTGGAGAAGCGCGGGTCCCAGGCCACATCATAGCTTTGGCCTTAACCCCAGCATCAGCTACGATGAAGACTTCAACCATGAACCCTGTCGGAGGAAGGGCCACAAGGCCCACTGGGCAGTGAGCTCAGGTGGGTTCCCTCCCCTGTGCCCCTGTGTTCTCACCCTGCATCTCCCCAGCTTCCCCCCTCACCCCCCTCACATTCTCACCCTGGCTCTGGCATCTCCCCAGTACTCTTCAAGACAGGACCTCGCAGGTAGCAGGTCCTCAGAATCTGCCAAACAAGCTCAGTGTGCAGACTTTTGGATCAAACATTCTGGACTCCTGGCCCAGTCCTGCCACCTCCAGCTCTGACTCTGGGCTTCCACGTGCCGATCTAGAAATTGAAGCGACAGTAGTACCCACCTCATAGGGCTTCCTTGTTGGCAGAGCAAGGGAAACCCTTAGAACGGTGGTGCCTGGCACATTGCACATCTCAGTAGGCATTAGCCGTGACTAGCATTGTCATCATCCCACCTGCCTGGAAAAAGGGATGGATTTGTGTCCATCAAGTGGCCTGGATCAAGCCTGCTCAGCCCTCTCCTGGCGCTGGCCTGAGAGCTGCACTCCCAGTGTCTCCCACCTGGGCAGCTGGAGACGACGGTTGACAATGTTTGCTCTGGTTAATGTCTCCTCTCCACCTCCCAGTGCTGACAGGCTGTAGGAGGCAGGACTTAAAATGCCTGAAGCTCTGGAGCCAGATACACTGGCTCCAAATCCCAGCCCGTCTGTGTGCCCGGTGGCCCCCACTGATTTCTCTTAGTGTTGGGGAGTAGGCAGCACCTTCCCTGGAAGGCTGTGGAGGGAAACACAGTGAGCCCCAGCTCATCGGGGCTCAGCCTCCACTCACAGCCTCCTGCTCTCCTCGCAGGAGTCCTGTTGGGTGTTCGGGGCGTGCCAAGCCCCGGCTACACTGAGGACCCTGAGCTGCCAGGCCTGTTTCACCCAGTGCCCAGCATGCCCCACCAACTGCCATCCCTGCCAGAGGAAGGCTCGCTGGGAGCAGTATACCTTCTTTCCAAGCAGGGAAAGAGTTGGCACTACCAGCTGTGGGACTACAACCAAGTCCAGGATAGCAACCTACAGCTGACGGACTTCTCACCCTCTCGGGCCGCTGATGGCCAGGAGTATGTGGTTCCTGCTGGTGGAGTGCGAGCTGGCCTCTGTGGCCAGGCCCTGCTCCTCAGACCACAGGACTCCAGTCCCTAGCCTGCTGCTGTCCTGAACTGGAGGTGATAGGACCCCGACCCCAGCTTCTCCCTTTGTGTAACCACTCCAGGGTTTGGGCTGGATCTCTAATGGACCTCCAGCCAGAGGTCCTTTTTGCAGGATCCCCTCCACTCCATTTTTAAAATATATATATTTTATTGATTTTTTACAGAGGAAGGGAGAGGGATAGAGAGTTAGAAACATTGATGAGAGAGAAACACCAACCAACTGCCTCCTGCACACCCCCTTCCAGGGATGTGCCCACAACCAATGTACATGCCCTTGACCGGAATCGAACCTGGGACCTTTCAGTCTGCAGGCTGACGCTCTATCCACTGAGCCTCCAGCTCCTTCATCTCAGAATTGAACACCTACTCTGTGGGCTGGGGTTAGAGCCAGAAGCAAGACAAGCTCCCTCTTTCAGGGGAGAGACTGACTACAGCTCAGACCCTGTGTCTCGTCCACCCCGCCCCCCCGAAATGTTGCATCCATTCGTTTCACTGGTGGCCCCCCTCTTTTGAACCATCGACACCTCTGGACATCTGCAAGAGCTTCACTGGGCTCCCTGCTGCCCCCAGAATCTTCACATGGGGTCAGGGCTGAGGGAGCACCAAAAAAGCAAACTAGTTCTCCTCCAGAGAAACTTCTAGCAGCTTCTTGTTTGCTCACAGAATAGGAACTAAACTCCCAGCCCAGCTCACCTCTCCTTATCCCAGGCTGTTCCTCCTCACACTTCCTGCCACCAGCCACACTGACCTCTTAGGTTCCTGGTGCAACCCCACTGCAGCCCTCTGCTGACCAGAACTCAACTTCCCAGTGTGGGAGAGGAACACACTTTCCCCTCAAGGTTCCTTCATCTGTTCTCAGGAGGTTACATGAGACAGGTTATCAAGAAAGTAACCAAATTGAATACATACACATGGCAATCCCCACGTGTACGAGAGATACCAAGTATGGACAAAAGGGGCCACAGGCTAACCTGACAAACTGAAGGCCTGCATCGCAGTCTTGCAAACTCAGAGACCTAAAGTAACACAAAGATGGCCTGAAATTAAACTTTAAGAGCAATTATGGTGGGTAGCTATGTCCTCGGCAGGTATCTTCACTGACAAGGTCAACCTTTAACTGCCTATCTGTCTTTTTGCATCTATGATAACATATCCTTGAAATGACAGAGTATCTTGTAACTTCTCTTTTTTCCAGACCCTTCAGGCCACAACCAAATGCCCTGGGTACCATAAATGTCATTGTTATTATGTTAATTGTTGACTGTTAACTATCTTGCACCACCTAAGTGTCTTATCATTTTACTTTTTATCCAATAACAGAAATTTCCCTGATTTGCTTTCTCCCGCCTCTCTAATCTATCATCAGTGTATTTCATGTAACCCACCTAAAACCCCTCCCTTGACTGTAATGTATAAAAATAGATGAAAATTATTCTCTGGAGCATTATCCCAATCCATTGAAATTCTGCTTCCCAGCAATTGTCTACAGGTTGGCTCAAATAAACTCACAAAAAATATTTACAGATTTGAATGTTTTAACATTAAAACAAGACAGGGAAAATGAGGCATATATGCCATTCTGAACTAAGGATAATTATGGGGCTTCAGAGGGAGGAAGGTCATTACAGGATGATGATAAGAGCAGATGTTCAGCAATTAGAAGTTTACCCTGCCCTATAGATAGGTCAGAAAAGGTTATCTCAGTCTTTAGAGCTAGCCCTCGAATTCAAATTCTTCTAGATAGTTAAGGGTGGGTGGGGCAGAGGTTTCCTTGAGCGTGTGGTGTCTTGGTTCCCCTAGCTCAAAACAACCCACAGACCACAGAGGCACGTCCTGGGGTGACTTGGTCTGAACCCCTACACCATCTTGGCTCATTATCACTTCCTCAAGGAAGGTTCCCTCAGCCAAGACTAAGCCCCTTCCCCACCTCTGTTCTCCTTTAAAAATAAAAAAATGTTTCTAAGAACAGTTAAATGTGCTGAAACTGGTTTGGCTCAGTGGTAGAGCATCTGCGGACTAAAAGGACCCAGGTTCTATTCCGGTCAGGGGCATGTACTTTGGTTGCCGGCACATCCCCAGTGGGGGGTGTGCAGGAGGCAGCTGATCGATGATTCTCTCTCATTGATGTTTCTAACTCTCTATCCCTCTCTCTTCCTCTCTGTAAAAAATCAATAAAATATATTAAAAAAAGAACAGTTAAATGTGCCAACCCCTTTACCTGTGTTAACTCATTAAATCCTCCTGTAAGTCCTGTAAGGAAGGTACTAGGTCCTCCCCATTTTACAGATGGAGAGACTAAGGCTTAGAAGAGTACAGTCACAGGCTTAAGGTCACATAGCTTGGCAAATGGCAGGGTCAGGATTCAAATCGGGCAGATAGTACCTACACAGATATAAGTCCTCCTATATAATAAAGAGGTAATATGAAAATTTAACCCTCATGTCGCAAGATGACTGCGCCCACAGTGGAGGCAGGGTTCCCATAACAACTGATCAGCAGGGACTTGAGGCTGCATGGCTCCGAGGTGGGGGACCTCAGGCCACACCCCCTGCCCTGGTGCCATGTTGGGGGTCCTCAGGCCACGCCCCCACCCACCCTGGTGCTGGGGGGCGGGGGCAGGGGACCTGAGGCTTCACCATTGGCCTTGACTGGAGACCTGAGGCTGCGCCCCCTGCCCAGTGGGGCTTGACAGGGATGGGGCCAGCTAAGTCTGGATCTCACCCAATGGGGGTAGGGCCAACTGGGTCTGGGTCTCGTGCAATTTTGAGGTGCACGCAAGTGGGCGGGACTTGACTCTGGGTCCTATGGTGTGACCCAGACTCTGACAGGAGGGAGATTTTCATATACATTTTACTAATTTTCTTTATAATCTCTGACACTTCTATTATAGAAAAAGGGCAAATAGCAATATTAAAACATTTCCTCTAATTAGTTCCCTTTGAATGTGCACGAATTTCATGCACAGGGGCACTAGTATCTAGATAAGTAGATACGTAATTTTAGAGAGAGATTAGTTTAATGAATACCTGTTGCCTCCCTCAGAAAAGGGAGGAACAAATCAGCTTTGATGACTGCCATGTCTGCAGTACAAAGGGGCTTTGGAGAGACTATATGGTATAAGTATAGTGCTTTTTGTTTTTGTAGTTTAGTGTTTCTAACCAGAAGAGGGGAATCCTCAATCCCAGCCCCAATCCCTCCACCTGCACTTCCCCTTCGCAGCCCTGACAGCAGTGACTGGCCTTCTGGTGAATTGTCCTGGGAGGGTCGGCACTGTCTTGGTCACCACAGTTATCCTGCCTTATCCAGCAGTGAGGCCCAAGAGGAGCAGCTCAGTGAACACTCCAAGCCTTCATCTGTACCCCAAACCCATCACTGTCCTGAGCTTTGAGCCCATACTCGCCAGATTAAAAAAAAAATCCACGAAGTTGGCTTTGAATGTTCTGTTTATTAGGGGTCGTCGTGGGGGGAAGGCAGTGAAGCGATGTTGCCTCCTGTTCCCCAGCACTGCCCCATCTAACAACTACCTGTTTCTCTTGTATAAATAAGTATAAAGGTCCATAGAAAAGGAACAGGCCTCCTGAGCCCTGGAAGACTACATTAGAGTTTTGACCCAGAAAGAGAGAGCTGCCTGTCCTCTCCAGCCCAGCCCTGAGGGCCAGGAGGCCAGTTACAAGTACAGGAGGAGAGGGAAGGGGGGCTTTGGTTTGGACCAGGTTGTGAGCCTGGCGTCACAGCCAGCAGCCCCACCACTCTCAGCCTCTGACTCAGCAGGGCACTTCTCACGCAGGGGCCATGGGGTGCAGGCCACCAAAGGAAGGCAGCTCTGGTTCCCGAGCCAGCTTCCCTGCCCCTGCACCTCAGTCAGCAGGGAGGAAGGGGACCTAACAGGGTAAGGGGAGGAAGTCCCAAAGCTGAGGTGGTGCCAGAGGAATGAGGTTGTGCTGGTCAGTGCTGGCACAGGATGTGGCCGTGGTTTTGGTCTGCAGCCGGTCAGCAAAGCTCTCCCAGGAGCAGGAAGGATCCCATGAGGCCATAGGAGGACAGGACAGGGTGAATGGGCTCTGCTCAGCAGCGTCAGCTCTCAGGCCGGTCCCGTGGTGTCACACCCTTCTCAGCACCTGAAGGGCCCCCAGAAGAAGGCAGCTCCTCATTGGCTCACAAATGAGGTCTGGTCCTGGGGCACCACAGATGAAGCAAATTGGTCCCTGGCATCGGAGCCAGCTTGTAGCCGGAGGGGGCTGACAAGGAGTAGTGATCAGTCATTCCTGTCGCGACAGGCATGTGTCAGGCCTGTAGCCACAGCATCTGAATGGTGTTCTTTCAGGATGTATGGGTTAGTTGTGGCCTCCAGCAGCCCCTCTGGAACCTTCCTGGCTGGTCAGAGGACTCTGTCTGGTTCTGACCCACAGTGGGACCCAGCCATGTCATGTCCCCTCTCCAGTCCTTACAATCCCTGGATCATGAAAGGGCTGGGTGTTACTTGGTCTACAGGGCCCTTCAGATCTTCCACACTGGGCTTGAGTGGTGTGCCTCCATGGCTGAACTCAGGCCCCTGCACCCCTCAGGCCTCCTCCAGCCAGCTGGGTACCATCCAATAAAGAATCCTCGCAGAAGGCAAGCAGGTCAGCTCTGGGCCAGCCCCTGAAGAAGGAGAATCATGTTGTCCAGGCCCCAGAGGTAGCCGTCCTCACGATTACCCTCAGCCCAGGGCAGCCGGTGGCTGAGTGTCTGATGGTCAGGCAGAGCCACTGTCTTGCCAAAGTCGATCATCCAAACCTTTGCCAGGCCAGTGTGGTCATGCACAAAGAGAAGGGAGCTGCCCACCACCTGCAGGGAGGCAGACAGGAGGTTAGGGGCAAAGCACTGGCCAGTGTCTCCTCCCCAAGGGGCATCTGAGCAGGGTGGCTGACCTTATGTACTGTGGAACCAGATTGCCTGAGTTCAAATCCTGGCTCTGCTACTTATAGGCTGTTATGCCTTGGGCAGGTGGCTTAACCTCTCTTACTCTGCCTCCCAATATACAAAGTGGGAATAATGGAATAATAGTACCATTTACCTGTAAGGTTGCTGTGCACATTACATGTATGAATTAATCATATAAAACACTTAGAACACTTGCAAAATAGCAAATGCACAACACATGTTAACTGGTATTGTTCTTCAAACTGAGCATAAACTCGAATGCCTGCAGGATCCTGAATGGATCAGGAGAGCTGGTGGGGACTAAGAAAGTAGATCACGCTTTCCACTTGCGAATTGCTGCTGATAACCCCAGACAAGTAGCTTCCTTTCTCCAAACCTTGGTTTCCTCATCTATAGAATGGGGGGTAGGGGGGACGACACACACCCCTACTTCCTGGGATCACTGGCAGCATTCTTTGATCTATACACTTACCACGTGCCTGTGAGGTTGGGATGCAGCCCTCAGAGATGCTGGTTTTGTTTTTCTAATGAGAAATAGCAGTTTCCTTGCCTTCATCTAAGTCCACATTTGCACACCCTTCCCTGTTTCTAACCATCTGCACACTGCACTCCCCGGAGCCAGAGAACCTAGATGATGGGGCAGGCGAGTGGGCGCCTCTGCTCCAAACGGCTGTTGGCATATGTCAGTGGCCTGGTGTTGCCACATCTCCCAATGTGCCAAGGGAAACTGGAAACCCTGATTTTGGTGGGAAGGCCCACGTTTTAAATGTTGGCAACTCATCTTTTACCTTTATTTTTTATTTTTTATTTTTTTAAAATATATTTTATTGATTATTTTACAGAGAGGAAGGGAGTGGGATAGAGGGTTAGAAACATCAATGAGAGAGAAACATTGATCAGCTGCCTCCTGCACACCTCCCACTGGGGATGTTCCCGCAACCAAGGTACATGCCCTTGACCAGAATCGAACCTGGGACCTTTCAGTCTGCAGGCCGACATTCAATCCACTGAGCCAAACCAGTTTTGGCCAGCAACTTGTCTTTTAAAATGTAAAGTCATGCCCTAGCTGGCTCAGTGAATAGAGAATTGGCCTGCAGACTGAAAGGCACAGGGTTTGATTCCGGTCAAAGGCACATGCCTGGGTTGCCAGCTAGATACCCAGTAAGGGGCATGCAGGAGGCAGCCAATCAGTGATTCTCTCTCATCATTGATGTTTATCTCTCTCCCTTTCCCTTCCTTTCTGAAATCAATAAAAAAAATATATTTTTTAAAAAGTTAAGTCACCAAGCAGGTGAAACCAAGCACCAGGACAGATGAGATGAGCTCCCCAAGCCTCCTCTTTGAGACTTGTGTGTAAAGCCCAAAGGCCGTGACAATGACAATGAGGGTGACCTTTGATAAGAGACATGGCAGTAACAGCTGGCACTTACTGAAGGTTTACTATGGGCTGCACTGTCCCTGTATTAATCCCTTAACCTTCAGGTTGCCTAGGAGGCAGGCACTCCGTTATTCCATCCTGCAGGTCAGTAGACAGGCCTGCAGAACTGGGGTCCAAACCCAGGCCAGCCTGACTCCCAGATCAGGGCTCTCCCAGAAGTTAGTGATAGCCAGGAGAAGGTGGAGGGCTTGGGCGTGGGGAGGGAAGAGCTTGGACAGAAGAGGGGAGGAGAGGATGCACAGGATGCTGTCACCACTTCCCAGACTTTGAGACAGCCTCAAAGAGAGGAGCGCTTTCAAAGAGACAGGCTGCTGTGGGAGGGAGGGAGGGAGAGAGCCACCGAACAACGAATTTAGGTTAACAACCTATATAATGAGAGGAATATGCTAATTATCCATTAGGCCCTGAGGCATACAGACCAGATCAGCGATCAGCAGGAGGGTGGGGATCAGCAGGAGGGTGGGGCGGAGAGTTACAGGATGGGGCAGGGCAGCTTCCACAGTGAGAACAGCCCAGACTAGCCTGCAGGAGTGAGGTAGAGGGAATCTACAGGAGGGCGGGGCAGCTGGCAGAGATTCCTGTGCAGGGCTTCTAGTGATTATAAAGTAATTGTAAGAGGTAGGGGTTAAATGTGCTTTTATGCTCCAAATGGTGTTCAACAGTTGCTAGTCTCACACCTGTAGGGAAGCAGCCTGTAAGGAAGATATGGTTCCTCCCTATCTTAGGAGGCAACTGAGGCCTGAGAGGTCACAGAGCAGAGCCAGCCTCATCCCAGGCCGCCTGCCTGAGTCCATGCTCCCTGAAATCCCCTGTGCTGCCTACTCTGAAAAGGCAAACCCCAAAACATAGGCCTCCTTTTAAACTGCTTTAGCCTTAATTCTGCCAGTGATTTTTCCTCAGGGCAACCTGGACCCCAACCCACCTCCACCTCACACATACACCGGACCCTCTGCTCCCCTGCGGGCCGGGGCTCACACCTCATGGGTCTTGAAGAAGGGGGAGTTCTCCAGAGCTTCTCGGAGTTCTTCTAGGCGTGCCACGTACTTTCTCTGTTTGAGGGGAGAGTTTCTTGGTTAGCGCAGGGACTTTGTGGGTCCTTACCCATCTTGAGATCTGGCCTCATCCCGTACCCGACCAGAATGGAAAAAGGGGAGCCATGGGGAAAACAGGAGGCGAGGTTGGAAACATAGGGGAGGCACAGACAAGGGTAAGGTTAGTAGATTACATGAATACCCATAACTCCCGGCAGCTCCTCCCATAAAGAGGTGAGTCTGTTACCCTCTACTCTAGGCTTGGTCATAACTTGCTTTGGCCAACAGAACATGGCAGAAATGAGGGTGTCTTAGCCATCAAGAGGCTTTGCATTTCCATTTGTTCTCTTGGCCACGGGTTTCTACTGTGAGAACAGCCCAGACTAGCCTGACAAGGGGAGGAGTCATCACCCGAGGCTACCAGATACAGGGGCAGGCAATCCTAGAAATCCAGTTCCGGCCCAGCCACCCACTGACCCAGATGGTGAGCAACACCACCCAGTACCAGCCAACCTCAGCCCTAAGCAAAATACAGGGGCAACAGTGATGGTGGTGGCCCTGAACTGCTAGGTCGGGGGCACGGGTGTCCCACTCACCAGGATTCCAAGGTTCCCATCCACAAAGTCCTCCAACACCTTTGTCACTTGCTCTAGCTTCTGTGTCTTCTTGAAGTTGGTGTTGCAGGTCCCATCGGCTTTCTGCAGGACAAAGATTGAAGGTCCAGTGTCATAACTTTCCTTTCCATGCTCGACACTAACCAGCCCCTTCCTGGGGCCACCTGCCTGCCTCCACATTCACCTGCTGTTCACAGAAGCCAGCCCACCTGCCCAGCTCAGATCAACTCAGCCCCAAGTCACACTCCTGAGCAGCTAGTCCTCCCAAGTCTAACCTGAACCCCCTGGTTGTGCCAGTCTGGCCAGATGTGTTCTGGAGGGGGTAAATCTGGCTTTGAATTGTGACTCTGCTACTTCCTAGCTGGGTGGCTTTAAACAAGTCACTTTATCTGTCTCAACCTTAGTTTCTTCATCTAGGAAACGGGAATTGTGCTAAGGCTGTTCAGAATAGAGGAGACTGGGTATGTAGGATGCATGGCACAGTGCTTGGCACATAGTAAGCAAGCACTCAATAAATGAGACTAATGTTATTTTTTATCTCTGAGAGGACCACTTGAGTCGTACTGTCATGCTGTTCCAGGTACCAGGTGGGCATTGCTAACATGGTGGTAACAGGACAGACACAGTCAGATGAGGGGAACAGATATTGAATTAGAACATCACAAAGGGAGATAAGAATAATGAAGGAGCCGAGGCCAGTTTGGCTCAGTGGTAGAGCGTCGGTCTGTGGACTGAAAGGTCCCGGGTTCGATTCCGGTTAAGGGCATGTACGTTGGTTGGGGGCACACCCCCGGTGGAGGATGTGCAGGAGGCAGCTGGTCGATGTTTTTCCCTCATAAACGTTTCCGGCTCTCTATCTCTCTCCCTTCCTCTCTGTAAAAAAAAAAATCAATAAAATATATTAAAAAAAAAAAAAAAAAAGAAGAAGAAGAAGAAGAATGAAGGAGCAATGGAGTTATGAGGAGGTGTGGAGGAAGTGGAAAGACAGAAAAATGACTGGAAGCCAACTGGGGGAAAAGTAGAGGGAAGAACAGTCCTGCCAGAGGGAACAGAAAGTGCAGAGGCCAGGACCCTTTCAAGGAAATGAAGCTTCACTGTAGCCTGAAGGTAAACGAGGAAGAGAGGGATGAGGAATGAGGCTAGATGGTGGAGGGCCCTCTAGGTCAGGGAACATCTCTTGAGGGCTCTAGGGAGCCATTGAAGAGTTTCAAATAGGAAAATGACACACCCGGATAGACTTCTATCCGGGGAGGCTATGGGGAAAGAGGCACTCTCAAAAATTGCTGGTGGAATGCACAATAATACACTTATGGAATGGGTTCGGCAACCGCTAGCAACATTCCCAATGCATTTCATCATTGACTCAGTTGTCCTGCTTCTGGGAATCTAGTCTACAGCTAAATCTCATGCTTGAAAAATGCCTTACTGGTTGTTCTAAGTGATCCATTGAGGTGTTGTTTGTAATGACAAAAAATGGAAGCAACCCGGGTGGCCATCTATAGGAGTCTATGGCACATCCACAAAAAGCTATTACAGTTCAAGAAAAAAAAAAAAGAAGAAGAAGAAGCCAAGACCGGTTTGGCTCAGTGGGTAGAGCATCGGCCTGTGGACTGAAGGGTCCCATGTTCGATTCCGGTCAAGGGCATGTACATTGGTTGCGGGCATGTCCCCATTAGGGGGCGTGCAGGAGGTAGCTGATCGATAACTCTCTCTCATCGTTGTTTCTATCTCTCTCCCTTCCTCTCTGTAAAAAATCAATAAAATATATATTTTTTTAAATTTTTTTTTAAAAAGGAAGAGGAAACTCTCTATGAGATGATATGCCATCTTTTGTGTCAAGAAGGGTGGAATTTTTAGGATATACAATTGCATTTGTGTGCATTTGCAGGAAGAGAAATAAGAAACTTATAGTGATTCCCTGAGAATAGGTGGGGGGTGAGGTGGGGAGAGGGACAGAATGGGAAAGACAGCCACAGGGTCAGCAGAGTGATTTCCTCTACACACCCTTTTATAACATAATTTTGACTTTTGAATGGTGTGACTACTTATTTAAAAAATTAGATTTAATTTACAAAAAGAAAAAAAAAAGGAAGGAAAGAGAAAAATCTTTCTCCCTGAGGGGGAAAAAGGATCGCTCCAGCTGAGTTGGACGATGATCAGAGGAGGCTGAGCTGAAGACAGGGCCAGACTAGGACAGGGCCATGGGAGGAAAGAAGGCGACTTGAGATGCTCAGGCAGAGGGATGAACAGCACTTGGTCACTGATGGATGTGGGGGTGAGAGGAGCAGGACCTCTCCTAGCCCCATCTTTTCATCTTCTGCAGTCTCCTACTCTCTTTCCTGTTTTTCCTGACACCCGAGCTCCCTGAGGAGCCCTGCCTAGATATAGTCCTCAAACGACAGGCTAGCAGCTCCTGGACCTCACCTTGATGCCCTCAATGCGAAAGCCCAGGGTGGAGGTTGAGCTCACAGTCTCCCTCCACTGCATGTAGCGAGGCTTGGTGACGGCACCCTGGGCATGCTCCTCAGGGGTGGGGGCCCTGGGGTCCACAGCCACCATCTTCTCATACATGTCCTTGCGGGGCCGGGGCCGTTCCCGAGCCTTCACCAGCTCCTCCTCCAGGTAGGTCCTGGGACAAAGAGGATGTGACACCATGGGCATTTCTGAAACACAAAGCGTTCCCCGGCCCAGTGTGGCTCAGTTGGTTGGGCATTCTACCGTGCACCAAAGGTGCTGGTTTGATTCTTGGTCAGGACACATGCCCGGGTTGTGGACTGGATCTCCAGCAGGAGGCAGCCAACATCAATGTTTCGATCATCAATGTTTCTTTCTCTCTCCCTCTCCCTTCCTCTTTATAAAATCAATAAAAATATATTAGAAAAACAACAACAAAAATAAATAAATAAATAAATAAATAAATAAATAAATAAATAAATAAAAAACAACACAAACCTACCAACCATAATGAAAAAAGTTGACAAACTGGACTAAATTAAAAGTATTCTCTTTATCAAAAGACAGTACTAAGAGAGTGAAATGGGAAGTTGGAGAATGTGTGCATAGGTATGTAAAAGACTTGTATCCAGAGCATATAAAAAATTATAAAAAAAGAAAAGAAAAAGAAAAAGAAAAAAAATTACAAGTCCAAAAGAAAAAGATAACCCAATAGAAAAATAGGTTAAGTATTCAAACAGGCACCTTTTATATGGCCAATCAACACTCAGCTTCTTTCGTCATCAAAGAAATAGAACTAAAACCATAAAGTGTTTGTGAGAAGATGGAGTAACTGGATCACACAAACACTGGTAGGAATGTACGTACAACTACTTTAAAGGCTGACTTGGCACTAACTTAAAAAATGCCCATCCTGCCATGACTGGTGTTGCTCAGTAGGTGGAACATCAGCCCACACACCAGTCTCGGGTTCGATTCCTAGTCAAGGGCATGTACCTAGGTTGCAGGTTCAATTATCCCAGGTCCCAGTCAGGGCACTGCGGGAGGCAACCCATCAATGTTTCTTTTTTTCTTTTTTCTTTTTTTTTTAAGTAAATTTTTATTGTTCATATTATTACAAATGTTCCTTCCCCCCCTCCATTATTTCCTCCACCAGGTTCCCACCCCACCCTCTGCCCTTTCCCCACCCCCCATTGTCCTCATCCATAGGTGCAGTTTATGTTCAGTCTCTTCCCACATCCCCCTCTCCCCTTTTCCCCAAGAATCGTTAGTTCACTCCCCTTCCATACCTCTGATTCTATTATATTCAACAGTTAATATTGTTCAGATTTTTTAAAAATTTCCTTGTTTTTTAGATTCACTTGTTGATAGTTACGTATTTGTTGTTCATAATTTTTATCTTTATTTACTTTCTCTTCTGAAAGAACCCCCTTCAGCAATTCATATAATTCTGGTTTGGTGGTGATGAACTCCTTTAGCTTTTTTTTATTAGTGAAGCTCTTTATCTGACCTTCGATTCTGAGTGATAGCTTTGCTGGGTAGATTATCTTTGGCTGTAGGTTCTTACTATTCATCACCTTGAATATTTCTTGCCATTCCCATCTGGCCTGCATGGTTTCTGTTGAGAAATCAGCTGACAATCGTATAGGTGCTCCTTTATAGGTAACTACCTGCTTTGCTCTTGCTGCTTTTAATATTCTCTGTCTTTTGTTCTTGGGATTTTAATTATGATTTGTCTTGGTGTAGTCCTCTTTGGATTCCTTTTGTTTGGAGTTCTGTGCGCTTCCTGGACTTGTAAGTCTAATTCTTTCACCAAGTGGGGGAAGTTTTCTGTCACTATTTCTTTCAGTATGTTTTCAATATCTTGCTCTCTCTCATCTTCTGGGACCCCCATAATTCTGATGTTGGTTCACTTGAAGTTGTCCCAGAGGTTTCTTACATTATCTTCAATTTTCTGGATTCTCTTGCCTTCTTGCTTCTGCGGAGGAGTGTCTTCTGGCTCTTTATGTTCCAAATCTTTGACTTGATTCTTGTGATCTTCCATTCTGTTTTTAGGACTCTGTATAATATTTTTTATTTCAGACAATGTATTCTTTATTTCTTGTTGATCCCTTATCATTTCTTGTTGATTCCTTACTAATTCTAGTTGATCCCTTTTCATATCCTCATAGGTCTTATCGACCTTTTCTAGGAAATTCTTGAAAAACCTTATAAGCATAGATTTGAACTCTATATCCAGTCCTTTTTGTCCTCCATTTCTTTCGTTGTCTCAGCATTTTCGAAGCTTCCCTGATGGGGCGGGGTTTCAGGGTGGAGCCTACAGCCTTGGCTTCCATCAGTCACGTCAGCCCCGCCCTATGCGGTTCCTGAGTCTCAGTAATCCCCAGGGTCCTTCAGTACTTGTTGCAAGCACCTCTGAGAGAAAGGTGCCCTCGATTTTCGCCTGCTACCAAACAGTCTAGGCTCTCCCCCAATGAGGCCGGAATTGGGGTTCAGTTCAGTTGGAAGTGGAGTTGGAGGTGGCGTTCAGAGCAGTCCAGAGCTTTTGTCTCCTTCCCGCCAAGGCAATCCTGCGGCACAGCCAACCGTCCCTTCTCTGCTTGCAATGTGCGCACCTTCGGGACCTCCTTTAGCCGCTCCCCCGGGGTTCCGCCTTACAGCCCAGCTCCCTATGGATGAGCCTGGGTCCCCGGGTCTGTCCTAGAACTGGTGCTCAGAGCAGTCAGAACTGGGGCCCAGCAGAGTTGGAGCTTTTATCTCCTTCCCGCTAGGGAAGGCCCGCCAGGCACTCAGCCACCCCTTCTCTCCGGCTCCGTCCTCTCCGCATGCGCCGCGTGTCTCCGTACCTTAGGCTTTTACAGCTCTTCCGCTCTTCCTTCTGGTTTTCTCCTTGCTTCTCATTGTGGAATTTCCAATCAGTCAACTTTCCTATAGTTCTGGGTAATGTCCGTTTTATATTTTAGTTGTATTTTATTGAAATTGTTGTGTGCGGCTGCGGCTAGGTGTTTACCTGTGCAGCCATCTTGGATTCTCCGCCAATGTTTCTTTTTCTTCTTCTTCTCCTCCTTCTCCTCCTTCTCCTTCTCCTCCTCCTCCTCCTCCCCCTCCCCCTCCCCCTCCCCCTCCCCCTCCCCCTCCCCTCCCTCTCCTCCTCCTCCTCCTCCTCCTCCTCCTCCTCCTCCTCCTCCTCCTCCTTCTTCTTCTTCTTCTTCTTCTTCTTCTTCTTCTTCTTCTTCTCCTCTCTCTCTCTCTCTCTCTCTCTCTCTCTCTCTCTCTGCATTCCACTCTCTCTAAAAATCAATGGGGTGAAAATGCCCACTCCTGACCCTCCACCCCTGCCTCAGGGCTGTCCCTGAACCCACCTGCTGCCCATCTTGCAATCCATGATGGAGGGGCCCTCGAAGTCCGCCAAGAGATCTTCCATCTGGTTGAAGGCCTGATCATCCCTTTGCACCACACCATAGTATGTTGGCACAAAAGGCCGCAAGGGGTCGTTCATCAGCTGCTCCAGGCTGCGCTGCTCACACTGACAGAAACGCTTTAGAATCCGGCCATCCTCTCCTGCCTGGAAGTTCCCTGTGAGCAGAACAATCAATGAGAGTCAGAAACTGTATCAGCAAGAGAATCCCCGTATCCTGCATATATCAGACCCTGGACACTGTCATTTTGTCTGGCAGTTCTACAGCACTTTCTCACCTTCCCTGCAATTCTCAAAATCATGGCCAGGGGTTGCAAAGGAAGAGATATTTCTGCTCTTTGTTTAGACAAAGTCCTCTTCACAGCAGATTGTGCCATCTTTTGTTTTATATCTTCACAATAAGCTGTGGGAATTTTTGTGAGCTCTGAGTCCAGAACCTAACTCTCCAGAGCAGATATGCATTTGCTTCTGGGGCCTATTTAAGTTTATTTATAAATCTGACATTTCTTGGACCATGCAGGCCCTTGGTATAGATTAGAATTACAATTCTTACTGAGGCAGGTTATATTTTCCAAAGATGGTACAATAGTTCCTGTCCCGCATACTCTTCTAGAATGTTGCCAATACTTAGCAAGAAGTGGAATCTCATTCTTCCCCCCTTGAATCTTGGAGGCTATGGCAGAAGCAACACTGTGTGACCTCATAGTCAAGGTCATGTAAAGAGATGCAACTTCCACTTTGTTGGGACTCCTGACTGAAAAGCCTGTCTTTGGCGTCCTGAGCTGTCACATTAAAAATGTTACTTCTCAAGGCCACCATACTGTGAGGAAGCCCAAGCAGCTACATGAAGAAGCCACAACCAGGCTTTTCAGCCAGGAGTCCCAAAGGAGACCCAGCCAATAGTCAATATCAATTGCCAGGCATGTGAGTGAATAGCCCTCCAAAAGTTTCCAGCTTGCAGCCTTCAAGTTGTCCTAACTAAGTTCCCAGATACCACAGAGCAGCAACAAGCCATCCCTGCCAGGCCCTGTCTGAATTCCCAACCCCAAACCTATGAGGGTAATAATATGGTACTTCTATTTCACTAATTTTTTTAACTACCACTAAGTTTTGAGTTTTGTGGGTTTTTTGAATTATTTTAACTCAGTAATAATAACTAGAACACATACTGATGGCAAGCCTGTGTTTACAGTTTGAGGGGGCCTTGCCTTTTCTCTGACTCAGATCTAAGGATGAATAAGGCAGATGAGTTCTCTCACTGTCTCTCTTTGCCGCTGGGTAAGGTTTGTTTAATCAAGCTCACTGCCCAATTTTGTAAAGAAAGTCTTATTGGGACACAGGCACACATGTTTATGTATTATCTATGGCTACTATCATACAGCCACCATAAAGTTGAGTAATTTACTTATTATCTAGACCTTTACAAAAAAATCTATATGTTAGGCATAAGCTAGGCATTGTGCCAGAGGAATTGTGCTAGGCTCTGGGAAGAAACTATTACAGCTGGTGTTTATTGAGGGCCTCCTAAGCTCTGGACATGGGGCAAGGACAGGGAATGATAATTTCCATACACGAGGGGCCTGTGTCTCAGTCTCAATATACATTTTTATTTTAACCCTTCAATTAACTCTGCAAGGGAGGGCAATTATCTCCATGTTACAGTTGAGCAAACTGGGCCCAGTGAGGGAAAGTCACTTGCCCAGGGTCACTCACAAATAAAAAGAAAAACTAGGATTTAAGTCCAGGCCCACTTGTCCCCAGGGTCAAGAACACACACACAGACACACAGACACATACACCAACATTGTGATAACAGGGAACAGCCCTCAACTCTGATGTATAAATCGCCCAGCCCAGGCCTAAGCACTTCCAATAACAACCCCATGGAGATGGGGCTGTCACAAGCCCATTTCACAGATGGGGAAACTAAACTACAGGGAGTAGCTCTGTAGCTTTCTGTCCCCAGTTGGGTGGTGTCTCTGCCCAGCCTTGTCTGCCCCCTGCCCTCCACTGCCCCTGCTCTCACCAGCATGTCCCGACAGCTGGACCCAAGGGTAGTGTTTTCGGAAGGAGACGACGAAGGGCGAATACTTCAGAACTGTCTTCAGTTTCTTCCAGGTTTTGTTCTGTGAGGGGCAGAGCAGGGTGGGGTCAAGACTGAGGCCAAGAAGGGAAGGGGATGCAGATATTGCCATGAAAGGGAATGAAGGTGGACCTGGGACCTTTCCAAGGTCAAGGGGCTTCCTGAGATCAATGCCCCCAAGATGGTTGGGGTGAGCCAAGCCCACTTACTCCAATAATCACAATATCCCTCAAAGGCCTCCACAAAGATGGGGAAGAGTCTCTGTCCATTTCTTCCTGTCATCACTTCCTTTGCATCTGTGTCTCTCTGTCCTCCAAAGAGTAAAGATAGGTCTGTTTTTGTTGCAGTACCAAGCAACCCGCAAGCCTCCCCCAACATACATACACATACCAAAAACTCGGAAGCCTCATTTCTGTCCAACAACCAAGTGAGACCTTACAGGGAAAATGACAGAGGCAGGGGCTGATGAATGGAGGCCACCTCACAGAGAGAAGAAACTGAGACAGATGACAAAGTGACGACAGAGACAGAGAGACATGGGCAGAGACGGAGAAGCAGCAGTCATGAGCTGCTCACCCAATAGCTTCAGCCCTTCCCCTCACAGGCACATCCCTGCCCTCTTTTTTTTTTTTTTTTTTTTAATTGACTTCAGAGAGGAAGGAAGAGGGAGAGAGAGAGATAGAAACATCAATGGTGAGAGAGAATCATTGATCAGCTGCCTCCTACACACCCCACAATGGGGATCAAGCCCGCACCCGAGCATGTGCCTTGACTGAGAATCAACCTATGATCTCCTGGTTCATAGGTAGATACTCAATCACTGAGCCATGCTGGACGTGTCCCTGCACTTTTTTTTTTTTTTTGTCCCTCCCTCTTGAACGTGGAGTTACTGACTTGCTGTGGCCAATGAAATATGAACAGAAGTGTCACTTTTGGGTGGGAACCTTAAAGCCACTGTGTTTTTCTATATTCTTTTCCCTATTGTAGAAAGAGTGGAAAGAGAAATGGAGACTTCCTCAGCTCCCTTACCCACCACTGACCATGGTCAACATGAAGGATGAACAAAGATAATCCTTTGCTTCTCCAAATCACTAAGTTTTGGGTTGTTTATTACTACAGCAAATCCTGACCTATTCTGAGTAACACAGATAGACACTGAGTTACTAAAGACACAGAAAGGAAGACAGATACAAAGTAATGGCAGGGAAAGAAACAGACAGAGGCAGAGAACAGATAGAGAGTAATAGAAAATCAGAGAAGCAAACAGTTCTGCTCTTTATGTGAGAGTGACCCTGGGCAAGTTACTTTCCCTCACCGGCCCAGTGTCCTCATCTGTAACATGGAGATAGTTGTATCATGTTGCCTCAGCTAAGCGCTTCTTGAGACTGTGTGTCTGATTCACTTGTGCACACACACAAATGCATTCTCTGCTCCAAGCACACAGTAGACCCTTAGCTCCATTGGGAGAATGGAACATCTCCAGAGAGGCTGTGTGCTCTTCCCTCCTATCCCCCACCATCCCAGGATCAAGGGCATGCTCTCTCCCAACCCCTCAGAGCCCAGCTCCCCAGCAGACTTCTAATTGAGGTGGGAAGGTCAAGCAGTCAGGGTGCTGCACTGCAGGATTCAGGAAGACCTTTTCCCTAGCCCCTACCCCCTCCAGCTCACAGGAGTGGAGAGGAGGTGATTAATAAAGGTTCCTGTTTACTAAGCACCTGGAACATTCCAGGCATAATGACAAAGACTCAGTGTGCCATAACCTACTTAATCCTAAACATACAACCCCAGGAGAATTCTTGACTCTGCTACAGAGGAAGAAACAAAGGCTCAGAGGGATGTAGTCACTCGCCTAAAACACAGTTCTTTCTACCTCTGGTCTGACACCCCTCTGGCCTAGGCTTGGGGTGAGCCAAGCCTACTTACTCCAGTAATTACAAGATTCCCCAAAGGCCTGTCTGCAACCCTGCTAACAAGCTCTGAGGGCAGGGACTGAGTTGTCATGATTATGACTGTGCCCCAGCCTATGGCCTGGTACACAACAGGTGCTACAAAAATGTTGCTGGGATTGAAGGAGGTTGGTTGCACCCATTTATTTTTATTTTTTAAATCATAAGCAGATTTCATATCTTCTCTTTTTTCTTAGATCTGATGGCTAGGTTAGCTTTCTCAGATGATTTCATGATGGTCTCAGCTCACATGCCCCCTCCTTCAGGAAGCCCTCTCTGATACCCCAGGTCTGACCAGTCACCTCCTCTGCATTCCCACAACCCTCTGGGCTTCCTCTATCCCAGCCTGACCACTCTGAGCTGTCACAGCCTGGAGGTGGGGTCTGTCCCCTTCCTGGCCCTGAGAGCTCCATAAGGTGTGTCTTGATCTCTGCTGTGTCCCCAGCAAAGGGCCTGACACATTGTAGAGGTGCAGGGACTGTTTGTTGTCTGAGTAGGAGGACGGAATGGATGTGAGAAAGGAGGAGGGAGAAAAAGAAGAAAGTAGCTGAAGCTTTAAGGTCAGATGGGATTTCAAAATGAAGAGAGAAGGAAGCAAGGGTATTCTGCGCAGCAGGAACAGCTTGAGCAATGAGTGGAGGCAGGATGGCGGCAGAGTGTTGGAGGAACAGTGTGTACTTCGGCTTTGTTACAGCAGGGGTGGGGGGAGAAGGGAAGCTGAACATGGGAAGGAGCCTGGAGACAGGAAGCTCTGAACACAGTACTGGACGCCTGATCGCTATCAGCAAGGCCCTGGGGAGCCTTCAGAGGCGCTGGAGCAGGCAAAGTTCAAAAGTTGATCAGTGGTGGGCTATGGAGGAAGATTCTGGAAGAATGAGAAAAAGCTGGAGGCAGGAGACCTGGAGGAAAGTAAATTAGGGAGGATCCATACACCAAAGGTGTTAAAATGACTGTTTTAGCCTTGGCAAACATGGCTCAGTGGCAAGAGCATTGGCCTGGACACCGGAAGGTCTCAGGTTCCATTCCTGGTCAAGGGCATGTACCTGGGTTGCAGGTTCCATCCCCATCCCTGACCAAGGCATGTACAGGAGGCAACCAATCCATGTGTCAATCTCATATTGATGTTTCTCTCCTCTCACTCTCTCCCCTTCTACTCTAAAAATCAGTGGAAAAATACCCTCACTCCTTGGGTGAGGATTAAATAAATAAATAAACAAACAAACATAACTGAGTTTTAAACTCAGCCAGAATTGAGTTAAAATCCTCAGGTCTTGCCCTAGCTGGTTTGACTCAATGGATACAGCATCAACCTGCGCACTGAAGGGTCCTAGGTTCGATTCTGGCCAAGGGCACATGCCTGGGCTGCAGGCTTGATCTCTCTCCCTCCCTCTCCCTTCCTCTCTAAAAGGGAGGAAGATAAAATAAAATATATATATATTTTTTAAATCCTCAGGTCTGGCTCCAACTAGACTTGGCCAACCTAAGCAAGTGACTTCACCATTCTAGGCCTCAGTTTCCTGATCTGTAAAATGGAAATAATAATAATCCCAATCTTACAGTGCTGTTATAGGAATTCAGAGTTAACATACAGTCCAGCCAACGTGGCTCAGTGGTTGAGCATCAACCTATGAACCAGGAGGTCACAGTTAAATTCATGGTCAGGGCTCAATCCCCTGTAGTGGGCATGCAGGAGGCAGCCAATCAATGATTCTCTCTCATTAATGCTCCTATCTCTCCCTCTTCTCTCTTTCTCTTTGAAATCCATATATATATTTTAAAGAGTTAATACATATAAAGCACTTAGAAAAGTGCTATATTTCGTAAGGATCTGAATCTCAGCTCTGTATCTTCCAAGGTGTGTGACTTTGGACAAGTGTCTTTGACCTCTTGTCTGTGCCTCAACTTCACCTATAAAATGAGACAAGAATAGCACTTACCTCCTAAGGCTGCTGTATGAGAATTAAATGAGTTAATACGAGCAAGAAGCTTCCTATAGGGCTGGGCATGAATGGTTTTTTCTTCACCCACTTCCAGCTCAGGTGTTCTGAGATGCCAGAGGTGAGAGCAGGCAGAGGAACAGCAATGGCAGACAGCCCCATGGGTCAACTTCTTTGCTCTGGCATAGGCAGGCTGAGGCAGGTCTGTCTTTCACACCTGTGGCCACATGTGTGAGCATGTACTTCAGGGAGGCATGTAGGGTGAGGGGGGCTCCGGTGGACTCCAGCCATGGGCCCCGAACAATGGGACTACCAAGTGGGCGGGCCCATGGGAGGCTCCCACACCTGACTCTGCTGACTCTCTCCTGAACCTGCCCTGCCAGCCCTCCTGATTCATCAGCAGAGAACCGCACCCACGCTGGGGGGAAGGGGGCGGCTGTAAACAAGAATCTGCCAGGGGCCCCCTGGGGAGCTGGGGACAATGGAAAGACTGAAGGGTCCCTGGCTAGGTTGGGGGTGTGTGTGGCCCTGAGCATTTTGGGTTTACACAGCCCTTTGAAAATCTAATAAAATCTGGGTGGGGGCTCACACCCTACAAAAGTGAATGAGCTAAGGGTGGTAAAGTTTCAGGACGTCTTAAGACAGCCACAGGCCCCAGACTAAGAAATGTGGGGTAGCCCACATTTGTCCCCCTATACTATTGCTGTTCAGATTTTGGGGTCACACTTCACAGTTCAGAGGGTCCAATAGAAGTCATGGACCCTTTTTGAAAAAAATGTGCACACACACACCAGCTCACACCATCATATGATTCCTGGGCATAAAGTCAGCCAGTGGCTATCCATCTGAGACTTCAGGACTGGAGGCAGTGGATGAGGGGGAGAGGGGAGACAGTGGGTGAAGGGGGTGGGAGGATTTGGAGGAGGGTCCCAGCAGAGGGTTAGTAGTAACCCAGCTGTCAGAGGGAGAAGGTAAATGGATGGAAGAAATACCTGGAGATGAAATTGCTGATAGGTGCTAAAGAACTTCTCAAAGCAAAGGCAGGGGAATAAGGGGTGTGGAGGGATGTGGCTTAAGGGCAAGATGGGTCCCACTCACCCCAGACCTGTCCTCAGGGTCGCTGGCACCTCCACCCCCGGCCATCACGTCATCCTCAGACTCGTCGAAAGAGGAGGCGGAGGAGAAGCCTCCACTGCCCACTTCAGCCCGGGAGAGGAGTCCCACTGGCTGAGCCTCAGGCTCAGGGGTTTCAGGAGTGATGATGAGGCGGGGCACAGGGGTCAGGGAGTTATACCCCAGGTGAGAGTACAGGTGAGTCACCAAATGTCCAGGTTCTGGTTCCGCTAATGGGCCATCTTGGTTGGGTTCCCCCAAAGAGTAGTGTGTCCCGGGCTCTGTCTGGGGTCCTTGAGTATCTTGTGTCTGCGCACCATCAGTGCCAGGCTGTGTCCGGAAGCCATCAGTAGCTTGTGGTGTTGGAAAACCATCAGTGTCAACCTGTCTCCAGGTTGTTTCAGTGTCCTGTTGTATCTGGGAGCCACCAGTGTGAGACGATGTCCAGGGGCCTTCGGGATCCTGTTGTGTCCCGGAGCCATCGGGGTACAGTTTCTGCCAGGCCCCCTCCAGCTGAGTCTGAAGGCTAGAGCTCTCCTGGCGGGTCCAGGGGTGGTCCGTCCAGGGCTTGGACCTCTCTGGCTGGGTCTGTGACCCATGGATCTCTGACTCTGTCCAGGCCACATCAACGCTTGGATGTGTCCAGAGCCTGGCCCTCTGTGGCCGAGCCTGGAGGCCAGGCCTGCGTGGGTCCGAACAAAATCCATCTGTGCCAGTCTCCTCCGTGCAGGGGCCGGGGGTGTCCGGCTCTGACCAGTGGCTGCTCCTCTCTGGATGTGTCCGCAGGCTGGACCGGTCTGGCTCCGTCTTCTGACTGGGCCGCTCTGTCTCCGCTCCGAGCCCGGCTGCTTCAGGCTCGGTCTGTCTGTCTGTGCCCGGTTCAGGCCCCAGGCTGGCCTTCTCGCATTCAGAGTGGAGGCAGGACCCCGTGGCCCCGGCCCGGGGCCCGCCCCCCTCCGGCCGCCCCGCCGGGCCCCCGGCGCCGGGCCCCGGGCGCTGCTGCCCGGGCTGCCGCCGCCGCCCCCCTCGCGGCGCCTCCAGCCCCATGCGGGCCCCCGCTGCCGGCAGCGCCCCGGGCTCTGCCTCGTTCACACCCCCCCGGCACGGGCAGCGTCTCATGCCCGCTCCCTCAGCTCGGACTTCGGCCCGACACGGCCCCTCCTGGCCCTTTAAATCCCAAAGGGGTGTGGCGGGGGATCCCCGACTCGCGGTTCCGGCCCCGCGGATCTCCAGTCCACACAGTGGTTAACCGATACTCCACCTCCGGGGAAGCCCGAGGCCCCGCCCACAGGACGTGGCGTAGGGGGCGGGGTGTAGGGCGGGGCCTCGTCTGTCCCCGCCCCCTCCCGCAGAGGGATGGAGTCCCAGCGCCGCAAGCTGACCCTGGTGGGGTGTAGGCCCCCTGGGGTCCTGCTTGAGGGGCAGTGGGGCCCCCCCTAGAAACCCGCGACTAATCTAACCTCCCTACACTTTGAGTGACCAATCAAGCCTCTTATAACTCTCGGGGACGAGTCCAGCAGCGTTCCAAAGACTTGGGGATCCCAGGGATGTGTGAGTTTGAGACCCACCTCTGCCAATTCCCAGCTGTGTTACCTTAGGAGTGGCTTCCGCCCCTACCCGGGCTCATTTCGTCACCTGTTAAATGAGGGTACATAATATTACTTGATTGTTTCCAAAAAATGTTTTTTCAATACCACAAAAGCCAAGCACTTTACCAACAGGGAAATTGAGGCCCAGAGTAGTGAATTTGCCTAAGGTCAAAGGGAGCTTAGATGAGGGACAAAGCAAGGAGGGGCCTTAACTCTGAAGCTAGGATACCTAGCCAAATCCTGGCTCCAATAGACTTGTATCGGCTGAGCCTCAGTTTCCTCATCTGTAAAAAGGGGACAGCAATGATAATGTCCTTACCGGGTTATGGGAATTTTTTTTTTTGGGGGGGGTATGGGAATTTTTATTTATTTACAGCAACATAGACATTTGTGTACTTGCTTTGTGCCATGTACTGTACTTACCACTTTATACCCCGTACCTTTTGAGGTAGGAATTACCACCATCCATGCTCAGGGAAACAGAGGCACAGAAAGCCAATATCCAAGATCACATATCTAAATTGTGTAGATCTGAACCTAGGCCAACCTTATTCAAAGTCTGAGCTTTTGTTCCCTACTGGGAGATATAACTTGCTTTTGAGGTTGAGGTGTTGGAGGAGGAGCTGGAAGTAAGAGTATTTTCTCTAAATTAGATCATAACCCTCTGTTCAGAACACTCCATGTTTCCCATCCCACTCAGGGTAAAAGCCACAGTCCTCCTCATGGCTCATATATTCTACATGATCTGGCTCTAGTTATCTCCCAAACCAAATCTCCTCTCTTTTCCCTTATTCTGCCCGTCGGCCTCCGAGGATCCAACCCGCCTCCGGTTGATCCTTCTGCCTGGAACACCCTTCCCTCAGGAATAGTTCCCTCCCTAACCTTCTTCAAGTCTTTGATTCAATGTCATCTCCTCAGCGAGGCCTTTCTGAAAATCCTATTTAATCTCACATTCTTCCTTCCTCTCCTTGACCCCCTTCCCAGGTTTATTTTTCTCTTTAACACATGTCACCTTATTAAACATACAGGCATACCACAGAGATATTGTGGGTTTGATTCCAGCCCACCACAATGAAGTGAATACAGCAATAAAGTAAGTCAAGGAATTTTTTGGTTTCCCAATGCATGTAAAAGTTATGTTTACACTATATTGTAGTCTACCCTGTTTCCCCGAAAATATGACAGTGTCTTATATTAATTTTTCCTCCCAAAGATGCGCTAGGTCTTATTTTCAGGGGATGTCTTTTCCATGAAGAAGAATACGGTACACATTTATTGTTAAATGAAAATAAAGGAAATTTATTACCTGTATACGGTACGGTAGTACGGTAGTTGTCAACACAAACCAAACAAACTGTGAATCCTACAGTATCAAGAATCTACTCTTTTATTCAATGACAATCATGTCATCATCTTCTGGAACACCATCATAACAATCCAATTCCTGAATTTCCTGGTGAATTTCTTGTGACTCCATTTCTTTCAGAATCAATGGACCAAATCTCTCATGTTTAGCCTAGGGGGGGCCTTATTTTCGGGGGGATGCCTTATATTTCACTCAGAAGGAAACCTGTAGGTAGGTCTTATTTTCGGAGGATGTCTTATTTTCAGGGAAACACGGTATTAAGTGTATGATAGAATTATGCCTAAAAAAACAATGTACATGCCCTAATTTAAAAAAATACTTTATTGGCCTTGTTGCAGAAGACCAAAGAAATACCAAGCACACTTCCTAGAGAAAGGGAGGGACCCCGTTTATTGACACTAGTGGACTCAAGGAATAATTTACAAATCTGAGTGAAGGATCATGCAAGACTCCAATTTTTATAACCTTCTGGGGTCTTTGCTTGCAGATATGGTTCTGCCTCCTTTCATGGGCTTACAGGAAGGTCCCCAGGTGTTGAAGGTCCCTAGGTCATATCCGATGATCTGTCCTGGGGCCAGTGATAAAGACCCTCCCCCACCCCCAGGGCAGTGCATTGTTCACAGTTTTTATGGCCTGAAACACCTTGCAAGGCATGAATGGTATAGTTCAGTTGATTGGGTGAAATTCTGTGCATCGAGAGATTGCTGGTCTGATTTCCTGGTCAGAGTGCATGCCTGCAGTCTTAGGCTCGATCCCCAATAGGGGGTATGCAGGGGACAGCCAATTGATCTTTCTCCATTTTCCTTCCTCTTTCTATAAAATCAATAAAAAATATAAAAAAGAAAAGGAAAAATGCAATATGAACAATAAAGCAAAGCACAATAAAAACAAGGTATGTCTGTACTCACTTATTTTGTTTACTAGAGGTCCGGTTCAGGGGATTCATGCACTGGTTTGTGTGTGTCTGGGGGGTGTTCTACGGGGATCCACCCACTGTGCGAGCACATCCTAGTCAGCTGAGCCATGGGAGTGCACTGACCACCAGCAACTGCGTTGAGCATCTGCCCCCGTTGGTCAGTGCGCATCATAGCGACTGGTCGACCGGTCATTCGGGGCTTTTATTAGAGATAGGATTGTAGCCAGGACCAAGAGAGCAAAGATTTTTGCTTGTTTTGTTCCTTGCTATGTCCCCAGTGCCTAGAAAAGCACATGATAGATGCTTAATAGAAATTTGAAAAGAATTTCTCCATAAGAAATTTCTCTGGTGTATAGATTCTTATTCTGTACCAGGCCATCTGTTCTCTCTCTCTCTCTCTCTCTCTCTCTCTCTCTCTCTCTCTCTCTCTCTCTCTCTCTCTCTCTTTCTCTTAAATATGTTTTTATTTTAATCCTCACTCATATCTTTCCATTGATTTTTAGAGAGAGGTAGAGAGACACATTGGTTGATTGCCTCCTGCACAAGCCCAACCAGGGCCCTGGCCAGGGATGTATGTGCTCTTGATCAGAATCAAACCCGGGACCCTTTGATCCACAAGCCAATGCTCTATTCACTGAGCCAAACCAGCTAGGGTTGTTTTTTTGTTTTTGTTTTTGTTTTTGTTTTAATGTTAGAAAGAAAGGAGGGGAAAGGGAAAGAGAGAGAAGTATGGATAAGCTGCCTCCTGCACGCCCCTTATGGGGATTGAGACCAAAACCTGAGCATGTACCCTGACCAAATTGAACCAGTGACTTTTTGGTCATTTGAATGGCGTTCAGTTAACTGAGCCATGCTGGCCAGGGCAGGGCCTTCTGTTCTTTTTTTTAAAAAAATGTATATTTTATTGATTTTTTTTTTACAGAGAGGAAGGGAGAAGGATAGAGAGCCAGAAACATCAATGAGAGAGAATGCACACCCCCCACTGGGGATATGCCCACAACCAAGGTACACGCCCTTGACCGGAATCCAACCCGGGACCCTTAAGTCCGCAGGCTGACGCTCTATCCACTGAGCCAAACCAGCTAGGGCCCCTCTGTTCTTTATGGACACTATTTCACTGCATCTCTCTCTCACTATCACTGAGCAGGAAGTGCTGACACAGCCCCATTTTACAGATGGGGATCCTGAGGCTCAGAGATCTCCCAGCCTCTAGCCTTTGTTTATATGACCTTGTGCAGGTGACCTCAGGCTTGGCACCACCTGCCACAACATGTGACTTAGTTCTTGTCATAGGTACTTTTATATATTTTTACCTGTCACCCAGCTCCTGAGTCAGACCCTGTGTCTGAAGGGGGACAGGAGATGGTTTGTCTTCTTGAGTCACCTGTGGGAGGGGCACTGGGCCCAGGCCCAGGAATCTAAAATGAGTCATCTCTTCACGGACCAATGACAAGTCATAGTAGAGACCCCCTCACACATCATATAGGTTGGGAAAGAAGTCCAGAAAAGGTCAAGGCTCTTCTGAGGTCACATAGCACAGGAACAGAGACAGAGATATCTGATTCCCGACAAAAGGGTTAGACAGGGGCAGAGGTTCTGTGGAGAAGCGTCACATGCCCTCCCAGCAGTGGGAGAGAGGACCTGGCCAGCTGCTTCCTGACTGTGACAAGAGGGGTGAGTCAGCGCGTTGTGGGGGGGAGCAGGCTTTAAGCTGCCTACACACCCCCACCCAAGACACACACACCCAGATGGGATGGGAGCTGGTTTTCTGGAATGCCAAGTCTCCTGACTCAGCACTGGGAATTTTGGCTGAGTGCGTTCTGGGAAACAGGCCTACGGGAAACAGGAGTTTCACTCAGGCCATCTTGCAGGTGGGTGGGGAGCAGAGAGAGCAGGGAATATGAGGGAACAGGGGCCAGAAATGCAAAGAGCTGAATGTGAGGGGTTTATGTATGGGGTGAGAGCTGAAGGAGACAATTGCCAAGTAAAAAAGGGGGCTGTCTTTCTCCCAATTTTTGGGGGGGAGGCAACCAAAATTTTTGGCTTCGGCAAGGCTTTTGTACTTCGTTCTAAAGAAAGAAGTGGAAGAATCTAGGTGGATTTAGGTTAAGGGAGGAAATGGGGGAGATTTACCAAAGTCTTTATACGCTTCTCAAGGCGAGTGGTCACCACCAATGGGGTAAAATAATGAAGACTTGCTGTGGCGCCAGAGGGCTGGCCAGGGGTGTGGGTAGGGGATTGGCAGGCAGCTGTAATACTATCAACAATAAGGGGAAAAATTTTTTTTTAAGAGAATCTGTTTTTTTGTTTTTTGTTTTTAAATATATTTTATTGATTTTTGTACAGAGAGGAAGGGAGAGAGTTAGAAACATCAATGAGAGAGAGTCATCGACCAGCTGCCTCTTGCACACCCCCTACTGGGTGTGCAACCAACGTACATGCCCGCAACCAACGTACATGCCCTTGACCGGAATCGAACCCGGGGCCCTTCAGTCCCCAAGCCGACGCTCTATCCATTGAGCCAAACCGGTCCTGGCTAAAGAGAATCTTTTTAAAAAAAATTATTTTATTGACTTTAAAAAATATATATATTTTTATTGATTTTTTTTTACAGAAAGGAAGGGAGAAGGATAGAGAGCTAGAAACATGGATAAGAGAGAAAATTCGACCAGTTTCCTCCTGCACACCCCCACCGGGGGACATGCCTGCAACCAAGGTACATGCCCTTAACTGGAATCGAACCTGGGACCTTTCAGTCCACAGACCAACACTCTATCCACTGAGCCAAACCGGTTTCAGCTATTTTATTGGCTTTTTATAGAAAGGAAGAGAGAGGGACAGAGAGGTAGAAACATCAATGATGAGAGAAAATCACAGATCAGCTGCTCCCTGCACACCCCCTACTGGGGATGTGCCCGCAACCAAGGCACATGCCCCTGACTGGAATCGAACCCGAGACCCTTCAGTCGACAGACCAACGCTCTATCCACTAAGCCAAACCGGTTTCGGCAAGAAATATTTTTTGAAAAGTACTTCCTAGACAACATTTTATGAGCAATGGCTCTAGTAAAAAAAAAATCCAAGGTAAAATTTGCATAGCACGTAAATGCAAAGGCTGATGGGAAAATGATATTCAAGAGGAAATCCAAGATTAAAGGAAAAACTTGAAATTTTCTACCACTTACCGTTTTCGAAGATTAGACAGCTATTTACAGAGTAACATGAAAATTTTTATTCAAACGCCAGATCCTTGCAATGTCAATGAAATAGGATTTGCTTTTACTGAAGATGCGGCTGCAGGAAAGCAGCAAGTATCTCTCTCTCAAAAATTTCTCTCTCTCCCAATTTTTTTTTTGGGAGGCAACCAAAATTTTTGGTGGCCTTGCCTCGGCAGGGCTTGTCTGCGTTGTTCCAAAAAAAGAACTAAAGGGGCTTTAAGGTCTAGTTTAGTGGCGGTGGAAGAGCGCGCCTTAAGAAATGACAGTGTTTCCGCACTTAAAGACAAAGCAAGTGCACACCATGAGAAGGAGCGAGGGCTCCTGGGAGGAGGGGGAGGGGAGGGGGAGGGGTCCTGGGTGGGAGGGTAAGGTCAGTGCAGCGGGGAGGAGGGCCGGTGTGGGGAAGGGATGGGAGAGCTCTATAATACTTTCAACAATAAACTGTTTCAAAAGAATATTTTCCCCCCCCAGCTGGTTTGACTCAGTGAAGAGCATAGGCCTGAGGGTCTGGGAAGCAGATCAATTATTCTCATTGACGTTTCAAATCTCTCTTCCTCTCTGAAATCAATAGAGATATATTTTATTTCTAAAAAACAGTATTTCCTAGGCAAGATTTTATGGTCAACTTCTAGTAACACCAAAGTAAAATTTGCCGAGAGAGAGAGAGAGAGAGAGAGAGAGAGAAAGGGGGCTTATATATGCAAGGGCCAGGATGTGAATGCTTGAAGCAGAGGGTGGAAATGCAAAGTGGATGGGCTCCACGTACATGGGAAATGTTTGCGGGGAAGACGTGTGTTCAAAGGAGAGATGTTGGAACATGCTGGCGGTAGAAATGAGATTCACAAGATGTCCGTGCAGAGGAGAGGTGTGACGTTTGTTAGGGAGAGGGAAGTTTGCAAGGAAGCCGGGGTACGAAACAGAAACGTCTACCGGCACTTTGAGATGGTGGAAGCCCATAAGAGCACGTGCGTGCTCCCCGAAATGGCCCGGGTAATCTCCCAACGTTGCCAACGTCCCCGCCCCGGCCCCGGCCCCGCCCCTGCGCACAGCGAGGAGTTCTTGGTGCCAGTCAGCGAACTGCTGCTCCGCCATTGGTTAGCTGGCCGGGGAGGGCGGGCGTGTGGAGGCTCCCGGAAGTGCTAGCGGCCCCCTGCGCATTACTGACCCGGAGCCCCGAGCTGTGGGTGCTTAGCAACAGGGGAGGTGCCCAATAACAACGTGGTGGGTCCTCGGGTGGTGGTGGGGATTGTGGGTGCCTAGCAACAGAGGGGAAGGCGGTGCCTGGCGACGAGGGGGCTCAGAGCAGGGGAGAGGTGGCCCGGAGGATCTGTGGGTGTCTGGCTATGAGAGCGAGAGCGGACCCTAGCAACGGCGGGGAAGTGGGACAGAGAAAGTGAGCTTGGGTAGAAAAGCAGGAACAGCTGTGGGTGCCTAGCAACCGGAGGGAACCAGGAGGGGCCTTCATCAGAGGAGGAAGTCTGCTGGGTGGGAGTCCTAGGGTAGACCCTTGGACTGTGAGGGCTTGGGGTGGGTGGAGTAAAGCCAGAGATCGGCCCCACAACTCCTGCCCGAATAATTCCTCCTCTTCTCCCCCAGGCGATGTGGCTGGAAGTGGGGGGCCGACTGCGGGGGACCTGTGGACAGCTGGTCTGGACTGTTGGTCTGCCTTATGGGGCCCTGGGGTCTGGGCCCCACTGGTGGGTAAGATATTGGGGAGGGGTCTCCAAGGTGAAGAGCCCGAGGGACTCGTCAGTAAGTGAAGGGATAGGGAGGAATCCAAAGGGCCGGCAGACCCCATGACTTCCACTCCTTACCAATGTCCACATCTCTTGCAGGGGCCACGTAAGGGTTCTGGGGCCCAAAAGCTTCATCAGGGTGGGTCTGGCCGAGGCCTGAGTGAGGAGGACATTTGCAAGGCCCGGGAGGCCCGGCTCAGGAAGACACCTCGGCCCCAGGTATCATTGCCTCCCACCTTACCAACAGCACCCCATTAAGGCAGCTGGCCTCCGAGCTTGGGGAGTAGTGTGGTGGCAGTTTGTTTGGACTTCCTGGGCACTGTACCCACCTTCCCATCCTCAGACCTTCTCCCCATTTTCCAGCTGAGTGACCGCTCTCGTGAACGCAAGGTGCCTGCCTCCCGCATCAGTCGCTTGGCTAACTTTGGGGGTAGGTGTGACTGTGGGAGATTGTGACTCAGGTCAGAGGAAGCAACATTTACAGAATTAAAAAGTAAGGGAGAGGGTGAATCAGGGAGAGGACGGAAGTAAAGGCCTGCAAAACCAAGAGAAATAGAAGGGAAGGGAATATTTATTGAGAACTCAGTGCAAGGCCCCAGGCATGTGATAGCTGCACTGAGTTGATGATTGGGTATTTCCATTCTATAGATGAGGACATGGAGGCTAAAAGAGGTGAAGTGACTTGACCTCAGGTGAGCAGCAGAATGGTTCAAACTTCAGGTCTCAACCTGAGTGAAATAATTACAAAGTATAGAATGGAAAATAGGAGTTCACCTTTAGTCTAGTAAAGGAAAATATTTTTTCATGAAACATTGTAAGTATATTGGTACTTACCGGTTATAATGCAAATATCTTCCGGTTCAAGCTTTAAAGACAATTCACAGTATAAAGAGGAAGTTGAGAGCAGTGGTTAGAGCTTTGGCCCTGTGCTGCCTTGGGCTTCCAGGGGTGATTCTGCTACATCCTCACTTTGTGACTTTGGATGAGTTACTTAACTTCTCTGAGCCTTTATTTCCTTTTCTGTAAAATGGAAGTTTTGCTATAAAACTTACTACATGAGGGTGTGGGGACAAAATGAATTAAAGCATATAACCCATTAGGAATGGTTCCTGGCGTGTAGAATGCTCAAAAAATGCCAGCTTTGGTTGTTTGGTTATGGTGATAGTGAAAGAGGCAGAGAGACTCAAGCTATCTTTAGGGACAAGGAGACAAGAGGAAATCAGTTGTCCAGAACATCAAAAGGAGGAACGGAGAGAAAGAGGCCTAGATAGGTAAGTCAAGTGTAGGGGAGGGGGAAGATGAAGAAATAGCTGACATAGGAAAGGTGAACATGAAGATGAGATTGTGGACAGAGAAACGGGAATCATAGGAAGTCAGAGAGACTTGGGAGACCATTTTGGAGTCTTCTTATCCTTGGCTGTACACGGAAATCATCTGGAATGCTTAATAAAAAGATAAATCCTGAGGCCTCATCTCAGGCCAGTTTAGTCAGAACCTCAGGGGTGGGACCTGGGCATTGTATTTACAAAAGCTCCTTACTGTGCAGCGAGGGGTGAAAACTGCTGACACAGGAGACAGACCTATAGAGAGGAACAGAGAGAGCTGGCCTCGCCTTGAAGAGAAACCCAAGCAGAGGGAGTTAAGTGACTGAGCTAAAGACAGAGAGTTGGGTACAAAGAGCTGGGAGACACTGTGTGCTTAGAGAGAGACAGAGGAAAGAGGTTGGGGGATGCCCCGGACAAGAGGGCATTCAGGCTCTTCTCACTCCTCAGGACTGGCTGTGGGCTTGGGGCTGGGAGCGCTGCAAGAGATGGTCAAGAAGTCCCTGCCAGGAGGATACCTGCAGTCAGGTGAGTTAGCCACACTGCCTGGGGTCGGGCCCTGGCCTGGCTGTGTGACAGGGACAAGAGGTTTCACCTCTCAGAGCCTGTTTCCTCCTGTGGACAGTGGAGGTGATGCTAATATACCCACTTCCCAGGGTCTCTGAAAAGTGCTCAGAACAGGGTGGAGCCACTGTCAGGGTCCTGATGGATTGAAATGGATCATGAGAGAGAAAACATGTAAACCATCCAGAGCTGAGTTCTTCACCCTGAGCAGGAGAAGGCTGAAAATAGGCATGCTAGTGGGAGTCTGTGTCCAACAGAGATGAGACAAGGTGTGTGAGATCAGCTTCTGTAAGTAGGATTCCCCAGCAAGTCGATGGCCCAAACAGAAATGGAGTGGATATTCTAGGTTAAAAAGAGACTGGAGATATCTGACAAATGGAATGTGAGGACCATAATTGGATGTTAGTTGGAAAAAAAAATAACTAAATCATATGGATATAAAGTACAGCATTGTACAGCATAAATCGTGTGGATACATATCAGTAATATTGTTACAGCTATGTATAATAGGCAGGTACTAGCCTTACGGGGTGATCACTTCATAAGTTATATAAATTTCTAACCACTAAGCTGTGCACCTAAAACTAATGTAAGGAATGTCAACTCTAATTGAAAAATTATAAAATTAAAAGGAAAAAAGAACTGTAATTTTGGGGATAATTAGGAAAATCTGAATATGGATTGGATAGTAAATATTAGAGAATTAGTGTTAATTAGTGTTAGTTAGGGGTGATTATGGCACTGTGATTGTATAGGGGAATTTCCTTATTTTAGCACAGGTTGAGTGCAACTCCATGCAAATGGGTCAGAAAAAATAATGTGAATGTTTGGGTACACACGCACAGATAACGCAGAGGAGGCAGAATATTAAAATGTTTGAATCAGGTGTGCAGGTGTTCATGATGCAACTTTTTTGTCTGTTTGGATTTTTTTTTTTTAATAAAAAGTTGGAAGTAGGTGGAGGATTAGACTTTAGGGGAAGGCCAAACAGAGTCTACACCCGGCACTGCCACTTCTGTGCTGTGTGACCCAGGACTGGGCAGTGTACTTCTCTGAATCTCTAGCTTCCTTGCCTTGAAAATTAAGACATTGATAGTTTTTACTTCTTGGGGTGATTGTAGGGATTCTGCCAGAGAATCCAGAGAGACACTTAGAATTCTTCCTGGCACAGAGTGAGCTCTCAATAAAGAACTCAATAATTTTTTAAAAAATATATATATTTTATTGATTTTTTACAGAGAGAAAGGGAGAGAGAGAGCTAGAAATGTCAATGAGAGAGAAACATTGACCAGCTGCCTCCTGCATGCCCCTTACTGGAGATGTGCCTGCAACCAATGTACATGCCCCTGACCAGAATCGAACCTGGGACCTTTCAGTCTGCAGACCAACCCTCTACCACTGAGCCAAACCGGTTTCGGCTCAATAATTTTTAAAAAATATGTTTTTCTTAATTTCAGAGAGAGAAGAAGGAAGAGGGAGGTAGGGATAGAAACATCAATGATGAGCTCGCCAGGATGAACTCAATAATTTTTTAATAAAATAAATAAAAGTATATTGGCGCTTTATTTAATAATAATATAATTTGCATGTAGACTTGGTTCATTTTTCACAAAGTGGATACATTTATGCACCCAGATCAAGAAACTCTAGAACATGCCCAGCCGGTGTGGCTCAGTTGATTGACTATTATCCCATATACCAAGAGGTCACTGATTCAATTGCCTGTCAGGGCACATGCTAGGGTTGCAGGCTTGATCCCCAGTAGGGGTTGCACAGGAGGCAGCTGATTAAACAGCATTTCTTTAGCTTTTTGGTCTCAGGACCCCTATACTAGTACACCCTTAAAACTGAGGAATGGATTTTTTTTTTTTTTTTTTCAAAAGAGCCCTGGGTTGGCCTGATCAATAAAGGTCACATGTGGGAGGCAACCAATACACGTGTCTCTCACATGTTGTTTTTCTCTCTCTTTCTCCCCTCTCCCCTATCCCTTCCTCCTTCTGTTCTCTCTAAAAATCAATGGGAAAAATATCCTTGGGTGAGGAATAATAATAATAATAATAAAGAAACCCTAGAACAGCATTTCTCAAGCTTTTGGCTCTCAGGATCCCTATGTACGCATAAAATTAAGGAATAGATTTTTTTTCTTTTTTTTTTTCTTTCTTCTTATAGCCATTTTCAGGGGCCTTAATGACTTAAGTATCTTTAAGGCTCATAACATGGCTTTACTATTGCCAGCTTTCTCTAACTTTCTGCAGAACACATTCAGGTAAGCAGACTTATTGGCTGGCTTAGGAATGGATTTTTAAAAATGTGGTATATCGTGCCAAAACTGGTTTGTCTCAGTGGATAGAGCGTCAGCCTGCGGACTGAAGGGTCCCGGGTTTGATTCCAGTTAAGGGCATGTACATTGGTTGCCGGCACAACCCGGTGGGGGATGTGCAGGAGGCAGCTGGTCGATGTCTCTCTCTCATTGATGTTTCTAGCTCTCTATCTCTCTCCCTTCCTCTCTGTAAAAAATCAATAAAATATATTAAAAAAAATAAAAATAAAAATGTGCTATATCGCCCTGGCCAGTTTGGCTCAGTGGATAGAGCATCGGACTGCAGACTGAAGGGTTCAGTTCTGGTCAAGAGCACATGCCTGGGTTGTGGGTTCCATCCCCAGTAGGGGGCATGCAGGAGGCAGCCAATCAATGATTCTCATTGATGTTTCTATCTCTCTTCCTCCCTTCCTCCCTTCCTCTGAATAAAAATCTATTTAAAAAAAATAAAATAAAAATGTGGTATATCCATATAATGGGATATTATTCAGTCATTAAAAAGGAATGGGGTATTATTCAGTTACAGGGTATTCTAAGTGAAAGAAGCCAGGCACAAAAGGCCACTTATTGTATGATTCCATTTTCATGAAATGCCCAGAATAGGGAAATCTGTGGAGACAGCAAGTAGATTAGTGGTTTCCAGGATTGGGCATGACTGTAATGATAGGGAAGGGGTTTCTTTTGGCGGATGAAAATGTTCTGGGATCGGTTATAGTGATAGTTGCACAACTCTCAATATTCTATTGAAAAGTCAATATGATCCTATTATAAGCTGTAGAAACATCCGGGACACAAGTACGTAAGTCATTATTTAACAAATTTTTAACACTATTCTCAGTCAGAATGCCACTATAAGTGCTTATTATTGAAAAGACAACTCTCAGTATTCTAAAAGTCATTGAGTTATATACCTTAATGAGGACTGACTTGGAGTGGTGAACACACAATACAATATACAGATGATGTATTATAAAATTGTATTCCTATATAATTTTATTAACCAATGTCACCTCAATAAATTCAATAAAAAATAGAATGAGGACCCCAAAAAGGTTATAATTATGGATATTCACTGCATTAGGGATTTTTAAAAAATGTGTTTTTATTGATTTGAGAGGGAGAGAGAGGAAGGGGGAGGGAGAGAGAGAAATGTCATTGTGAGAGAAATATCAACATCAATCGGTTGCCTCCCACATGCATCCTACTGGGGACCAAACCCACTACCTAACTGGAAATTAAACCAGTAACCTTTGAGTGCAGGGGACAATGCTCTGCCAACTGAACCACACTGGCTAGGGCTCACTGTATTAGAGATCAAAACTGAGACTTTTTTTTTTTACCGTGTAAAATTTTTATATTTAGAATTAGGCAGCTGGACTCAATTTAGATGATTCCAATTTTGTTGGCAACATCCAAAGCATCATAGTCAGGAGCCAGTCGAACATATGCCTTCTCGCCATCAGGCCTGATCAGGTGTTGACGTTGGCCACATCAATGTCATAGAGCTTTTTCACAGCCTGTTTGAGCTGGTGCTTGTTGGCCTTGACATCCACAATGAACACAGTGTATTATTGTCTTCTATCTTCTTCATGGCCGACTCGGTAGTCAGGGGGAACATGATGATGGCATAGTGGTCAAGCTTGTTTCTCCTGGGTGCCTCCGGAGCCTTAGTGTCTTTGGCCGTCAGAAGGTGGGTGACGTGCGGATCTCCTTTTTTTTTTTTTTTTTGTGGCTGTGGACGCCTTTCAACACTGCTTTCTTCGCTTTCAAAGCCTTTGCTTTGGCTTCGGCTTTGGGAGGGGCAGGGGCTTCCTTCTTCGCTTTCGGCGCCATCTTTGTGAAAAGGCCAAAATTTTAATACACAAGAACACACATTTTATCAGCCATCAGAGCAGTGGTATCATCATGGGTCATGGAGCTTCTGGAATATTTCACAGAACATTTGTGGGAGAATGAGAGTAAAAAGCGGCAAATAACTTTAATATTATTATTATTATAGCATTTTTGATCCCACAGACCCTCTGACGGATCTCGAGGATCCTCAGGGGTCCCCTGAAAATACCTTCTCCAGAAGCTCCTCCAATACCCCACCCTGGGCACTTCCCCATCAAGGGTAACCACTGTTTTGGCTACTAACGCCAAACTTCTAGTTTTTTCTCTTTACACTAATATAATGAGTGTATTCTCGTAGGCATCTGGTCCTTTGAATCCATGCATTGTTTGGGAAAGGCATCCATTTTGCTGTGAGTGGATGTAGATTGTTTATTCCTGGTTGTAGTGGTCATTCATTGACTGTTCTACAATTCCTTTGTTCATTGTATTGAGGGTCATTTGGGATGTTTCCAGTTTGGGATTTTTATGAGCTTTGCTGCGATGACACCTTTTGGAATATATGTCAGTGGGCACATTGATGCATCTCTCTTGGGCATACGTAGGAGAGAATAGCATCCAGTACAGGCATGTGCTTGACTAGAAACTTCCCCACTGTCTTCCCGTGGGCTTGTACCATGGAACTGTCATCAGTCATCAGCAGTGTTGGCGGTCAGGCTGCTCCACATCATTGCCAACACTTGATGTTTTCTTCATTTTAGCCATATTGGTGGGTGTGTAGTGGTGTCATACTGGTTATTTTTGTGGTTGTAATACTAATAATCATTCTCTCTACCGCAGAGGGCAGCTCCAAGCCTGGCTCCAGCCCTTTCCTGTCGGAGGCCAATGCTGAACGGATTGTTCAGACCTTGTGTACAGTTCGGGGGGCCGCCCTCAAGATTGGCCAAATGCTCAGCATCCAGGGTACAGCATGACTCTTGACTCCTGATCTCACTTCTACCCTACCCTCTCACCAACAATCCCGGACTTCAGGTACTCCCACAGGGGCCCCCTCGCCTCCTCCCTCACTGCTTCCCGTGTTTCTTGTCTCCCTGTCTCCCAAGACAACAGCTTCATCAGCCCCCAGCTTCAGCGCATCTTCGAGCGGGTCCGCCAGAGCGCCGACTTCATGCCCCGCTGGCAGATGCTGGTGAGTGCCCAGTGGGAGAAGGCTGACCAGGGAGATGGGCTCCACCTGCCTGTCTCTCCTGGCTTTACTGCTCTACTCCCTGTCAGACTCTAGGTCTCGGTTTCCCCACCTGTAAAATGGATCGCCAGAGCACACTCCTCATAGGATAGTTGTGATGATTAAATAAGGGTGGTGCAGAGCACTTAGTCCAGTTCCTGGCAGGCTCAGTGAGCTGTTTAAGTGGCAGTGAGCACAGAGGTTAGGGGTAAGGCTTCTTGAATTCAAACCCTGGCTTTGCCACTTCCTACCTGTGTGATCTCAGACCTGCAGCCTGACCTCTCTGTGCCTTAGTGTCCTCATCTGTGAAATGGCGATGGTGATCGCCGTCCCACGTCATAGTGTTACATAAGTTAGTATACAGAAAGCACTTAGGCTGAAACTGGTTTGGCTCAGTGGATGGAGCATCGGCCTGCGGACTGAAAGGTCCCTGGTTCGATTCCGGTCATGTACCTTGGTTTCGGACACATCCCCAGTGGGGAGTGTGCAGGAGGCAGCTGATAGATGTTTCAAACTCTCTATCTCTTTCCCTTCCTCTCTGTAAAAAATCAATAAAATATATTTAAAAAAAAAAAAAAAAAAAAGAAAGCACTTAGAAGGGTTTGCATGAGTGACATGCAAGTTTTAGCTGTTATTATTAACTGTTTGTGTTTTTTTTAAATAGAGGATGGTGTGTCTGTCCACCGGTAGGCATAGCACCTGGCACTAAGTGCCCAAGACAGGAGCTGTTCTTCCAATTACTGCGGAAGGGTGTGGATCCAGAATCCAGCCCCCTGTCTTCTGATCTTTGTTCTGCTCACTCACCATGTGACCCTGGGCGATTATTGCTGTTTTCCGAGCCACTCTGGACAGCACCCACCCTGCAGGAAGCCCTTACATTTTAATTCTTTATCTATCTCATTAACTTTTTTTTCCCTCATTTTTTTTTAAGAACTTTTTTTTATAATATATTTTATTGATTTTTTTTACAGAGAGGAAGGGAGAGAGATAGAGAGCTAGAAATGTCGATGAGAGAGAAACATCGACCAGCTGCCTCTTGCACACCCCCTACCGGGGATGTGCCCGCAACCAACATACATGCCCCTGACCGGAATCGAACCTGGGACCTTTTAGTCCGCAGACTGATGCTCTACTGCTGAGCCAAATCGGTTTCGGCTTTTTTCCTCATTTTTTTTTTTTTATTAAGATACATATTTCATTAACTTTGAGTTAGTACTAGCTGGGCTGGGCCTTCTTGTCTGCCAGTGCCTAGTTCACCTTGGCTGAGAGACTTCTCTCTGAGCCTCAGTTTCCTCATCTGTAAAGTGGGGTAGCAGCCAAGAGTTGGAGTTATTAACGTGTAAAGTGCTTGACGCAGGGCATGAACTCAGTTGCCTGTAATCATGGTGATGACTGTTAGCACTGCTCTCCCTAGAGAGTTCTCGAAGAGGAGCTCGGAAGGGACTGGCAGTCCAAGTTGGCCTCTTTGGAGGAGGTGCCCTTTGCTGCCGCCTCAATTGGGCAGGTGCACCAGGGAATGCTGAGGGATGGGACAGAGGTGGCCGTGAAGATCCAGGTGAGAGGGGGGAGGGACAGGTGGCAGTGGGCACCCTGCTGTCCCAGAAGAATGACTCCCTTCCCCCCTCCCCTCACAGTACCCAGGTGTGGCCCAGAGCATCCAGAGTGATGTCCAGAACCTGCTGGCGGTGCTGAAGATGAGCGTGGCTCTGCCCGAGGGTGAGGTGCCCATATAGGACTGGTACCCTGAAGAGAGGAAGTGGGGCTGATTGGGGGAGAACGCAGAGAGTACCAGCTGGGCAGGGTGTGCCTGTGTGTGAGTGGTGTGAGTATGTGTTTGAGACAGAAAGAAGGGATGCCAAGGCAGGGAGAGTGTAGAGTACAAGCGTGTAACAAAGGGAGACTTAGAGATTCTGACAGACACACTGGGAGTCAGAAGCCCAGACCAAAATCCAGAAACACTCACACAGAAGGTACACAGAGAGAGACTGTCAGTCTGAAAAAGAGCCACAGAAGCAGGAAGAGAGTGTAAGTGGGGCCTCATGTTGTGTTAAAGAGCCTAAAGAAGGAGGATCAGTGTGTGTGTGTGTGTGTGTGTGTGTGTGTGTGTGTGTCAGAGAGAGAGAGAGAAAGAGGGAGAGAGAGAGAGGCCAAGGCAGAGTAAGATCCAGAGAGTTCAAAAAAGATGGAATAGCTGGCATGAAAAAGATGCCGCAGGACTGGTGTGCATGCCTGTGAAAGAGAACCCAGGAGAGAGACTTCAGAAGAGCCCGCTGTTATATGAAGACTGAGGGGAGGTGTGTGGACAGACCCTGGGGTAAAATGCTTGGAGCAGAAGGCCTGAGGGACAAGTGAGAGACAGGATTGGCAGGAGGAGACTTCATGAGTGGAGCTGAGGGGCTGGGCGGTGGGTGGACAGCCTGTGACCTTCATTGGCTGACATGGCTGTGCCCCTCAGGCCTGTTTGCGGAGCAGAGCCTGCAGGCCTTGCAGCGGGAGCTGGCTTGGGAGTGTGACTACCGTCGGGAAGCAGCTTGTGCCCAGAACTTCAGGTGAGCACAAGCCTTCGGGTGGTTGGCAGGCCTCCCCAGGATCCCTTCCTTCCAGCTCCCCTCCTTCCCTCCCTCCCAGAATGAGTGGAAGTGGAGCCCTGAAATGAAGCTGGCAAACTCTTTTTCTCTTCATTCGTTTGTTCATCCATTCACCCTTTCACTCATTACTTCACTTATCCGCTGTGTTCTCAGTGAGCTTGGGCATGTTGCTTCCTCTCTCTAAGTATCAGTTTTCTCATCTGTGGAATGGGCTGGGTAACCTCTTCAGTCCAGTGAGGGAGATGATCTTGTCAGTAGACACTTGGTCACACCTGCTGCACTGACAAAGCTACAGCAATCTGACAGTGTCAGGAGTTGGAGAGGACAGGTCTTCATGGCGTTTCTTCTCTGCCAGGGCAGGAGGAGGTTTGAGATAAGCCTTCTGGAGACCAGTTTGGCATCATATAATAAGGCTGGATATTCACATACATCCCAATAGTCGCCCTCCTGGCTAATTGCTGTAGGGTCACTAATGCCAGTATATACCATCAGACTTTTCTAGAAAGCTCAGAGTAGTAATAGCTCCACATTGGAAACAACCCAACCCTTTGAAATTCATCCAGTGGGGTGGATAAATAAATTATGTGATACTCATCAGTGGAATATCATACAGCAGTGAAAACCAATGAATCACAGCTACTGGGAACAGTGTGGTTGTCTCTTAGAAGCGTTGTGATGCAGCAAATACCTCAGTGAGATCCTTCATAAGTTAGCCCATGTGCCACACCAGCACGGCCAAGGGTGAACCTGAGGAGGGGTGAAGGATTGAAGAAAAGACAGACAAGAGAATACAGCTGGGGCTTGGTGGGTCTCCCATGCCTGGATGAGGACACAAAAGATCCAGCCTGCAAGCCAATGCTTTATTTTATGGTCTGATTGAAACAGAGTAGATTATTAACATGAATGCAAATGTTTTTGTTTCGGCAGCACTTGCTGCACCTCCCACAGCCCATTATCTACGTAGGAAGGAACTAGGGAGGCTACAGGTCAGGCTTACTTATGCTGGGAGAGCTCTGCCCTCCAGGCTGGGACTTGTTTGTGGCCCTGCCACAGGTCAGCCAAGGCTTGGTCCTAAAGCTTCTGCCTGAAGCCCACACATTTATTGAGCCAAACTCTATAAATACAAAGTGAGAGAAAAGGCAGTGGAAGGCAGTGGTTAGGGGCATGGGCCTGGAAAGACCCATGTGGGATCCAGCCCCAGAGCAGCCCTTAGGCTGGTGCCCTGACTCTGCACAGTGGCCTTGGGAGAGTATCCTCACAGGAAAATGAAAAGGGAACTGTGCTGATTAGATGCTCAGACTGGGCCAGAGTGCTCCTTGTGGGATCTGGGGAGAGCCCTCTCCCACAGGATTTCTTAGTGCCCTTACAATAAAACCTACATCATTTCTTCTGGCCCCTCCTCATCTCCCTGCTCCCCAACTTACTCTACTCTAGCCATCCCACAGGTCCCCAACCAGAGGCCTCACTCATTGACCCTTATCTCAATCTATGGGTCTATTTGTTTGTTCGAGTGTGGTCTCTGGTGTATGTCAGGGGCAGGCCTGGAGTTCATCCACTGCTCTGTCCCCAGCATGGCCCAGCACAGGGACAGACACTGAGGACTCTTTCCCTTAATTAACCAGTGTTCCCAGTAATGACATCAGTAAGGAGTAGTGATGAGTATCACTGTAGACTCAAATATTTGTATATCAGTGACTGGTTGTTTTTGTTTTTTGTGTGCTATTTTTAAAAAAATATATTTTATTGATTTTCCACAGAGAGGAGGGAGAGGGATAGAGAGCTAGAAATGTTAATGAGAGAGAAACATTGACCAGCTGCCTCCTGCACACCCCCAATGGGGATGTCCCCGCAACCCCGGTACATGCCCTTGACCAGAATCAAACCTGGGACCTTTCAATCCCCAGGTCAACGCTCTATCCACTGAGCCAAACCGGTTTCGGCTTGTCACAATAGTAGTTTATTACCCACGTGCTATTTTTTTTTATGAATTAATAAGTTGATGAAAAAAAACAATGTTTATGGAGTTTAACACATTAAACTCATCATGAGGCAACTGCATATCACGGAAGTATTGCTGGTAGGAAAGTGGTAACTGGGTCTGTAGCAGCCAGCTTAGGGACAGGCACAGAGTAGGCCCTACGGAGATGTTTGTTGAATGAATTAATGAATAAAATATCTGAATGAATGTCAGTCCAGCCAGGTGTTGGCCATCACTCAGGGCACAGAGGCAAGAGGAGAGCAGGAGGGAAGGCGAGACAGATTGTGCATAGAGGACTTCTCAAAGGAGGAAGAGTCCTTGAGCTGGGCCACAGGGGCCTGAAGACAAGCCCCCTCCCCACCCTTCTCTTCCGCCCCAGGCAGCTGTTGGCAGATGACCCGTTCTTCCGGGTGCCGGCAGTGATTACGGATCTCTGCACTACACGGGTGCTGGGCATGGAGCTGGCTGAAGGGGTCCCCCTGGACCAGTGCCAGAGCCTGAGCCAGGACATCCGAAACCAGGTACATGGTCTCGTAGGACAGCAGGGAGGGTGCTGCCACAGGGCAGGGCCTGCAGGGCTGGCCAGACCCATATCCCTCTCCAGGGCTTGACAGGGGCAGCCAACTCTGAGGTGTCTGTTACTCCTTCTCTCCACCTCAGATCTGCTTCCAGCTCCTGAGGCTGTGTCTGCGGGAGCTGTTTGAGTTCCGATTCATGCAAACGGACCCCAACTGGGCCAACTTCCTATATGATGCCTCCAGCCACCAGGTTGGTTTCCTGTGATGTGTGTCAGGATACATTAACTGCTATGGAAATATTTCCCAATATTTCAGTAGCTTATCACAATAGTAGTTTATTACCCACGTGACAGGCTGGGGCAGTTCTCCAGGTGGTGATTTGGAAACCCAGGTGCCTTCCCTTTTGTGATTGTGCCATCTCAGGAAAGGAAAGAGATTGAGAGTGTAATCCCCTCCTAACTGCTCTGAGCAAAAGTGACACATCATTTCTTTTACAATTCTGTTGATAGCTGTTCACACAACCTGTCTAGGTGCAAAGAATGCTGGGAAAAACAGTCACTGGCTAGGCAGTGGCTTCCTAATGGCAATGTGACAATATAGAAGAGGGAACTTACAGAAATCAGTTAGTCATCTTTACTGCACTTCTCACTCATTTGGAACACACCAAGCATCTGCTGCCTCTTGACAACAATGCCAAGACAATCCTGATCCTCACCTTCTCAGAGTTCCTGGCCCAATGGCGGGACCTGTCACCAGTGGTGACCTAGAGTACTTAGTACCATGATGGAGGAACACAAGCCAGGGTTGTCAGTGGTGGGGGAGGTACAGGGGTTGTGGGAAGCCAGGGAAAGTGGCTGACCTGTCTGGGTATGTAGAGTCAAGGAAATATTACCATATATATATATATATATATATATATTTTTTTTTTTTCATTTTAAAATTATTTTTACTGAATTTAGAGAGGAAGGGAGAGGGAGAGAGAGATAGAAACATCAATGATGAGAGGGAATCACTGATACACTGCCTCCTGTATTGAGCCTGCAACCCTGGCTGTGTGTGTGTCCTGACTGGGAATCGAACCATGACCTCTTGGTTCATAGGTCAGTACTCAACCACTGAGCCACACAAGATGGGCAAGGAAGTCTTTTTGAAGAAAGTGTCATTAAAGAAACCAGAAAGATGATAATAGGACGGTTATTTAAAGGGCAAGGAAAAGCATTCCTAGCAGAGAGCACAGTGTGTCCAAAGGCCTGGGGATGAGAGTTTGGATGGAAAGGCTCTCAGCATGCGTGATTGCCAAGTGGCTTTCCAATGTGGTCGGTCCCCATTTGTCCCAAGAGGGATTTTTCTCAAACATGAATCTGGCCACACTGTCTCTTCCAGAGTCCCCCAGCGCCATCAGGATTAAGTCTAGGTCCTTTGCCAAATGCGAAGTGGCCTCCTTGAGTCTCCAGCTTCAGTCCTTTGCCACTGCCTTACCCCCAAGTACACTCTGTACCCCTCCTAGGCTGGCATCTCAAGGAGGGGTTTTCTGACCTGGTAGGTAATACATGTCCTGCGTCCTGATGTCAATTTATTGGGTTTCAACTGCATTTTTTTGTTTTTGTTTTAAAGACATAGAATAGAAAATATCACTGTGTCACACATGGGAGGGAGCTATATTTTAGGATCCTTTTGTTTGTGTTTATATTTATGTGGCATTGGCACTGGTACCCAGTATATTCTGCATTTCTTACTATGGGTTGTAATCAATAATCCCAACTCTACTGCCTAGAGAAACTCCTACACACGTGTTCATCGAGTACTGTTTTTAATAGCAAAATTCAAACACCCATTTATCAACCAGATAAATGCTCTGATAAATCCACACAATGAAGTCCTTTCACAGCAGTGAGAAATGAATGAATGAATTAGAGCTGCATATAGCAGTGGGGATAAATAAAAAAATCATGTTGGGCACAAGAAACAAGTTGCAGGATCACTATCATAAATACTACTTATGTGAAGTTTAAATACACAAAACATGACTATCATTTATGGGGGAGGAGAAAATGTAGAAATACACACATGGTAATTTCAGGAAATAATTTAATAATTATTTCAGGAAAGTGGTGACCCTAGAAAAGAAGGTGAGGATGTGGGTCTGGTAGGACAGTCCAGGTTAGATGGGAGACCCCACCTGGATTGGTATTGTTTAAAATATATTTTAATATACTTTATTGATTTTTTTACAGAGAGGGAGAGGGATAGATAGTTAAAAACATCGATGAAAGAGAAATATCAATAAGCTGCCTCCTGCACACCTCCGACTGGGGATGTGCCTGCAACCAAGGTGAATGCCATTGATCGAAATCGAACCTGGGACCCTTCGGTCCGCAAGCTGACACTCTATCCACTGAGCCAAACCGATCAGAGCTATTTTATATTTTAAGCATGGTGAGACTTGTGTTCACTCTTCCATATATTTTATTCCCTGTATTTTCTTTCTGTGCCAAAAACATGTTATTATAAAAATCATTAGGGCCCTAACAGGTTTGGCTCAATGGATAGAGCATTGGCCTGTGGATTGGGTTCAATTCCAGTCAAGGGCACATGCACAGGTTGCGAGCTGTGCAGGAGGCAGCCAATCAATGATTCTCTTTCATCATTGATGTTTCAATCTCTCTCTCTCTCTCCCTTCCTCTCTATGAAATCAATAAAAATATATTTTAAAAAGAAACTCATTAGGAGAAAGAAAAAAAAAAGCCAGGTGCCTTCAGCTTTGTGTGGGGGTGGATTGGAATTGTGGAGACAGGAGATTAGGAGCCTGGGGACACAGTGGGTGGGGACTCTGGCAGGAGGAGACAGGGTGTAGGGAGGAAGGGTGACCCTGGCCACCCCAAATAGACAATAGGGAGCATTGCTGGACTCCCAGCATCCTTTTCACCATCCTTGTTCCCAGGTGACCCTTCTGGACTTTGGTGCAAGCCGGGAATTTGGGACTGAATTCACAGATAATTACATTGAGGTGAGTGCCCCCAGCGTTGGGATCTGAAGTGCCATTTACTGAGGCAAGGGTGAGAAGGAAAAATATAGTATCTTGAATTAAGAAATAAAAAATAGCTTGGCTGGTGTGGTTCAGTGGTTGAGAGTTGACCCATGAACATGGAGGGCACATGCCCAGGATACAGGCTCAATCCCCAGTAGGGGGCATGCAGGAGGGAGCCAATCGATTCTCATCATTGATAATTCTATCTCCTTCTCCCTCTCTGAAACCATAAATAAATTTTAAAAAATAATATTAAGTCAGGTGTGGTTTTAAGTGTTATACATTTGGTAATTGATTTAAATCATACAGCAACTGCATGGGGTAAGGACATTCTTAGTTTTGTTTTATTGATGAAGTAACTGGGACTCAGAGAGGTTAAGTCACTTTCCCAAGATCACAGCAGTCCTGGGATTCAAATTCAGGATGACTGGGTCCACGCTCATGCTCCCCACACTGACTAGCCTTCTCTTAACAGTGGTCGTCAAACTCATTAGTCAATAGAGCCAAATATCAATAGTACAATGATTAAAATGTCTTTTTAAAAATATATATTTTATTGATTTTTTACAGAGAGGAAGGGAGAGGGATAGAGAGTTAGAAACATCAATGAGAGAGAAACATTAATCAGCCACCTCCTGCACACCCCCTACCGGGGATGTGCCCGCAACCAAGGTACATACCCCTGACCAGAATCAAACCCAGGACCCTTAAGTCCACAGGCCGATACTCTATCCACTGAGCCAAACCGGTTTCGGCTGAAATTTCTTTTGAGAGCCAAATTTTTTAAACTTAAACTTTTTCTAACTTCTTCAAAATAGACTCGCCCAGGCCGTGGTATTTTGTGGAAGAGCCACATTCAAGGGGCCAAAGAACCCCATGTGGCTCAAGAGCCACAGTTTGCCGACCACGGTCCTAGGAGAAAGGCCCATGATGCTCTTCCTGTCACTGTCCCACACCCCACACTGTCCAGGATCTTGGTGTCCAGCCTTGCCCTCACATAACTTCCTGGCGGCTGCTCCCTGGGGAGCTGTTCTGTCCTCAGGAAGTGCTTCCTCACCTGTTGCCTGTCCCTACCACCCACTGGGGTTAACCCTTTGTATACCATAAGCGTCTATAGACGCAATTAAATTCAAAATACCGTGGCATGTGGGGATGGTTTTCATGTTGGACTCACGTCAGTTAACTGAGTAATTTGTCTTAGAGGCCACAGAGAACACTATCTCATTCATTCATTGGTGATATTAGACAGTCAACCTGGGTTTTCTAATCATTTAGTCATCGATTTAAACATTCTTTGATAACATATCTCTGCCCAACCCTATTCTGGGTAATATTGGGGACAATAGTGACCAATCCAGGACCCTACTTTCAAGGAGTTTACAGTCCAGTGGTGGGACAGATAGTGAGGACCCAGAGTGGTCGCGGTTGGGAAGGGGAAGCACAGGACATTGTGGGAGCTCAGAGGAGCCTGGCTCAGAGGAAGCCTCTGGAATCAGGGAAGGCTTCCTAAAGGAGACATCAGAGTTAAGACCTGAGAGATGAGGAGACCAATCAGGAAGAGGCTAGGAGGGTGTTCCAGATGGACATGTACAAAGGCTAAAAGGCGAGAAGAGATATTCCCATTAAAGCAGGGCTTCTCAGACTTTAGAGTGTGTGTGAAACCCCCTACCCCATGACCTTGTGAAAATGCAGATTCTGGCCTGGAGTTAGACATAAGATGCTGCATTTCTAACACGCTGCTTGGTGATGCCAAAGCTTCTCGCACAGGAACCACACTTTGAGAAGTAAGGCCTAGGGACCAAGAGGAAGTTCATGTTCTACCTGGGTGGGAAGGTAAGGGGCAGAGCAGGAGCCAGGGATGAGATTAGAGCCAAATCATTCTGGGTCTCAGAAGCCATGATTTGTAGTTTGTACTTTATTTATTTATTTAATATATTTTATGATTTCAGAGAGGTAGGGAGAGGGAGAGAGAGAAATATCAATGATGAGAGAGAATCGTTGATTGGCTGCCTCCTCCAAGTCCCACATTGGGGATCGAGCCCACAACCTGGGCATGTGCCCTGACTGGGACTTGAACCATGACCTCCTGGTTCATAGGTTGATGCTCAACTATTGAGCCATGCTGCCTGGGCTATAGCTTTTTACTCTATATGGGTACCCTGGGGAGCCGTGGAAAGGACTTGAAGGAGAGGGGTGCAGCCAGAATTGGGAAACTCCTTCTGAATAATGGGTGGTCTTTATTTTTCTTAACTGACTTTAGAGAAAGTAAGAGTGTGAGAGAGAGAGAAACATTGATCAGTTACCTCCTATACATGCACGGACACAGATGGAACCTGCAACCTGAGTATGTGTTTTGACCAGGAATGGAACCTGCCACCTTTTAGTATAGGGGACAATGCTCCAACCAATTGAGGGTTCAGGTCACGAGGGGTCTTTAAGACAAGAGACTGGGAGCCCAGGGAGTCTGTGGGGAAGGGAAGAATAGTGTCTGGGACAAGGCCCAGTGCTCTGGCTTGGGTACTGGCATAGTGGGCCACCCTTGAGATGGAACAGGAAGGAGCAGCTGGTAACCCACCCCTGGCTACCACACATATAGGCCCTTCGGGTTGGGCCCTCTCTGCAGGCCACTTGAGGCACCACAGGGCGGCCTCTCTGGGACATCTCATTACCCCGCCCCCAGACTTTTTAGTATGGCCTTCTTGCCACCTCCCCAGCCTTTTCCAGTTTTACTGTCACACCGGCCCCCAAGGACCATAGGTCTGACAGATGGCTAGACAGGCATGGGCAAGGAAGCCAAGACAGAATGGAACTGCCAGATTTAACCCTGTATTCCCCTTCCCAAGAAACTCACTGGTTAAAGGAATGCCCAGGTTCCATTCCTCACCTTTCTATTGCCCACTGTGAGTCTTTTTTCTCTTTTATGAAGTTGGGATCCTCATGGCCATCTCTTATTAGTAATAATAGTTTATAGTATTTACTAGTGGCCCAGTGCACAAAATTCATGCAAATTAAAAGGGAATTACTAAAAAAACAAAAAAGGGGGGGGGGAAAGGGAATTACTTAGAGGAATTATTTTAATATTGCTATTTGCCTTTTATAATAGAAGTATCAGAGATAAAAGAAAATTAGTAAAATGTATATGAAAATCTCCCTCCTGTCAGAGTCTAGAATGCACCAAGTGACCTAGAGTCAAGTCCCTGCCCATCAATTCGAAAATGAGACCCAGACCTGGCCCACCCCTCCCTCATCAAGCCCCTCCTGGCAGGGGGCGGCCTGCCTCAGGCCCCCCAGCCGGGCGCCAGGCATGGGGGCGAGGCCTGAGGTCCCCTGTCAAGCCCCACCAGGCGGGGGTTGTGGCCTGAGGTTCCCCTCCGACACTAAGGTGAGGAGGATATGGCCTGAGGTCCCCCATCACGCCCAACAGCATGAGGGGTGTGGCCTGAGGTCCCTGTCAAGCCCCATCAGCTGAGGGGTGCGACCTGAGGTCTTCAGGCCCAGTGCCAGGGTGGGGGCACGGCCTGCGGTCCCTTGCCATGGCCAGGTGCCATGCAGCCTCAAGTCCCTGCTTTTCGGTTGTGATGCTACAGCATCCAGGCTAATTTGCATATTCCTCTATTGTTATAGACTAGGCACCTGTTGCAGGAATATTCCTGCAAGACTTCTGGCGGGCTCCCCTCCACCTCCCCCTACCTCTCCCATCCCCCCACCTTCCCCACTGCAGTGGGCAGGGCAGAGCGGGCAGGGAGGGCGGGCCACTGCTGCCACCATCTCCGTGGCTGCGCACGCACGCTGCCACCACTGCTGCGCACCTCGCCCCGCACGTGCTGCCAGTGCTTTCCCTCCAGCAGCCGCAGCCGCTTTGCTTTCCCTCCCTCTTCCTTCTATGCTGGCTTCAGTCTTCACTCCTTCCTCCCTCCACATATGCAAATTGTTGACATCTTTGTTGTGTTGATTTGCATACTCGCTCTGATTGGCTGGTGGGCATTGCTTGTGTAGCAGAGTGATGTTAATTTGCATGTTACTCTATAATTGTATTAGATGGTGCTTCCTTCAAGTTGGCATAGTGCTCAGCACTGCACAGCTGTTGGCTTCTCGATCCTCACAACTTCATAAGGAAGTTATTTTCATCATCCCCACTTCACAGATAAGAAAGTAGAGGCCTGAGGCAAAGCAACTTGCCCAGAGTCAGCCAGCAAGTGGCAGAGCTGGGACTGAGCCCAGGCAGACTGGCTTCGCCTCTGCCCACATGCCTCAAGTCCACTGCCACGTGCACTCCTGGCTGGAGGGGTGCTTAGCTCCACACACTAATGTGCCAAACAAAGGTTCACAAAGGCCTCTTGGGAGCCGGAGCTCGTACTCCAGGAGACTGAACGCATCTGGGATACCTGCTCGCTCTCTTAGGGCTCCAGTCCGGTGCAGGACACAGACATCAATCAGGTGACCAGAGATGGCCCAGTGGAAACCTCCAGTGCCGTTTTTAAAAAATATATATTTTATTGATTTTTTACAGAGAGGAAGGGAGAGGGAGAAGAATAGAGAGTTAGAAACATAGATGAGAGAGAAACTTCGATTCAGCTGCCTCCTGCACATCCCACTGGGGATGTATCCGCAACCAAGTCACATGCCCTTGACCGTAATCGAACCTGGAACCTTTCAGTCCTCAGGTCAACCAACGCTCTATCCACTGAGCCAAACGGGTTAGGGCTCCAGTGCCATTTTGGGTCTCGGTCACATCGTTGGCCACATGAATGTTTGGACCCAGGAGCAGCACTTGACATTTATCCTCCTCTGGCTGTTTCACTGTTCAGTTTCCAGCAGCCTGTGTGGTCCCAGCCAGGTGGGCAGAACCCCTGGCCGTCCTGTCCCCACAGGCTCTGGAACAGTTTGAGACACAGCTGGGCAAGGTGAGGCAGATGAGAAGGGAACTGGCTGCCACCTCCTGTCTCTAGTCTGCCCAGCCCCCTTTTTGAACCCTGCTTGGCCTTTGACCCTGTGTTCCACACCTGTCTCCTAGGTAGTGATGGCTGCAGCCAATGGAGACAGAGACCGGGTCCTACAGAAATCGCAGGACCTCAAGCTCCTCACAGGCTTTGAAACCAAGGTTGGGAGACACTAGAGGAGTAGGGGCTGATGTCTATTGGGAGGCCTGGGGGCGGCTTAACTCTCTGGGGGAATCAGGGAACTGCTGGTCTATACTGGGGGTCTTTGAGGAGGACTAGGGGAGAATGGGGACTACTTGGCCTGGGGAAATGGGCACCACTCTAGAGGGAGGGAGTGGGGGAATGGAGACTGCTCCTCTGTACTACAGAGTGAAGTCTGCTTGTCTATTGGAGGCCCTGAGGGAGTGAAGGGCCACTTTGGGGGGAAGGGTAAGGAGCTGCTTATTTTCTGGGGGCTCTGGAAGGAGTCTGGGTTTGTGTCTACACTCCAAACGGGGGAGCTAAGTGCTGCTTGTTGGTTCTTGGTTAAGAGAAGGGCTGTGCCTCTGTTCTCCCCCACCCCTAGGCATTCTCCGATGCCCACGTGGAGGCTGTGATGATCCTGGGAGAGCCCTTTGCCACCCAGGGTCCATATGACTTTGGGGCAGGGGACACTGCCCGCCGAGTGCAGGGCCTCATGCCAGTGCTGCTGCAGCACCGGCTTCGCCCACCGCCTGAGGAGACCTATTCCCTGCACCGTAAGCTGGCAGGGGCTTTCCTGGCCTGTGCCCGCCTCCGAGCCTGCATCAAATGCCAGGACCTCTTCCAGGACACCTATCACCGCTACTGGGCCAGTCGCCAGTCTCAGCCTCTGCCTGAAGCCTCCTGACCAGAGGGGAGGTCTGGTCAGACCACTCAGACAGCTTCCTTTTGGGGAATCCAGCCAGTAGAGGGCCATCCTCCCCCAGTGCATCCTTCCACTCTGCTCTAGTCTGGGGAACCCTGGGGCTAGGTAACTCCCCATTTCACACCCCAGAACCTGCTCTTCCCACCCCACAGTGGGCATCTGGGAACTCTACTCCAGGGATTTATTTATTTCTGATAACATTGCCACAGTGGAGATGCAGACTCATTGAGAGGGGAGCCTTTCACCTATGCCTCAGATCTCCCCCAGATCAGGCCAATGAGAGGGTAGGGGTGATGGTTGGTGGAGGCAGCCTCCCTCACCTCTTCACCAACTGCCTTCTCCCTGTCCATCCTTTCTGTGTTAGGGAGGGGTTGGGGGTGTTTGAACCTTCAGTTTGAATAAAAGCAATCCGCCCCCCCCCCCCCCAATCTTCCCCAGCTCTTTTCTCTGTCCTGGGGCGGGGGGAAGGAGTCTAGGATGAGAACGGCCTCCAGGTACAGATGGCCAGCCCCCTCCCACCCTCTTGTCTGAAAGCCCCAGTTCTGCCCGGGCCATCTGTTGCTAGGATCCTCCTCCCCTTCTCTCCCACCCCCAACCCCTCCCGCACGTGCTGACCACCTGCTCACAAGACTGTGGCAGCTGAGAAGGCTTTCCCCCACGCCACCACCCCGACGCCCCAACCTCGCCTTTACTAATGGGCCTTTATGCCCCTGCCAGCTGCTTTGCCAAACCCACAGGATCTGGAGGGAGCGGAGGTCGCAGCGGCGGCCAGAGCCACGCCCTAGTCCCAGCCGGCGCCCCCACAGCCTTTGCAAAACGGACCCGCACTAGGACGCAGGGGTCTGCTCATTTCCCCTCCCATTCCTGGCAAAAAGTGCCTCGTCACCGCTTCTTCCCGCCCCCGTTGGGCTGGGAAAACCGTGGGGTTAGCGGGAGGATTTGAGGATGTGGGGCAGGGAGACCTTTTTGGAAGCAACTCTTTCGGACGCCGAACTGGAGGAGAGCTGAGGTCAGTGGTCGGGGAGGGGAAGGGAGTGCCGGCCTGGAAGGACCAGCAGGGAGGTCGTGGCTCCAGTGCACAGCCCGTCAGGGGCTGGTTAGTGGGCGTGGCGTGGCGGGGCTGTACTCTGCGTACGGGCGGGGCTTGGTGACCGGGGGGCGGGGCCCGCGGCGGCCCAGGCGCAGGGCGGGGCGGGGTCTCTATCCAGCCGGCGGCGGGCCAGTGGGCGGGGCCGGGCGGGGAGGCGAGGCGGGAGGGGCGCTCCCTCCGCCCCCGGATCGGAAACCAACGGGAGCGGAGCGGGCTGGAGAGTGTGCATCCCGCACCCTCCGCGGGGCTGCATCCCGGGCCAGCGCCCGTCAGGCCGCCGCCGCCGCCGCCGCAGCAGCAGCACTCGGGGATCCGGGCCCAGCCGGGCCGCGGGAGGCGGGGGCGCCCGGGCCCTGGATGTCCCGCAGCGCGGCGGCCAGCGTGAGAAGGGCGGGCGAGTGGGGCGCGGGTGGGGGGCGGCGCCGCTGCTGATGTGGCGGAGGGTGGGATGCACCCCGGTGGAGAGAGGGTGCCGAAGCTGGAGAGAGTAGTCCTGGGTGGGGGTCCACGAACAGGCCCCCTCCCAGTTAAAGCTTGGGAGACGGGGGTCTGGGGCCCTCCTTTTCCAAGGCCCTAAAGGTAGGGGTCCCGGACACAGAACTCCACCTCAGAAAAAATCAAGGGCAGGACGACAGATTCTCGGTACAACTCCCTAGGCACGGTTTTGGGGATAGGTCCGGGACACAGCCCCCAGATGAAGCCAAGGCCCCCTGGAGGCGATTCCAGACCAGACGCCATCCCGACTCCTCCCTGCCTGAGGGGATCTCTGAGCACAACAACCCTCTAGGCAAGGGCTTGGTGGGGTCCCTGGGCACCGATTCCCCACCAACCCAGACCTGGGGGGATTCCAGGCAAGATCTGCCCCTCAGAGGCGACCTGGGCACAGCATCCCTTGCCCCCTCCCCCAGTCCTCGGGCAGCGTCCCAGGAACAGCCCCTTCTCAAAAACAAGGTCCCAGGGCCTGGGACTCCACCCCTTCCCCAGCCCGAATAAAATGAGGGAAATTTCAGGCACATCCCCTTTCCCTTCTCTGCTTGGTCAAGGGTCCCAGGGCTCGGGTCCTCGGGGCCACCCCCTTTGTCCCTGTGGCTGCCCAGCTGCCTGGGAGTGGCCCCACCCTCGGATAATGCGCTGGTCCCCCAGGCTCCAGTATTCGTGCTGGAAGGGGTGGGGGCGGCTTTCTAGAGACTGGCTGTAGTCTTGTCAGTCTGCAGCGTCTGAGGTGATGGCGGCTTTGTGTGTGGTACCTGGGGGGAGGGGGAAGCAAGCGATGGGGGGGTGCCCTGTGACCCCCTGTTTATGTGACTGGCTATGTGAATCTGTGCTGGTGACTATGAAGAATCCCGTGTGTCTGTGTTTTGTGTCTGTGGTTGTGTCTGTGAGTGACCCCAGCATTTGTGTGGCTATGTGTACTGGTGTATGACAGCTGCTCTAAAAGAACCCTGTACTTTTTGGCCTGTGTTTGCATGTGTGCATGGTTGTGACCGTGGGTTGTGTCTGTGGTTCCATCTTTAGAGACCCCGTGTTTGTGTGCCTTGGTAACTGTAACCAGGTATGTGAAAGTGCATATGTTGAGTCTGGGGTTGGACTTGTGTGTGATTGACTGAAGATGTGGGTGGAGTTGCGATTGTGTGTAAATGGAGTTGTGTCCATGTGCCACTCTCCCAATGACTGTGAATGGTTGTGATTGTGTCTGGTTTTATATTTGTGTCACACATAGGTCTGTGGCACACAATGTGACTGCCATTGTATATGAAGTCAGTCACGTTGTGTCTATGTGACTGGGTTTGTGTGATGGCACTGTGACTGGTATGTTTGTATGACTGGTCTGTGTATGTGACCAGGGTTATATAAATGACTGTATCTAGCTGTGTGTTGATACTGAGTGATTGTGTGTAGTTATAGTTGCGAATGTGTGGTTTGGGTTATGTACTTGCCTTGGGGTCTGAAACTCTGGCTGACCATTAATAGTGGGTTATTTCACTGTATCTGACTCAAGATATAGATGTGTCTGTCTGACGGCACCAGGCTACTGTGTGTGTTGGAGGGAGTGTAGGTGACTGGGCTTCTATATTTGTGTGACCTGCATGTTTGTGACGCTGGGTGACTATATGTACCTGTGTCTGTGTCATGGGCTGTGAGAGTATGTCTGTGTCTTTGTGACTATTTGGTATGTGTGTGTCTGTGTGTATGCTGGACTGCTTGTGTTTGAGTGTGATTTGGTGACAGCATAACTGTCAGGAGCTGTGTCTTCTGCATAAACGCAGCTGTAAATGCTATGCCTGGGTCACTGCACTTCTGAGCATGCACCTGACCGTGTGCGTGTAGTGTGTAAAGTGGAAATTGTGTGTTGATATCTCTATGTGTGAGATATGTATCTGCCTACATGTTGCTGTGATTGTATGTTGCCGTGTGTCTGTGTGTCCATGTTTCTCTGTGATGCTATGATGTGATTCAGTTGGGTATGGGATATTGGGTGATGAAATTATGACTGTGATATGGCTGGGTAATATGGACACTGATGTTGTGTAACTTTGCATACATGACCAGTTCTGAAATGTGTATGGCTATGACTCTGGACACCTGCTGGCTCGCTGTGTCTGAGTGTGGCCATCTGAGTGGTTGTAGGCATGTCCTGAGTGTGCCAGCCTGTTTCTTTATAATGCACGGGCCATGGCCATCAGTGTCTCTGTCTGATTGGAGATGGAGGACTGTCCATATAAGTTAGTTGATACTGTGACTAAATGTGAGCCCCTATGACTGGGTATGTGTCATTGTGTGACAATGTGTGACCAAAAAGGTGTACCGGTGTGAGTGATACCAGGGGTTGAATGTCCATGTGCAGCTGTGTGCCTGTAGATGATTAAACCCATGTGGCTGTGACCGGGTGTGGCTGTGTGTATGTCTGTGTGACTTGTGTGTTTGCAGGAAGAGAGACTGTGTGTTTCTCTGTGATGCTGTGACCAGATGTCAACACATAGCAGTGGAGCTGGATGTGATCAGTGTTTATGACTGTGATTTCATATGTGTGACTGGGTGTGATTCTGTGTGAGTGGGTCTGTGATGTGAGTATCTTGGGTGGCTGCCTGAGGGAACATAACTGTTATTGGGTGTGGCTGACGTATGCCACTCTGGTGGGTATGCCTGGGCTCTGCTCTTCGTTGTGGCTGAAAAAGTAGAAGTGACCAAATATCAGTATCTGGCATAACCAAGTGTTTGTGGCAGTGCCTAGGCAGGCTGGGACTCTCTATGCATGTAGACATATGTATGTAGTGGAGACTGTGTATATCTGTGAATATGGCTATGTGACAAGATGTTTGTGGTGGCTGTGACTGTTTAGGTAAGTCTGTATGACCTGTACACAGTTGGGGTTGTGTCTGTGTATAACTAAATGTGCAGAGTTGTAAGCCGGTGCTAGGGACATCTGTAGGCATGAGTTGCATCATACACGTGATTGTGTATCCCTGAACACATGTCTAGAGGACAAGGCTGCTCCCCTCCTCACACCATCCCTGTGGGTACTAAGAGCCTCCTGAGCCCAGAATATCCCCTGAGAAATGCCCCCAAAACACAACCAGGTGGCTCATTTCCCTTGTAACAGTTGCTATGACAACCAGGCTATCAGCAGGAGCCTGAGATGGAGGGGGGATGGCTGATGCCCCAAAAGAGTGTAAGGGAGGGGAGTGTGCCCATCCCAAGCCAGCCGCTCACCTTTTCCTCTGTCCCTTGGGCAGGGCAGACCCAGAAGGCCTGAGCAGCATCTGCCCCCAGCCCCCTGTGGGGCCCCGGGGCCCCCTGAAACCTCCAGGACGGAGTCAGGTGAGTGAGCAGCTAAGACAGGAGCAGGACTGAGTGCGTGGGTGGGTCTGCCTCGCATGCCCAGCAGAAGTGTCTGCAATCACACAGGCCTAATCACACTCAGGAGTAGATGCCCTCACACCTCTTCCCTGCACACTCTGTGACAGATACACATACCTGGACCATGTCATACACACACCGAGACATCCAGACACACATCGACCTCCCCACACACACAAGTGCAGGATCACAAACACTCAGACACATCCCCAGACTATACGTAGACTCCCTCAGACAGGTGACTACAGGCACTAAGCAAATACCAACTCTTAGAAACACACTTTTGCACACAGTCAGCCAGACTGCATGTACAGACCCACATCTTTATAGACAACAGACACACTTTCTCAAGCAGACACTGCCTCATAGACAGTACCTGTGGACCCATTCTCTCATAACGGTTACACTTCTACATATAGAAGTCTCACAGTAATACCCAGCACTCATGGACAACAGCCATGTTCCCGCATAGTCACATCCTCATAAATAACTGTCACAAACAACTCTTCACAGGCAACAGCCTCATGGGTGCATACTGGCACATCCTCAGAACAACACCCATGGACCCAATTCTACAACAACCACATGCTTGCAGACATTCCTTCCCAAACAACAGCTGCAGTCTTGGACATAGACATGGTCTCTTGGGTAACTGTCATACATGTACTGTCAGAGGCAGCAGTCATCAATGACAATAGCCACACCCTCATGCAGACACACAGTTCAAAGACGCCAGCTTCTTGCTCAGTGACACATACTCACAGGCAACATTCCCTAACACACACTCACAACCACTCTCACATATAGATCCCCTTCAGCAGCAATCTTTGAGGACCCGCACTGACAGACAACAACCACACTCTTGGCCATAGATCCTCTCAGCCTGCACAGACACATACTCTCGGAAACAGTCATTCTCAGACCCACGTCCTCCTGTACAGCCTTCAGAAATACACACACTCACAATAGTTGCATGCTCAGCTGTGGACACCCTCACAGACACCATTCAGGAACACCATCTGCATACTTGTTTGCACACACACACACACACACACACACACACACACACAGACAGTCCCCATCTGCTGGTGCCCTGTCCTTGGTGTGCCTTCACCCTCTTCCTGGGACTGCCACTATGGCTTGTCAGTCAGTGAAGACTGTCTTAGTCAGTGAAGACTATCTTAGTAGCTGGTCCCCTCCACCCTCATCCCTACCTCTGACAGTCCCAGCTGCACACTGCTTCAGGGTCTCCTGCTTTAGACTAGACACAGTTGTTAGAGGGGTGGTATCTCTGGGACACAGAGATAAGCTCTTGTTCTTCATACCCTCTGCCGTGGCTCTGGACCTCAATCCCTGGACCTTCTGAGGCCCCCACCCAGTGGACCCATGCACCTCCCAACTCCTGTTCCCTCTGATCACCTCACCCCCTGACCTCGTTTCCCTAAAGCCATTGATCTCATGACCCCTGGCTCTATGCCCTGTACTCCCGGGTGGGACCTTCCAATGCCTTGACTTCCCATTACGCAGGATCCTCATGGTTCTAGACTGTCACATCCCCAATCTCTAGACCCCTAAAAGCGGTGACCCCTATCCCAGACCTCCCTATCTCTTAGCTCCATGTCTTCTAGCTCTTGCACTCCCCTGCCATACATCACCCCTTTCCCTGTCATGGCTGCTTGTCCAGGGGGTCATGTTCTCTAACCCAGTGACCCCTAAACCCGCTCCCTTGCTCCCTGAGCTCTGTGTCCATCCTCCTTGAGCCCCATGCTTCTGATCCTGGCCTTTGACCCGCTCCCTGTCCTGTGTCAGCAGACGGGGCTGGCACAATGAACAAGTTGAGGCAGAGCCTGCGGCGGCGGAAGCCAGCCTACATGCCCGAGGCGTCTCGCCCGCACCAGTGGCAGGCCGACGAGGACGCGGTGCGCAAGGGCACCTGCAGCTTCCCCGTCAGGGTGAGTGGGCGGGGCGGGCGCATGCGTGTCCCAGCTGGGTGAGCGGTTCTGTCCTGGGTGAGGGAGGCAGCGCATCCACAGAGAACTGTGGAGTCGGCCCAAGCGTGACCCTACTGCCCGAGTCCTTCAGAGTTGGCAGTAAAAACCTAGCCCAGGCCGAAACCGGTTTGGCTCAGTGGATAGAGAGTCGGCCTGCGGATTGAAGGGTCCCAGGTTAGATTCCGGTCAAGGGCATGTGCCTTGGTTGCGGGCATATCCCCAGTAGGGGTTGTGCAAGAGGCAGCTGATCGATGACTCTCTCTCATCGATATTTCTAGCTCTCTATCTTTCTCCCTTCCTCTCTGTGAAAAATCAATTAAATAATAAAAAATAAACAAAAACCTAGCCCTGGCTGATGGTGTGCAGGTGTAGGTGCACCAAAGGTCCCTGGATGAATTCCCCGTGGGCTGTCTGCTAAACCCCCAGTAGGGGGCGTGTAGGAGGCAGCAGGTTGATGTTTCTCATATTGATGTTTTTCTGTCTCTCTTCCTCCCTCTCTCTCACTAAAATCAATAAAAAAACATATTTAAAAAAACTACACAATTCTCTTGTACCAGGAAAATGTTACCTGGGGGACATCATGCCTGGTCACCCTATTTTGTGGGAGCTCGCAATTTCCAGAGGGCACTGGAGAGTCATAAAGATTTTGTGGCATTTTCACATCCTTCTGTGACTCTTTACAACCCACTCTACACATTTGTAAGGGAGACAGCAGGTTCAAGTTTAAATATCAACGTGGTCCATTCCCCTAGATGCAGACCATTGGGCTGTAGGGGAAGTGCTGGTGGGAGTGAGGAAGGGAAGGCAGCCAGTCAATGATGTGTTACTCAATTGCAGCTGTGGGCAACTGTGCTTAATGCCACTGGGGACGCTGGGAAATAGAGCCATCTACCCACCAGCGGAGGGAGCTGGAGCAGGTGTACCCCAAATCCCATCAGTTATTGCTGGGGCCAGTCCTCAGGCTCACGGCGATGCTGGCACTCAGGACAAGAATGATATTGTCAGGCCCAGGAATAGAGGCACTCTCGTTGGTGTATCTGGGATGGGAATGCGGTACCCACCTTGTAGAGTGAGGTGCAGAGTAAATGAGTTAACACACATGTTGTGCTTAGGACACTGTAGTGCATCGCAGCTGCTCAGGGGACATGAGCAATTATTGGTTACTCTGCTTATTTCATGTCCTGTTTCCTCCAAGTACCTGGGTCACGTGGAGGTGGAGGAGTCCAGGGGGATGCACGTGTGTGAGGATGCTGTGAAGAAGCTGAAGGCGGTGAGTGAGGGGCTGGCACAGAGCGGGGGCAAGGTCAGACCCGGAGAGGCAGCCCTCATCCGGCCCTCTGTTCTCCCCTCCCCCCCAGATGGGCCGGAAGTCCGTGAAGTCCGTCCTGTGGGTGTCCGCCGATGGGCTCCGCGTGGTGGATGACAAGACCAAGGTAGGAGGTCCTTAGGGTTAGGAGAGGGCACCAGAGGGCCCCTCTCCTCATCCTGCTCAAATGGGGCCGAGGATGCATCCCACCCACCCACCTCTAGGATGTCCCTCCCTCAGGGACCTTCTAGACCATGTGCTCCTGCCACACCATGGCACACCCCAGTCATAATTCAACATTGAGACCTGTGGTTATCTGTGAGCTGGCATAGATAGTGGGTAAGAGCACAGACTGTGGAGTGGCTGCCTTAGCTCCAATCCCAGCTCACCTCCTTACCAGCTGGGTGACTCTGGGTGTGAGATGTTACCCTTCTGTGCCTCAGTTGTGTCATCTGTGAAATGGGGATAATGAAGACCCTGCCGTTACCTGAGAAAGTCCGTCACATGGTTTAAAACTGTGCCTGTGTCAAATGAAAAATAATACCGATGGGTTGTTTTGTCACCAAAAAGGATTTACTAGGGAAAGGGAAAGGGTTGCAACTCAGTGCACAGAGACAAAAGAAGCCACATGCACATGCTGGCCTGTGTGCCAAGATGGAGGGGTATTTATAAAAGGGAAGAGGAAGTTAAGGGAAGAAGTTAGCATATAGAGTTTTACTATAAACCCTAGAGGCCCAGTGTATGAAATTTGTGCACAGGTGGGGTCCCTGGGCCTGGCTGGTGATCAGGGCCAGGCCAATTGGGGCCTGAAGGCCCTGGCAGGGTCAGGAGAGGAGGCAACAGTTGCCGGGCTGGGCATGGAAGGAATGTACACCTAACGCCGATGCCTCCCCCCTTCCTCTTTCCCTCACTGCCCACTGCCAGTTCAGCGGGCAGCTGGCTGATTGGGGCCTGCTGGCTGGGGGGAGAGACAGGGCTTGGGAGGTTGGCCACCAGACCACAGGAGGGAGTCAGCCTTAGCCCCTCTGGGAAAGGGGCCATGTCTGCTGCCACTCACCCCCAGTTCCCCATCCTAGCTTGGGGTGTAATCACCTGATGGGGCCTGCTGGCCAGGTGGGGATGGGGGTGGGGGGGACAAGGAGGAACCGTGGGAGGTTGGCCAATGGTGGGGGAGGTTGGCTGTGGGAGCGCACTGACCACAAAGGCACATTTCCTGTGTTGAGCATCTGCCCCCTGATGGTCAGTGCATGCAGCAACCTGTTGTTCCCATTGCTTAGGCTTTTATATGTATAGATTGGGTTCTCCCATATAGGGTTCTTATGATTACATAGAGTGTGAGAACTTCCATAAGCCCTAACTCCTATAAGCCCTCCCAACCAAGTATGTTTGCTTAAAGCTGCTATTGGTTTTTATCACCTGGTACAGCATAAGTGAATGTTAGCTGTTACGTGTTTGTTGTTGGTCTACTCAGCCAGAGAGGAGTGCCATGGGGCCAGGATCTGGTGTCTGTTTGCTCACTTTTGAATTCCCTGCCTCCAGCCAGAGACCACCAGAGGAGGCAGCCAGCACACGATGAGTTAGTTTAATGACAGAACAGTATTGACAACCTTGCACAGGCAGCCCCTCAGCCTGAAATACTGTTCCCTGCTTTTTGCTTGTAGGAAGCGTTGCCTGACTCCACCCCCCAGATATATCCAAGTTGGGTCAGGCACCTCCTCGTGGCTCCTGCAAGCCCCTGTGCTTTCCCCATCCCTCTGCCTGTACCTCCCTCATTACAGCCTGGGTTCTCTCCTGGTGGTGGGTCGGGTTCTGTGATAAACTGGGAGCCCCATGCCAATAGGGTCCACGACAATGCACAGTGCCTGCTCGGTGCCTGCCCAATCAGCATGGGCTACAGAGCAGACACTAAGGGGATGTTGAGTGAATACACGGAAGACAGTTCACATTCTCCTCGGCCTCTCCGGCCACTCCCAGGACCTGCTGGTGGATCAGACCATCGAAAAGGTCTCCTTCTGTGCTCCTGACCGCAACCTGGACAAGGCTTTCTCTTACATCTGCCGGGATGGGACCACCCGCCGCTGGATCTGCCACTGTTTCCTGGCACTCAAGGACTCCGTGAGTATCGCCAGAGCCCAAAGCCTGCCGACTCCTCTCCCATCCCCGGCATTCCAGCCCCTCGGGGCCTGCCATCCACCTCTCCTCTCCAGGCTGGTGTCCTGGTCCAGAAACGGGGCTGCACTCAGAGCTCCTCACTGAGAGGATTTTGTTGACTTGAAGAGGTTAATACACTGGGTTTAGAATAATGACTGGCACATGGGAAACAGGAAAACACTGGTTACCACCCTCCTTATTATCAGTAGTTCTTCATGTTTCCCTGACTTTTCTAATTGAGGACCATATACATACAGGTGCACTCCTTCTCCAGCTCCATGAGTTTTTGTTTATGGGTAAGCCCCACCCAGGTCAAGTTTGGGGTTTCCTACCCCCAGCAGGCTCCCTCAGAACCTTCTCAAACAGTATCCCTTCCCCACTCTTCCTTCAGCCTTGATTCATTTTCCCTGTGTTTCTTTATATTTTGTGGGATTAAGGTCCCCTCTGAGAATCAGATGAAAGCAGCAAACGGGCTGTTTTCTCAGGAGCTTTCTCTCTGTGGCTTGTAGCAGAAAACCCCCAGATACCAGTGCTTTCAGAGAAATGGATGTTTCCTTCTGTTTCCTGGGAGAGGCCCAGAGGCAGGCCATGCAGCATTGGTGTGGCTCCCCTCCGCTCAGCAGGCCGAGCAACTTTCCTCCTGTTGCTGAAGGAGGGCTCCACCTCCTGGCCCAGATGGCTCCGCATCTTCCTCTGACCACAGCACAAAGGGGCGCGGGAAGAGGGCATGTCCTCTCCTTTGTGGGAACTGCGTGTCACTTCTAATTGCATCCCACTGGTCAGAACCCAGTCACACGGACGTCCCTGCCTGCAGAAGACAGTGGGAATTAGAGTCTTTATTCTGCCCTGTCACCTGGACCCTGAATTCAGTACCTTGGTAGGAAGCCACAATCCCAGCCTCCTACATTAGCCAGTGCTTTCGTTACTGGCAATAGAAACCAACCTGGCTAATTTAAGCCTAAAATAAAATGCTTGGAAGGCTACGGGAATCACACAAAACGGAAGGGCATTCGGAGCGGTAAGTAACAGGGCAGCGAGCAGGGGACAGGTCCTTCCGGGAACCATTGTGAGGGGAACCCAACTCCTCCAGCTTCGGTTCCCATTCTGATGTGAGGGCATGGGATTGGCCTGGCTTGGGCCACCATCTTCCCCTTGGCCAGGGGAAGGGAGGGCACCCGGGTTACTTGACCCAGTGTTGTAAAGGAGCTCCCCAAAGGGGGTTCTTGGGTAAACTGGACAAATAAAATAACGCCTGTACCTTGCGGACCTTAGCCGTCTCCACTCAACGATTCCTTCATCTTGAGAAACTCCCACTGCAGAGAGCTCTAAGCCCCCAAAACAAGTCAATACCCAGATTTCCTCACACACACACACACACACACACACACACACACACACACACACACACACAAATTGTAGACCTGAAACCAGGAGTATAGAAAACAAATTTGAGGGTGTCAGTATTGATTAGCCAGTACAAGTTGGGGCTGGTACTGCCAGGGACTAGCATGGAGATATTTGAAATGCAGAGCCCATAGCAACGGCTATTTCTAGAGAAATAGCAGCATAGTTGTATCAGTTATCTGTTGTGCGTAACGAGTTTCTCCAAAATTTAGTGACTTAAGATATCAGTGACTTATTGTGCCTCACGTTTCTGTGGGCTAGGCATTTGGGAAAGGCTCGGCTGAGTAGATCCGCCTCCAGGGTCTCACAGTGGCACCAGGTGGTGTGTGAGCTGTGGCTCCAGAGACCGGCCAGACGTCGCTCTCTTCCTGTGGTCACAGGGTCACTCTCAGGGCCTCTCCGGCACGGAGGCTTCAGAAAGCTGGGTTTCCTACACAACCGCACAGGCTCCAAAACAAGGGGATTGGTGGGGGGCGGGTAGGAGAGAAATTGTTTCAGCGCAAGCACTAACCAGGAGGAAGCTATTGCCTTTTTGGTCTTGTTCTTGGAAGCCATAGCATTGCTTCCATGTTGCTCTGTGTGTCCAGACAGTCAGAGAGGTCTTCCCGGCTCAGGGAAGAGAACACAGGCCTCACCTCTGATGGGGTAATTACAGGGTCCGGAAGGCCATGTGGGGCCAGAAATTTGTTGCAACTCTTTTTGTTTTGTTTAAATACACTGCCCTCTGGTTAGTGTGGATTTGGTATCAGACCACCTAGTTTGGGACCGTAGGCACTGGTGACCTCTCTCCAGGACTCAGTTTTCTCCTTTATAGAATGGGGGGTCACAGCAGCACCTCCTCACAGGTTGGTTGGGGAAGCTTTCTCATTATGGCCGCACACAGAACGTTCTAAACAGAATCTTGTAATAAGTGGCCAGTAAATAGGAGCAGTTGCTGTCATCTGAAAAGGAGTCAGGGATGAGAATCAAAGGGCAGGGCCATCTCCTCTGGGTAAGTGTGGCCTTGGGCGAATCCTTCCTGCCTCTGAGCTTCAGGTGATAAACATTAAGCAGTGCAATTCCCAGGATTCCCCAAGTTTAATTCTATTTAGGTGAAATTTACATTATTTATTTATTTATTTTTACTTTTTCAATTATTATTTATTATTATTATTTTTAATAAATCTTTATTGTTCTTCTTATTACAAATGTTCCTCATTTTTCCCCCCTCCATTGCTCCCCTCCACCAGGTTACCACCCCACCCTCTGCCCATTCCCCACCCCTCGTTGTCCTCATCCATAGGTGCACAGTTTTTGTTCAGTCTCTTCCCGCACCCCCCACTCCCCCTTTCCCCGAAAATTGTCAGTTCACTCCCTTTCCATACCTCTGATTCTATTATATTCACCAGTTAATATTGTTCATCAGGTTTTTTAATTCCCTTGGCTATTAGTTTCACTTGTTGATAGTTACATATTTGTTGATCATAATTTTTATCTATATCTTCTTCCTCTTCCTAAAGAACCCTTTCAGCAATTCATATAATTCTGGTTTGGCGAGATGAACTCCTTTAGCTTTTTTAAATTTTATTTGTGAAGCTCTTTATCTGACCTTCGATTCTGAGTGATAGCTTTGCTAGGTAGATTATTTTTGGCTGTAGGTTCTTGCTATTCATCACCTTGAATATTTCTTGCCATTCCCGTCTGGCCTGCATGGTTTCTGTTGAGAAATCAGCTGGCAATCATTGGATGCTCCTTTATAAGTAACTACCTGCTTTTCTCTTGCTGTTTTTAATATTCTCTCTTTGTTTTTTGCTCTTGGAATTTTAATTATGATGTATCTTGGTGTGGTCCTCTTTGGGTTCCTTTTGCTTGGGGTTCTGTGCACTTCCTGGACTTGTAAGTCTATTTCTTTCCCCAGGTGGGGGAAGTTTTCTGTCACTATTTCTTCCAGTATTCTTTCGGTATCTTGCTCTCTCTCTTCTTCTGGGACTCCCATAATTCTGATGTTGGTTCGTTTGAAGTTGTCCCAGAGGTTTCTTAAATGATCTTCAACTTTCTGGATTCTCTTATCTTTTTGCTTCTGTGGAGGAGTGTCCTCTGGCTCTTTGTGTTCCAAATCTTTGACTTGATTCTTGCGATCTTCCATTCTGTTTTTAGGACTCTGTATAATATTTTTTATTTCAGACAATGTATTCTTTATTTCTAGTTGATCCCTTTTCATATCCTCATAAGTCTCATTTATTTTATCGGCCTTTTCTAGGAAATTCTTGAAAAACCTTATAAGCGTGGTTTTGAACTCTATATCCAGTTGCTTCTTGTCCTCCATTTCTTTTGTTTGTGATCCGTTTCCTTGTCTCGGCATTTTCACAGCTTCCATGAGTTGGTAGGGTGGCTTTGTGTGCTAAGGTGTCCTATATGGTTCAATGGGTTAGCCTCCCAGTTACCTGAGGTGGACAGTCTTGGTGTAGCCCTTTGTGAGCTGTGTGTGCAGTCTTGTTGTTGGTATCACTGGGAAGCGTTGATCAAGCCAATTGGCTTTGAGGATCAGAAGTATCTCAGCAAGAAGGATTTTCATATTTGGCTTGGATGGAGTGGAGTCTTGGGGTGGCACAGCCAAGCTTTGGTGAATCCCGCGAGATTGGTTGCTGGTGTGCATCTCTTTGGTATAGGCACAGACAAGCTTTGGGCTGCTTTCTGTCCCTCCCTAGGAAAGTCCTATTTGTGGCGAATGAGAAAGCTAGACACTGAAAGGGCTTCTGTGCTCTGCTTGGAGGGGGCAGAGTCTCGGGGTGGTGCAGACAAGCTTTATTCAGCACCTCCCTATGAGGGTCTGGTTTCTGAGTCCCGCAGTAATGGCTGCTGGCTTCACACACCTCCGAGAGATCTCTGCCCACTGCCTGACAGCATGGCCTCTCCCTGTCTGGGGCCGTCTATCAGCGCAATAGGGTGGTTCTGTTTTCCTCCAGAATAAGAAAGCCAGCCGCGCATTAGCTGCCCGCCCTCTCTGTGCAGGGAGTAAGCCAGCAGCGAACTCAGCCCACCCTCTCCGTGCTCCACAAGCAAGCCAGGAGCGAATTCAGGTAGTCGCCTTTTTGCACGTCCTGTTCTCCGCACCTTTACAGTTCCTGAGGTTCAGCGTGCCTTCTCTCTCCTTCCCAGATAGTAGAGCCTCCTCTTAGCCAGCCGTCTGGTGCTTCAGGGCAATGTTTCCCCTGTTTTCCAGTTCTAAATTCAAATTTGTTGTGGTAGGCTGCATTCAGCTGTCTACCCTATGCCGCCATCTTGGTTTCCTGTAGAAATTTACATTAAATTAATAATTTTCAATGCAGTGGCACTTAGTACATTCACAATGCCATTTAACCATCACTTCTATCTATTTCCAAACATTTTCATCACTCCTCAAAGAGACCTCATACCCAGTAAGCAGTTACTCCCTGCACCACCTCTCCCCCTCCGTCCTCCCTGCCACACATAGTAAGCCTCTGGCAACCTCTTATCTGCTTTCCGTCTCTGAATTTACTTATTCTAGACATTTCATACAAATTGTATCATACATACATGGTCTTCTGTGTCTGGCTTCT